AACTAAGTTGAGCACGAAGCTCCTATCTAATGGCAGACGTGCCAGTCTTATATAGAACCTTCGTCCTCTCCTGGATCCATCAGATCCCTTTGGGATCTATCCGGGTCCATCACGTGACAGTAACCAATGGAAATCCTTGGATCGCTTAGCTACTCTAAGCGATCCCTATTATAAGAAACCTGGGTGTGCACTGTCGAGGGTTGCGCCTCCTATTATGACATGTATCACGTGGACACGTGATTCGTGACACCTTTAATACTTAATAAAGGAAATTTAAATACTTAGTTATGCTATTTAGTCTTATAAATACCCTAGCTATATTCTAGATAATAATAAACAAGATCCTATATTTATATCTTAATAATTTCTATATTATCTACCTTAATAATATAGTTATATTCTTAGATACTCTAGAAGAATATAAGGAATACTTATTTAAGGTACTAGGGGCTCTCTAGGAAAACCTACTTAAAGCTAAGCTATTAAAATATAAGATTAGCTTATTAGAGATTAAAACTATAGCTATTTTATAAGTAATAGACCTAATTAAGAACTAGCCGATACTAAAGACTATCTATAAAGTACGATTATTCCTAGGACTTACTTTATACTATCGAAGATTTATTAAGTTCTTTATAATAATTTTGGTACTACTTAGTAACCTTCTTTAAGAGGCGAATGTAGAAGCTAGGAAAAAGAAGTACTAGCTAATTACTTAGACTATAAGATATTAATATACTTTTAATACTTTTAAGTAAAAGCTAATAAGTAAACCTATTTTAACCTAACCTCAGCTAGATCGACTATTTATTATTAAGATAGATACTTTAGACTAGGCTATTAGATATACCCTCCTATAGTTAGGAGATAATAGCTTTCTATACTTTATTACTTATAATAGTAGAAAGCTTTAAGGTACTAAATTAATATACTTGACTTAGAATAAGGAATTACTTATAATTAAGTATATCCTACGTTAATAGAGTTACTATATTTGTGACGGTTATGGTCACGAGGGCTGGATGTCACATGCTCGCTTAGCGAGGCGCTAGCGCGCACGACCTGTATTTAGTTCCCAGCTCTCTTGAGCTCTCCTTCTTTCCTCGTCTTTTGTCCTAAGAATAGAGTGTTAATTGTTCTGAGTTCTACCTGAAGCACGTCTGTCACAATATTAATAACTATACTTAAACGAAAGCTATTACCGACTATAAGAGCTTAAAGTATATATAAACTATGAAAGAACTATTAAAGTACCTTACTTATTAGGTAGTTAAATTCTAGACCTACGATATTAATCTATACTACTACCTAGGGGAAGATAACCTAATAGCTAATACTATTTCGCGCTATATAGACTTTTTAGGTAAAGGCTAGCTATACTAGAAGGCGTTTAAGGCTATATTAAAAGAGAGCGGAGTTTAATATTACCTTAATAGACCTAATATTAATATAAAATTAAATATTTTATGAAGTACTATATTATTACTTAATAAGGAAGAATAGGAAGGGAAGATTCTTACTATTTTAAATTACTAGAAGGAAGACTAACCTATCCCTAAAGAATTACTAGAGATTACTAATAAGTAATACTTAATAATAATTTAATTAAAATATACTTAATAAGATAGAAATAAGCGGAAATATAAACTTATTAGTATTATTTATCTTATAACTTTATAATAATATTTAGCTTTAAAATAATAGTTTTTTTATTTACTTAAAGGTAAATACTAATAAATTAATATATAAGATAATTTTCGAGTATAATAAGCTATAAGGGCTTAGAAGCTAGCTTCTAAGAAAACAAAGACTATAAGTAAATAAACTAAAGTAAAAGTAAGTTAGTTATATTATAAAGCAAGCTATTACTAAAAGCCTTTTTGTAAGGCTTTAATACTAAGTGAACGCTAACGCTTTATTTACCTTAGTTAAGAGAGATTACTAGTATTATAATAAATATCGCGATAATCTAATAAATATTATTATTATACCTAGGTCTAGTCGAAATACGTTTTCCGGGCTACTTTAATAGTAGAATATATAAACGACAAGTAGCTAGATCTTTTATATCTAGTTATATATTTTTTAGTATTATAGGAGGTAAATAATAAGTAAATAAAGATACTTAAAGAGTTAGTATTCTACCTCCTATAAGTAATAATTTACTAGTTATAGCTAAGGGAATACTATAAGAAATAATTTAAAAGCTTTGTAGAGTATAAGTCCAGTAGTATATGTGACGGTTATGGTCACGAGGGCTGGATGTCACATGCTCGCTTAGCGAGGCGCTAGCGCGCACGACCTGTATTTAGTTCCCAGCTCTCTCGAGCTCTCCTTCTTTCCTCGTCTTTTGTCCTAAGAATAGAGTGTTAATTGTTCTGAGTTCTACCTGAAGCACGTTTGTCACAGTATACTCTTTTATACCCTTTTTAATGCCCTAACCTATTTTAGTTATTCCCTCCCCCGCTCCCCCTACTCCCCCTCTTATCTAGGTATTTTATATATACTAATCATCTAGTTATATAACCCTAGTTTTATTATAATTATAACCTCTAACTCTCCTTATATCCCCGGGCTAATAAATACTCCTATATTCTCTTTTACTAATATTATCGCTATTATTATTATAAAGAAAGAGAGTAGAAGGGAGAAGAAGAGGTAAGTAGTAAATAATTATTAGTATAATATATGCTAGCCTAGCCTCTTTAGAAAGGTAGTATTAGAGGCTAGAATAAGCGATATATACGAATAATATTTCCCTACTTTTATTCTCCTTTACTACTCTCTCTCTCTCTCTTCTAAATAATATACTAGGGTATAACCCTTATACGAAATTAAAGTAAGGATACGACAGCGAGGGTAGGCGATAGTAAGGATGCGATAGCGAGGATAGGCGATAGCGAAGGTAGCGAGTATACACGCGAAAATTTCAAGGCTGTAAAGTTTGAGCGAGAGTAGGGGTGTGGGGATGTAGGGGTATAGGTACAATAGTAGGTAGCAGTAGTAAATACAAGACTTTTGCGATTTAGGATTTACGATTTATAATTTAGTTAATACCGACCTAAGTGTACGATCAGGATACCGTACCGGGCTAATTTATCGCCTAATCTTACTACTCGAATAACCCGTGAGTTACTTTTATTTTTAAGGACTTAGTAAGTTAAGTTTAGTAGGTACTATTACCCCCCTCCTCTCTATCCCCTACAAACCTAAACCCGACTAATCCTAGAAATTAAAACCCTACAAAATAACCACACATAATCCTCCTACACCACTACCACCACCACCACCACCCTACCTACCTACCACCCTAAACCCTACCTACTACACCCTAGCCACCCTATCAACCATACCTATCCACATCTATCCACCCAACCAACTAAACCATCACCAAAAAAACCCCTCCAACCCCCCAACCCCCTAACTAACCTACAATATCAAAACTTCCCAACATCTTCTCCTCTATCCTTTTATCAACACATCTATCAACACATCTCAATCTAAACCTACTATATCTACACAGTACAGTATAGTCCCTCAGTCCCTCCATATTCCCCTTCCCTCCCCCCTAAAAAAAAGGTGTATATATAATACAATACAAAGGGAGTGTAAAGTTTTACGTACTCAGTACAGTGGAAAGAAAAGGGGAGAGAAGGGAAGAGAAGAATGGGAGAGAAGAGAAAAGGATGGGAGAGAAGAGAAAAGGATGGGAGAGAAGAGAAAAGGATGGGAGAGAAGAGAAAAGGATGGGAGAGAAGAGAAGAATGGGGGAAAAATGGGACAGAATAGGGTTTAGGGTTAGGGTACGGATTATATATTATACGTTGAGTTTTAAGTTTGGAGATGAGATGGGATGGTATTTTAAGTTTGGTTTAGTTTAGTTTATTTTCAATACGTCTTTCGTATGTTATGTTATGTTATTTATTACTTGTTATAGCACGGTGTAATAAGTAGTAGGATAAGGAGGTGTAGTATTAGTATTAGTAGTAGCAGTAGTAGTAATATTAAATCCAAGAGTATTAAGAATTACTATAGTAAAAAGGAGGGAAAGAGAGAGAGGGGTATAATTATTTTAAGATATAGCTATAGATTCTAGCTATAGCTATAGATTCCGTATCATAACGTTTATGTAAAAATAACAAAAATAATACTTCAAGAATATCCACATAAGAAGAACGTCAAGGGGGATTTTCTTTCTTTCTTTCTCTCTTTCTTTCTCTTACTCCCTCCTACTCTCTTCCGATTTCCAAACCCCTCTCCTCACCATTTCCCATATCCTCTCTTCCAAACCACTAACCCACCATCTCACCATCACACCCTTACCATCCCAGCTCTCTACATCCACACCCACAACAGCAACAGCAACAGCAACAGCAACAGCAACAGCAACAGCAACAGCAACAGCAACAGCAACAGCAACAGCAACAGCAACAGCAACAGCAACAATAAGACAACCTACCTCCAAACATCCAAAAAAGAGCAAGAACCTCAAAACCTACCCTAGAACCCCACGTCACATCATACCACCAAATCTCCCAATCCCCCTCTTCCGGAGAAGAGTACAGTAAGACTACAGCAACAGAGGAAAGATGGACTATGAGTTTCTAAGCGGTCAGATATCGGACCCAGCTCGACTGGACTCAACTTAGACTATGGTTCATGTTGTTATATAGCGATATTGTAGATGGAAAGGTAGTGTGCAGTACAGTACAGTAGAGCATGAAGAGAAAGGTGTCCTAATAAAAAGCAAGAGAAGATGTGGAACAAAAAGGTCATTAGGATCTTGGTGATGCAGGCAGGCTTTTTGTCATCTATCAAAGTATCCACTATCCTCCATCTACTCACATTCCTCCCATCATAGATGTAAGTACAAAAATTCCCAATAAACCCCAAATCAGGTAGGTAAGTAGAAGGAACACCGTACAAACCCCACTACTTCTTCCCCTTCTTCTTCCCCTTCCCCACCCCCCCAACACTCTTCTCAACCTTCAAAGTCCCCGCCCCACCCGCGAGTTCCAACCTCTCACCCTCCTCCTTCACCACTCCCCCTTGCGTCAAATCATTCGCCTTTTTCTTCCCTTTCTTGCCCTTGGGTCGGTATGAACTTCGGTCTTTCAATGGTAACCATCTTTCCGGGTCCATTTTCTTGCCTTCCTCGAAGTCCTTGGGCATGCGACTCTTTCGGATCTTACGCACTTTGGCGGGTTTGTCTTTTTCTTGCGCGGAAGCGTCGGCTGGGCGTTTTTTGCTTGCCACGGGTGGTGGAGGAGGCAATGATGGGATTCCTGCTTCTTCCAGGGAAGCCGCGTCAATGCCAGAGATAAGCTTGGAAACCGGAGATAGTTTGTCAAGGTCGTCGGATACCTTGGCGAGATCAGTGGTTGCATATGAGGCAACATAACCAGCAATCGCCACGCGGTCGTTTGGCTCCATAGTTCGGAGTGTTGAGAACATCTCTCTTGCAATCTCCAACTCTTGTTGGTCCGAGGATTCAAGGAATGCTGTTCCAGCAGCCCAAAGTAGTGTTGGGGAAGATTTTGATTTTCTTCTCCAATAGGAAGCTGCTTTTCCCAATTCAGCCCTTACCGGTCCTTTGCGGCCTGCCATTCGGTAAAGTGACACAGCAACGGCTACCAATCCTGGTGCAAATCGAGCATCAAGATCTGTCTCCGATTTGGACTCTTCGAGTCTCTTGAAGAAGGCTTCTAGTAGTTCCGTGGCTGGACCCGGGTTATTTCTCAAAACATATAGCTGAATGATGACCAGAAGCAGGCCAACATCATTGGGACGTTTCTCTAGAAGTGGTAGAATCTGCTTCAAGCCAGCTTTTCCGGTTTCACACTTTGCAGCAGCTGCTGCACCAAGAACTCCAAAGTTACATATAAAAGGAGACGTCTTTGGTGATTCGGATTTGGAAATAATTGATGCTGAGGTGTAAGCTACACCAGAATATTTTAATGATTGAAGATCAATTGCGTATCGATTTCTGATTAATATGTCCGATTGATGCTTGAAATGCTTCTCTCCATGAGACAGGGTTGGAGCGGAACTGAATAAGCGTTCAGTCAGATATGGATTATCATTCTTCGTAGAGGCGGCGAAAGAGTTATTTTGGGCAATGATCTTGGTAGGTGGTTCAGGGACACTATGATAGTAAGCAGATTGTTGCATAGCTCCTTTCTAGGTACATACTCGGCAATATTTATCATCCTCTCTAAAGCCTCTGCCTCATCCAGCTTGCCCATCTTTGTAAAGACATATGCCTGTTGAACCATAATTGGTAAAACCTCTGCCCTCTTCTCATCATCACTCAATTCTTCATGGGCTTCGCATAGGTCTCGCGCTCGCTTCAATAGCACACTTCCAGCAGTCAAATCCCCTCTAGCGATGCACCCACATGCAGCATTATATGACGTCTCAAAGGCCTCGAGATCTTCCCGACTGGGCTTCTTCCGACTTGGTTCGACCTTGTCACCATTACCTTGCCACTCTAACTGCGCATCCGTAGCTGCACTATTGATTCTCAAGTCGGTATCCTCTCCATCGATCGGTGCCTCCTCCGCACTCAAGTGTTTGTATATCTCTGCGGCATCCTCGAATCTCTCCGCTCGGTATGCAACCTGTGCGGCAACGTGCGTTAACCCTCGACTGCCACCATTCTTTGCCACTTCTTCTGCTTCGTCTAGCCTGCCAGATTTGTAGAGCGCATAGGCCTTTTCGAGTTTGCATCGCTCTGCCAATTTATCTCCGCCGTCATCCAGGGACCGTAGGGCGTCATCCCACCTGTCGAGCCTGAGGAGAGCTACCACTCGTACATGTAGAGCGTCGAAATCTTTCTTGTTCGTCTTCAGTTCAGCATTCGCGGCCTTGAGGACCTCTTCGTCGTCTTCAATGGTAGCACTCTTCAGGAGAGAGGAGAGGGTTGCCGTTGGGTTGGCCATTTCGGGAGAGGGCGTGGAATTTGTGAAGGGCCTTATCAATTCTTGCGCATAATTATGCCACACCAAGTTCCAAATTGGACAATTGGGGTAGTATGAGTGATAGATTCGTGGGGGTGAATATGGGAACCGGTCGGGGGGTCGGAGGATATTATTCGGAGGTACTCGTGGATAGGTACTCGTACTAACCGTATTGTACAGCACACAACCGAGTGCTGAGGTACGTACTGATGGCGGGGTTCTTTTTTGGTGTGGCTTTTCTTGGTGTGCTCGGTGGGGTTGCCATCGCTTGGACCAATAGGAAGTGACAGGCGGAAGCCCTGTGCACACAGGTATTTGAGCTTAGTCAGGCCAACGGGTGGTTTGTGGTTCGTGGTTTGTGAACCCTGAACTTTAAAAGGGGGGCGGGTGAGATCAGACTCACCAGACTCATCAGAAGTGAGGCTTGTTGTTTACATAACGCCGTTATGGTTATGCCCCCGCCCCTCCCCCGATAAGATCGTCAGTAGGAGTACAGTGCACCGTAGTGCTTGTGCTTGTATGGAGTACGAGTAGTCGAAGAGTAGAGGACTCGGTAGGGTAAGCTGACGGTTTCTGTATGTTGTGCATCAGGAACTTTGTATGGCCCATCGCGTATCTGTGCATCTGGTCTGGGAGAAGTCCTAGAGTTGAGCTCCAACGAGACCCGACCCAGCCCAGCCTATCCAGCAGCGACCTCCTGTCCTGTCCTGTCCTGTCCTGTCCTGTCCTGTCCTGTCCTGTCCTGTACTGATCGCTTCTACGTACTGCGACTCATCTGCAATCTGCTGCACTTCTGATCTACTCCCGAGCGCGTTGGTGGGGGTCGGAGTGGGTGTTTGGCCATGGCCCATGGGACGAATTGGCCAGAGAAATGCCTTGAAGCGCGGTCCTCTATGTAGGGAATATACGAAGTACTTCAAAGGTAAGTACGGAGTATGCAAGCGCGAGGAACACAACACCCGACCTCCGATTTGAAGCAATTACCGCCAGTTGCATGGATCGAATGAGCATCTCGCAATTGAAGCCAGTGTCTACTCGTGTGCTATGCTAGCCTAGCGAAGTCTACACCTACTTGTCCCCTAGGTAAGAATACAAGGTATAATGTATTTCTACCATTCTCGCTGGCTACTAGTGATGCCAGCAAAGCGAGTCCATTGTCCTACCAAATCTGTAAGTCTGCGTCTGCGTCTGCGATGCCATGCCATGCCATGCCATGGAAAATCCGAGCAGACCTGGCCCGGTGGCGGCGAGGAGAAAATGCATCGCTAAGCTGCCCTGTCGTTTCCTCCCATGTCATTTCTGCTCGCCCTCTCCACATCCACATCCGCATCCACAGTCCACATCTACCTAGGTACATCCACTTCCACCCGCTCTCCGGCACTGGCAGGCTGTGACAGCCCTCTAGGCCGCAGCGTCAGTTATCTACAAAGTGGAGGTCGAGGTAGAATGCTAGTCTACTAGAGGGATGCTAGGTGTGCGATGCTACGGTACCGGATGCTCATAAGCTACCCTCCCTAGTAAATAAGCAAGAGGGAAGTGGAGGGAGGGCCTTATGAATGGTTCCCTTCCCTGCCCTGTCCTGTTCTGCCCTGCTGTGTTTTGCTTGCTTGCTTGCTTGCTTGCTTGCTGCTGCTGCTGCTGCTGCAACTGCTCCCCCGGTTGTTCTCCTCTCCATAGAGATTGAGGCTGGCCACCTTCCTCTTTCACCCCTCTTCGTCCTCCACCTCTTTTCCCTCCCTCGTCCTCGTCCTCGTCCATCACCTCTTCACCACTGCCTCCTCTCCCTCTCCCTCTCCCTCTCCCTCTCCCTCACAAAACCCTCACCGTCTCCTCTCATCCAACAATTACTGAATCATCCTCCGTCTCAGGGCCGTCAACCAGGCTAAAGACCGTCCAACAGCAGCCATCTTGGGTTTCAATTCAGCCAGAGTAAGCCCTGAAACGCTGTGCCGTCACCCCACCATTCCCATTCCACTTTCATATCTTTCATCTCCAGAAGAAGAGTGGAAAAGATATGGTCGAGAAGGAGCCACCATTTATAACCTTGCCTGCGCCTCACAACGTAAACAAACACCAATTTTATCACCCTCAATTCCACTCATCTGCCTCTACCTCCGCCTCCACATCCGTCTCCTCTGCTCCCTCACCGCACATTTCAACCATGTACCACCCTCAGCAAATGTCAGCGCCTCAATCTCCTCCAATGCATCAGGGAGCTGGTGGCTTGCAGCCCTATCCGCCACCGCCAAACAATGAGGGACCGCAATCACCTCAAGCTTCAAATCAGTACCCCCAATACTCCTATGACATCCAATTGAAGTATCCCCAGAATCAACAGCATCAAGACGGTCACAATCCTAATCATCATTATTCTCCACCTCCCGGATCACACGGTCTTCCTTTACCACCAATGACCAGTAATCTGCCCCCGCTGAACCAACAAGGATACCCACCTCCTCAGCAACAACAAGAAATGCCAGCAGATACATCAGGCCAAATCGCTCCACCTGGATCAAAACCCAGAGTGACAGCTACGTTATGGGAAGATGAAGGCACACTCTGCTTTCAAGTTGATGTCAAGGGAACCTGTGTGGCTCGTCGTGAAGGTAAATTAGTCTCTTCTGTGCCCCTCCTTCCCGCTTCCGACCCTCCCGTACGGCCTGTACCTGTCCCCACAAAGATAGCTCATCTCTAGACCACCTCATTCCATTGTTAACTTGAATCCCCAGATAACCACATGATCAATGGTACCAAACTCCTCAACGTAGCAGGAATGACCCGCGGTCGTCGTGATGGAATCCTCAAAGCCGAGAAGCAAAAACATGTGGTGAAAATCGGCCCAATGCACTTGAAAGGAGTGTGGATTCCATTTGAAAAAGCTCTCGAGTTCGCCAACAAGGAGAAGATCACCGAAATGCTGTATCCCCTGTTTGTCCACAACATTGGTGCTCTTCTTTACCACCCCTCCAACCAAGTCCCAGGCGGAATTGCTACCCGTGCCTCGAGGGTCTACGCACCAGGTTCTCTCCGTCGAGAAAGTGTGCATCAACAACAGCAACACCAACAAGGTCCGCCCCCTCAACAAATGGAAAATATGCGCAGAGAAAGTATAGGTATGAGTCCGCAAGACGGATACAAACACGAACCTCGTCCTTACGACCACGAAGCGTATAAGCAAGAGCCACCCCGCACATACGAACAGGAGCCAAGAGGTTACGAGCAAGAACCGCGAGGATATGAACATGAGAGGGCGACTTATGATCAAGATAGAAGTCCTCAGAGTGCGCATTCGGAACAAAGGATGATTAATGATCAGTTGCATCAGCAACAGCAACAGCAGCAACGAGCTGTTTATGATCATTTCCCTGTTGCTTGATCGTGATCTGTCTATCATCCTCTATTCTCTCTTCACTGAGTTGGGTTTGTGGGAGTCTGGCCAAGAAGGGGAGTTTGATGTGCTATATTTTCTATTTATTTTCCATCTTTTTCTTTTCAAAGACGAAATGAGATACAAAAACGAAACAAAAAAACGGAAAAGAAATAACGAAAGAATGATAAAAGAATGACGAATCGGCTCACTCTCTCGCTCGCTTGAGAAATGGAGGCGGTAGCGGAGCGAGAATGAGAGCATGAGAGGATGGATTTCCTAAGCTAATGATCATCTTGCTTTCACCAAGGGGGAAACAGTTGGCAGGGTGGACAGCACTGAAAGAATGGGATGAGGAAGGAGCAAGGTAGGAACGGGAGGGAAATCTCGAGATGATTTTAACTAACAGGATGGATGGTAAATGGCAAATGGCAAATTGGGTGTTGGGGAAAACAGGGAAGAGGAGAAGGGGTGACTGGCGTACCAAAGCGAACGAACGAACGAGGCGAACGAGGCGAACGATTTTCCTAATTCACCAATTCCTTCTTCTTTACTGTAGCTAAGCTATATATCATGGACTCGTCACATCATATCATAGCTATATAACGAAATAACGAAAGTTTTAAAATGAGAAACCAGAGAAAAACCCAAGTGATTGAAGGAAGAGTGAGTAGGTAGGTATTTGAGTGAGACTTACATGAGTACTGTACCCGAGTACCTGAGGAACGTCACACGCCTTCCTTTGTACTCACCCACCAACCAAACCAGTCTTGGAATCTTGGGGAAGCTAGAGAACACATGATTTTCCTTACATGCTTTACCTACTGTAAGATTACGTGTAAGATTTACAGAACGAGTGGAATCCATCACACCCGCCCAAACGCCTATTGTAAGCCAGGGGTATTAAATCGCAAGATTCAAGATATAAAATGGATACCACTGGGTCTGGTAAGGAGGGAGTTAGTTGGTTACTTCTATATAGCCTAGCTTAGCCTAGTACAATCCAATCCCAAAAAAAGAAAGAAAAAAAGAAGAAAAAAAAGAAGAAGAAAAAAGAATACAGTCTAATCTAAGCTACTGTAATCACTTCCAAGTGCGGAATCCAATAACTCAATCATAAAAAACATGTACCAAAAACAAAATTAAAAGCCTGTAGAATCCAGGCAGAAAGAAGAGAGAGGAAGGAAGGAAGTACTATAAATATGATTAGATATCCCAAGTTTTTCCTAACCTTGCGGGGTTAGTATGGTATACAGGTACCTACTCTATATCAAAGCGATGCGAATCGAATGTACTGCACGATACCTTGGAATGGACCTTGGAATGAGATATCTAGGTATACAGTATACTTGTGAAATAAAGTAAGTATTATACTGTAGTTTCCTGCTTCTACTGTATCATCTATGTATATTACAATACAATACAAGACACCAATTTCAAGGATATATATATATATATATATAAATCGCACTTAAAAAGGTAAAGTGACAAAGTGACAAGGTACTGGAGCAAGTATTATAACAAGACTTACTCTAGGTACCTAACCAAGACATAGACAAGACAACATCTCAACATCCAGACAACATTTCTCTTCCCTCCTTTCTTACTATTTATTTAACTTCTTCCCTTGGTATTGTTGTTACATTTAAACTACATAGGTACAGCCAAACAGACAGACAGACATAGCCAAGGAAAAAAAGTCCTCTGTCTGAGATGTAAGATTATTTGCCAGTTACTCACTCACCCACATACCTCACAAATACCTAGCAAATAAAATAGCACTATCCCTTTCCTTTCCTTTCCTTTCCTTTCCTTTCCTTTCCTTTCCTTTCCTTTCATTTCCTTTCCCTTGCACTCTACTCCACAATACATCTCCCAATTGAGGACCAACCACCAAGTCCCAATTCGCCCTATTAGAACCCGTATGTGAAGTTTATTCCACCCCGTCCATCGAAAGTTTATGCAGTGAAAAATGAAAATGATAAAAGTAGTAGCCAGATCCTTCGAGTGATAGAGTACAGAGATGATATAGAGAGGGTGCGGTTTTTTTGTAGCTTGAAAGCAATGCGTACATACAGTACAAGATCGAAGGAACGAAGGAGAACAGTGGAAACAAAGGGACGGTATTTTTATGATCCATACAGTATGATTCGGTCATAGTCATCTCCCTTAGACGACAGATGCACGAGGACGCTTGCGCGAGCTGCCGGGTGTGTGTGTAGGGTGCATTTTCTCCGTCTTCTCTCTCTTGAGTTTTTCGTCCAAGAGACGCGCTGGAAGAGAATTATTACACCATTCAACATGAAAAGAGGAATGGAAAAACTTACTAAGAACGTCGTATCCGAACTGTGGAAACTCCAAACACATCATACGGAACTCGTCCTCTGCCTCGGCGCGCAACGTATGCGATCGGGTAGCCCAGAAATTGGCGACTGGCGCGCGGATGACTTTGTCGTCCTTCTGGGTATGTGCATAGACGTATCTGGCGTACGCGATCTCGCCCTTGGCGGTGGAATCGACGGCGTGGATCTTGCTCGACGCGAGAGCTTTGAGGGTTGGGAGACCAAGGCTATCTGCGAGAGTGTAGACACGCGCGTGCTTCAAGAGCTGGTCACCCGTCTCGTCGATCAATGGGGCTCCAGGATCTTTTTCCAGTTCGCGAGTACCTGCGATCTTGCGAGGGAAGTAGTCGCCCGTGTACAGGTATTCCAGGAAGCATCCCACCGCGTCCAGATCCTCGTCTAGGAGGTCAATTCGGCGGTCCTAAATGCACAATTAGTCTGCGATTGCCCTGAAGATGCAATTGTATGCGCTCACAGAAAGGTCGTCGGAGAATTTGGCGCACGATTCCGCGAGCCATGGCGATTGTACTAGGAGAGCTTGATGCGCCGTCAAGAGGGCCTGCTCGTCGCCTTGCCCTACCAACAAGCTGACCACTGGACTTCTCAAGTAATCAATGTAGGTGACTCGAGCCGGAACCTCTTCAGTGGTCTCCATAGCCATAGCCTCCCCAGGAACTGGGACATCGTCGCCGGGTGTCTCGTCTCCTCCAGTCGCGGCCGGAGCTTCAATCTCAACCGCGAGTTCGTCGCCTCCCATGGCTACATCTTCCGGTACTTCAGGAAATTCCTCGCCGGCGTCAGCCATTGTGTATGGTGTGTTGGTAGAAGAATTGGGTGGGTTTGCGTGGAGATGCGACAGAAAGACAAACAAAAAGGATGGTGGGTAATTGGGGTCTAGTGATGGACGGCGACGATGTCGCAAACAATTGAATGAATGTCTAAAGTGACGAGGGAAAGGGTATGATTCGTCGACGGATAGTGAGAGGCAATTGACGAAGAGAGTGAGGTGGGGGACGATTGGGAAATGCCTAGACAGAGTGAGAGAGCTGAGGAAAAAGAGGAGGTTGGGAAAGCGCTTTGGGCGCGGTATCCCTGCATTAGTTGGCGGGTTGAGAAAGCGGCGGGAGCATAAGAAGACAAAACGAAGTACGGATACTTCGAATGTGCCTTTATATAGATCTAGATATATCTCTAGATATATATTTGAAATATGTTAGAAGTGTTGAAAGAACTTCATGATCTTGGCATACTACCCATACAGTTGTATGCGATTTATCTGCTGCTTTCTGTTGATCGTCAGGTACCAGAATCCTTGAAAATGGAAAACTGCTGTAAGATATCCGTGTGAAACCAATTGAACAAAACAACAAGAGAGCAGGACATATGGATACACAATTCAAAGAATTGTACACCTCTTCATATATTCTTCGCGATATATACACCCATATCCATTACTAAGCTTGGGCTTCTAATTCCTATCCAGATCTCCCAGGAACCATTCTCCTAACCGCGCCTATTCCCAATGTATTATATTCTTACCATGGTATCAAAAAACAGAAACGCCGACCAGGTGCAAGCTCATCTACCATGCAAAGCTAGAAGCCCATTCCCATGCTACATATGCAATGATGCAATGAAGAAAATGCAAAAAAAAGAGTATCAGAAGCGATCCTTACGAAGTCTATCGCCCGTCGTTGGAATTGGCTTCTCCAATCTCAAACACCAGAGCAAGAGATCCTCCAAAGGAATCATGACATAGAACACCTTATTACACATAAATGCAACAATGACGACGAAAAATGCGACACACGCGTCGAGATAATAATGATTGGCTGTTGCGACAATGGTGATTAGAATCCACGAGGGATAAGCGATAGCTGGCAAGACGTAAAAAATGGCCCATGGTTTGGATTTCCGTTGCTCTCCTGGCTCAAGTATTTTACGGAAGACACCAGAGTGGTAAAGTAAGGCAGTTCCTATACAGAAGGAATACCCAAAGTGCATCGATGGCATGGCTGCTAGCGAGTTGACGTACTTCCCACTCATCCAAACACTTTGGCCATTGTTGTGTCCAACGCTGTCAAGAAAGCCGTATTCTTGCGGCAAGAGTCGTGGAGGCATGCATGGATATAAGATGAAAATCATGAATGCAAAGAAGTTCGTTAAAGTCATGGTTCGTCGTACACGCGCGAAGGTGTCGAATGATGGTGCGGCATAGTAATACCATCCGATGAAGCTGTCAAATGTTAGCAAGAATCATCCTATCGAGCCTGTGTAACATACCCGACAGTCCCTGGGATATGTATCAAGGCATACGAGCGGTTCAGCACGGTCAAGAAAGTTTGATGGCCATGCATAAACCACTGCTGTACGTCTCTTTCGTGTACCGGCCAGAGGAAGCTCAACCAAGAGAACTGCTCGAACTCCAAAACTGCTAGCCCATGGTCTTGCGCAATATCCCATATCCCCGTTTTGGAGAAGATAGCTTGAGAAAATATGCTAGTGCATCGATAGAAGGCGTACGTCACAATCCAATAAAACATCTCCATCAAAAAGGGAAAGCGCTGCATGATTCGACTGTGAAAGTGATCCGCAAATCTCGAGGTATTCGGTGTATATATGGATACTCCACAAATTCTTCTCTTCTTTGGCGGATATTTTGACGTTGACGCCGACTCAAAACTTTCGCTATCACTCCCAAGCATATGTTCTCTTGCAATCAAGTCGTCGGATGATCGAGCGGATGCATAGTCGGACTCGTCGTCTACTAGCAAATATTCTCTTCTTGTCTCAAGAATCCGGTAACCTCGGCGTCTCGTTAGTACCATCGTCCCAATCAATATACTAGCAACCACCTTACAAGTTTGTTAGTGTTAGTTATATCATATCTCTTTTGAATTTTCTTACGATAGGTTCTGCCCATCCGGGCAATTTCCAAGCTGGAGCACTATTCCATTCCGGTTCTTCGTACGTTACTGACATGTTGGAAGTCATTCTGACCGTAGGACTGCAGCTTATTTCTCTCTCTTCGTTCCCAGCTCTTCCGGTGGTCTATAAAGTATTCCGGAACCCGCGGCAAAGGCTTATAGTTAGCGAGATCAGTCTGGGAATGTTGGCAATATTGAGTGAAGTCGAATGAACGGTTCGCTCATGGAAAAGGGTTCTTTCTAAAGGCTCTGGGAATGCTGACGCAATGATATTTCTCTATTGGTTGTTCGGCTTCCGTCAACAAAGATGGAGGGGGCGAGGACCATCAACCCCAAGACCTAACCAGTGAACCAAAGAAAGAAAGGAGGCACACTTGTTAAGGAGAGACGGTGAGGTCAGATAGAGGAGAAAAAGGACCATGAAGTAGGGCACGCGACCAGTGGACGACGACCTTACCGTACTAAATACAATGTCAGGAGTTGGAGTTGACATTTCCTTGGCCAAGCCAAGGACCAAGCAAGGTCTCCCATGAGCGACCGGTAAGTGGAATAAAGACCAAGCAAGCATCACTTTGTCGATTACCCGTTTGGGTTCTTTTCTTAGAAGATGCCGAGAAGATGATGCTGCCCTCGGTGCGCAGCACCGGCTTAAATTCCGAGTGCCACTGTCAATGGACCGATCATGTCATGCCAGGATTGGATGGAAAAGATGGGATAGAGTACTCCGTACTTGAAGAGCGGTAGAGTCAGGACCACTCCATCAACAAGGACGGAGCGACAACAACTGGGGAGAAGTGGAAAATGACCCCGTCTCGCTTTTCCCCAGATACTCGGCTCAGAATAGTTCATCTGGAATCTGGAGCAGAACCAAAATCAGATAAAGAGCGTGTTTCATTCCAGCACATCGGAAATGAGACTCGAATGTACTCGTATACTCGGTCAGTACGGAGCAACCGGATGTGTTGCTTCCCACATGCGATTCTTGCGTCCGGTTGCCTCATGCGGATGATACGTCGAATCAACAATCTGCAAGTACAGGAGTAATGGAGCAAATAGTGCATCGCTCGCGTAAATTTACTGACATGGGGGGGTTATCGTGATGACGATGTTCTCATACCTATAAGGTTGCAGGTGGTCGCCCCCATTGTTATTTCCAGCCTATCAGGTGAGACACAAGTAGACCCACTACTCATAGGGCGCTACCGTGCCGCGCATCCGCATCTTTCTCCGTCCTCAAGCTTGGCGGCTCTGTAAAGTCAAACTTGCATCGCCAACATTACTTCGTATACTCGCGGCTCGTATATTGAGAGGACAGGGAATAGAGAACTTTTTCTATCTTTCCCAAAACTTTGATGTTCTTATTCTCTCAGTATTGGATTTGATACGAGTTCCCTCCAAGAATGCATACGCTGCATGCCCCTCCTAGAAGTAAATGAGGAAACGACACAACCCAATCTGCCACACTCATATCCAATGACCACTCTATTCTCCTCCTCTTGATTATCAACCTACTGGGCGTGATTTCGGTCAGCAAATAATGGCCTTCGATTGAACACTTCGGTCATGGAGTGCCGTATTTCCGACATCCGCGAGCAGAGCCTCCAAGCTTTTAATTTATGTGCGGAATTCCGGAAAAGGGCTATATTTATCCCCGCTTCGTTCTTGGGACCCAGACTTGCAGTCTGATGTCAGTTCAAGCTGAATAAGGCTCTGTGTACTCAGATGATATCGCCAAGAAATATCGTTGAAACTACGCCTAATTAAGATAATATTTAGCCTCCATATCGTATGAATACTTAACTCCTGACCTAACGATATAGAGGCCAAATATTGTCCCGAATAGGTATAGTGTCCTCCTATCTATCCTTGTACTAAGCTGCCCCAAGTCTATTCCCGGCCTTTTGTTATAACGTTGATTTTTAGTACGATTTTAGTAGCTTAAAGGAAAGACTTAGAATAATTGAAGGGACAGCTAGTAAATAAACTAAGTTACTTAGTTATTAGATCATAAATATATCTATATTTAATTAAGGTGATATTAGATTATTTTAAGCGGTAAAAAAAAGTAGTATATAGATATTATTAGTATAAAAACCTATAAAATATACTTAATTTTCTATAAGATATTAGGAAGTTAACTTATAATTATTTTATTTTTATTTCTATCTAAAATACTACTGAAACGAACTTAACGAACTACTCCTTTAAAAAGTATAGTTAAATTAATTATAAACTCGATTCTAGGTACTTTAATTATAAGAATTAGTAATATATTATTCGCTTCGCTAGAACCTTTATATATACTAGATCCGAATAGTTAATTCTACCTTATAAATATTATATTATAAGCTTCGAGCTAAAGAGTTATTTTTAGTACTAATATAGAAGTTATTAGTAAATATATACTACTAGTATAGCTAATTATACCTATTCCGGCTACTTTATTAACCCCTATACCTACCCCTATACTAGTACTTATTATTATCTCGAAACTAGTAGATTTTATACTCGAAACTTCTAAAAAAGAGTCGGCTAAAAAGAGCCGACTGTAACGAATACTCAAACTGGCTAACTAAACTTGGCTGGGTGTTCGCTGGTTGGTATGCTATGATAAGAAGAAGACTATCGGGTTGTTCACTTGGAAGTGAACTCGTTACTTGTATCAAAGATGTCAAACTAATATGATAAGATTGATAACTAAGTTGAGCACGAAGCTCCTATCTAATGGCAGACGTGCCAGTCTTATATAGAACCTTCGTTCCCTGATTGATCGCTCTAGTCGCTCACCCTGATCGCTTCAGTCGACCGGCGACTCAGGCGACTAGAAGAACCTTCGTTCTCTGACTGATCGCTCTAGTCGCTCACCCTGATCGCTTCAGTCGACCGGCGACTCAGGCGACTAGAAGAACCTTCGTTCTCTGATTGATCGCTCTAGTCGCTCACCCTGATCGCTTCAGTCGACAGGCGACTCAGGCGACTAGATCACGTGATTTTCTAACCAGAAGAAATCCCTGTCAGGACGCCGCCTGGACTTCCTTTGTCACATGCATTGCTACACGTGATTCGTGACACCGACGTACTAATTAAATTAGACTAAGGAAATAGAGTATAAGTTATTTATTCGACTATTAAAGTCGCTAAGAGTAGGTAAAAGAGCTAATAATAGTTAGAAGAATAAGGTATAGAATATAATAGTAATACTATAATTGTAAGTACTTTATAGTAGTAACATAATAGATATAACTATTCTAAAGTATAAGTCGAAGAAGAGTACTTTTTAGAGTTTATATAAGGATTTCCGCTTCTTATAAAGCTAGTTAGGATTTAGGTAAGATTATAAGAAATAATGAGTAACTATAAGTAAGTAAGCCTAGGAAGATATTATTAAAGTTAGTATAAACTACCTATTATACCCTAGAATCTACCTAATTTTACTTAGGTCTAACCTTTATATAAATAGTATAAAAATAACTCTTTTCTATATATAAATATCTTAGAGAAGTTATTTAATAATATAATTGTAACTAGAGGTAAGGTAGTATCTCTCGAAGGGTCTTAGGTAGAACTAGCTATTTTAGTATTAAGTTATTATCGCGAATAATAATTAGATATTATAGATATTACTTCTAGACGAAATTCTTTATTAAAGTCTCGATCTCGCGATACTAGTATAATATCGTCTCTTATTATTATAGTAAATCGATTAGTAGAAGGTTATAGAACTACTTCTAAATAAGCTATAATAGTGTGACGACACGTACGATATGTTGCTCAAGGAGCGTCCAAGGTGTAGGTTATGGAATCGTAGAACTGTCTATTCGAAGATTCTAAGCTAAGGAGAGAAGAGAAGGAAGGACAGAAGCTCAAGAGCCAGAGGCTCTTAAATACAGGAGGTGGCGCCAAGGGCCATGCCTTAGCCGAGTCTCAGCCAGGGGCTCGTTTGACGCATGTGTCACGAATCACGTGTAAGCATGTGATGAGTGAAGACCAGGCGGTGTCCTGACAGGTCGAGCACTATCATATCTCTTATAGCAAATAGGGATGCTTAGACTAGCTAAGCGATCCAGGGATTTCATTCCATTCGTATCACGTGACTAATTGTGCTAGACAGGGCGACCGGTCGCGCGGTCTTGCAGCGACGGGGCGACTGGGCTAGCAAGCTAGCACAGGAACATGAAGGTTCTATATAAGACTGGCACGTCTGCCATTAGATAGGAGCTTCGTGCTCAACTTAGTTATCAATCTTATCATATTAGTTTGACATCTTTGATACAAGTAACGAGTTCACTTCCAAGTGAACAACCCGATAGTCTTCTTCTTATCATAGCATACCAACCAGCGAACACCCAGCCAAGTTTACTTAGCCAGTTTGAGTATTCGTTACAGCATGGTGGCCGCCGGGTTCCAGCCAGGGCTGGTCTGTAGCGTGGTGGCGGTGAGAACCGTCACAAATAGAATTTAAACAAGATTATCTAAAGTCTTATATAACGCTCGACAACTAGGATATAGTATATACTTTCTTAGAAAAAGAAAGGAATATAATTAAATTCCTTAAAAGACGTCTAAGAGCGTTAAGAGATATATTCCTAAAGCGTAAGATTAGTATTAAAGTATTTATATAAGTAATAGATATAAGGTAAGATAAGGCCGACGATATAAATAACTAGTCTACTAGCGTAGTATTTATTATTAGAAATTATAAAATATATATATATATATATTCGCGATATGTATTTATATAGTAGCTTAACTAAACTAGTTTCTATTTACTTAACCTAAGAAGCTAAATATTTTTAGTAATCTTCTTATATTTAAGCTATAATGATCGTTTATAGCTTATTTATCTCCTTATATATACTACTTCTTCTACTACTTATATACTTTATTATATTTATTATTCTTTCTTTATTATTTCTTTAATCTATTTCCTTTATATCTTTATTATTATTATTAGATATATGCTCTAGACTTTTCTAGAATAGAATAAAGTTATATAAGGTATAAATACCTATAATAAAATAGATTTATATATTAATCGAGTACTTTATAATATATCCTAGGATTCTAAACTTACGCTTTATTGTACTAAAGATATACTTAATTATACTTCTTAAAAACGTATAGTATAAATTAAAGAGCTCCTTTAGGCTCGCTAGCTTCTTTTCTACTAATCTTTATTCCTTTAAGTAGTATTATACCCTACGGAATAGACTTATTATAAATTTAGAATTTCTATACCCTATATCTCTTAAGTAATATTTCCCTTCTAGTATTATAAATCTATACCTTACTATAGCGTCCTAGAGTACTCTCTTATTATATACTAACTCTTCCTACCCTAGTAAAAGATATATAAACGCTTTTTCGAAGTTATATACTATAAGAACGTTTTATAATAAAATACCCTTTTAATTATAACATATAGCTTATAAAAATTAATAGTATGTATATACTAATATAGGTACTATCTAGGGTACCTAAATAGTCCATAAAATATAGTATATATGAAGGGTTTTTAGTAATAAAGGGGGATAGAGAAGTACTCGAATTTAGGAGTTAGATAACGTAGGAATAAAGTATTAATAAAAAGTTAAGGATATTATAAAAAGCTCTATATATATAAGTTTTTGTACTAGATTTATACCTAAAAACTTACTTAGAAATAGTTTATCTAGAGTACTAGAACTCTCCTTATATATTATAATTAGTATTAGATTTAGATACTATATATATAAAGATAATAATCTTTTCTTCTACTAATATATATTAGTTCTCGCTCTTATATATTAAACTCCTCCTCTTTAAACTACTACTTTTTATAAGCTAATTACAAAGCTTATAAAAAGTCTTAAGTAATATTCGAAGGATCTATCGAACTTATCGAGGGTAAGCTAATTCTAATAACTCCTTTATATATTTAGTACTACTACGACCGGTATATATATATTTCCTAGCTAATTTTAGTAGTATAATAGGTACCTCTAACTTATTGTCGCTTTCGAGAATTATATATGTTAGGCCGAGTATTATAATTTTGTCTTTAGTAATATCGTTAGTATCTATAGTAGTATAGTAGTAGTAGGATATAGTATAAAAGAAGGTAGAATAGTATAGGTATAGGTAACTCTTAGTACGATATTAGGTTAATTTGTTAGTCACGACTAACAAATCGATTATAGTACTAAAGACGATTTAGTGTAATATCCTATAGGTTATAATTAGATCGACTACAGGGTATCAAGGTAAGATATTAAGGTTGTATTTACTTAGAGTAGAGTATAATTTAAAGGGCTCGGAATAAGACTAAATTAAGCCAAATCTACACTTGGCGTACGAATTAGTGCAATATTTCGGGCGATATATTCTAAGTACACAGAGCCTAAGAGTAGAGGAATTACGAAAACCCTCTGTTTTTTGGACGTGAGTGTTCTGAATGCCTTGTTTCGGTTCTGTGTGCTTGCTTTTCAGTAGGCTGAAATGTTTTCCTTCGTAGTGGAGGTACTTGGGGCCTCCATCAATGAATGCACCCTTTTATCACCTTATGTATGAAGTACTTTATTCCTTCATCTTCTCTCAAAGCATTCCCATCGTTCTATCCTCCTATCTTCTACTTTATGATCTAATGCTAGAGCAATATCTACTTTGAGCTAGAATCGTGCGAGTGCCATGGGACAATCCGACAATCCGAGCTTGCTCTACCGCAAGGATGTTCAATTCTTGTGAACGAGCTTGCGTCTTGGTATGAATGAGATGTATCAATTGACGACTGTAAAATATCCAGATACCCTGCAACAGTTCCTTGATTTGAAGAATAGGCATCGAAAAGTTCTAGATCAAGAGCTGGTGTTTTTTGGGAGGATATGTATACAGGATCATACGCGCGTCTCTAGCTTCAGCTTCACATGTATGCATGGGTTACGAGGCTCGGTAGTTCATACAACAATTCAGCAGCGAAATTATTTCACGCCAGCCTTTCTATCATTTCTATTGGAAGCTGGGTCTTACGGGCATTCCTATCAATTCAAACTCCAGACTCAGAAGACCTACAATGGATTGTCGACCTGTTAGACTTGATTATTTCAGTCTTTCGTTTTATATCCGATGTTTTGATGTTGAATCTCATCACTAAGGCTTGTAGGATCTTGAGAGTTAAAAGTACTTGCTATGTCCATATGTCTAACTGCCCACAAAGACCCGCATATTTGACTCGGTTATTTGAAGACTTTGAAGAATTGAGTTATTGTCATTTTTGTTGTTTCTGAGGCCCCGGGGTAATGCGAAAGGCACTGGCATTGCCAGGTGTATATCTGGAGGTCAATGTGCAAGAGTTTCTAAAATACTCAACCTGATGGTCCCAAATCACTCATTGAGTTCATTTGCTGAGGAGATGATTGTTCTATAATATTCGCATAATCGTTTAAGTCGTACAAGACTTTGTAATACAACCTTGCTTGGTCTCCAAAGTAAAGAACTCTAAATTCACCTCGACTATTCCAAAATCGCAAATAAACAACCACCTCTCACAAACATGGCTATCCTTAGTCTAGTGGTCAACCACAGTGTTCGAGCCTAAAGAAAACAGTTCGGCTGTTTCTGACCAGGTGCCCCTTACTGTATGGTACAGGTTTGGGATTGGATCTTTTGCTATTTTTTATATTCTTTTTTACTTTGGAGGAAGAGTCGTTAGGTGTGTTCCTTTTGGAGTTTTCGAGGGGTTGAAGTGGTTAAGAAGGGTACCTGGGACAATACATTATCTCTTACGCGGTGAATTGTGTTGAGCTTTGGGGCTACGATCAATTCCCAGGCGCGTTGTTGCACGATTTTCGTGCGACCTGCCTATGGAATAACATATTCTCAGTACCAAGTGTCTAAAACTACAATGTTGTAGGTTTCGTCTTCTTGACATACAATATCTTGTCTCGCTCACTTGCCACCTCGAAGTTCATATTGCTCGTACGAATCTAGTCTAGTCAATTGTAAAGCACGTCGGTAATCTATGTACATTAATATCAATTCTTCTGCCTGTCTGTGCACCCTCACTTCCTTCGTGGCTCCAGACTATCTTCTTCAAATGAAAAAACCCGGCGATCGAAATCTACTCTGATAGGTTCCGGGTAGCAGGATACAATAGACGCCAAGAGTACCCCGCCTAATATCTGAAGATATCCAAATTATTTCTGTATTTGATTTCTGGATGGAGTGCCTCGGCAGTTGTGTAGGGGGTAATATATGCTAGTCAACATGAACTTCAACGATCGACTAGCTGAAGATTAGGGGGATATAACCGCTAAGCTTCCTCTTTTGTTTCAACCTCCTCTTTTGTACGTCTGATCGTTATCGAGTGTGTACTCGTTCACGAGTTGGTTTTGAAACTTACTGATACCATCATGATCTGGCTCACACTCCTCCTCGCGGCCGTCGTGAACGGCCAGCTCAATCTACCCCGTGGTCTGAACCACCTTCGATTTGGCTGCTCCCAGATTACTGTCGAACGTCTTGATCCTCTAGTTAACCCCGGGCTGGTTGGCACTCCACATATGCATCAAGTTGTAGGTGGGAACGCCTTTAATGCTTCGATTCCTTCGACCGATGTTTCCAGTATAGCTTCCTGTACGACCTGTGGTCCTGCTGATGATTTGTCGAACTACTGGACGGCGAATGTTTATTTCAAGGCGAGGAATGGGAGTTATAAGAGAGTTCCTCAGGTCCCAAATAGGTAGGTTTTTTACGAGGAGATTGAAATTTGCTCTTTCCCCCTGTGCTTCGCTTACAAGAATTGATATATGTTCCTCCAGACTTCAAAGTCTCTTTAATAGGAAGTGGCCAGCTGACTTTTAGAAATTAGATATTTGTTCAACGATAGGTTCACTACCCAAACGAATGGTGGCATAACAGTGTACTATATCTCCCAGGGCAAGAACGAAGTCACAGCTTTCAAGCCTGCACGTTCTACATTCATTTTATCACTGTACCATCATGATACTGACTCTCTTCCAACTTAGGGATTCCGTATGCTAGTCGGCGACCCAATGCGTCGAACCCCAAAATACAAAATGCAACGTTGTTTCCGCTGCTACACAGGGCCGAACTTTGGCGGGGATGACAGGGCGCCATGTTCCGATCCCAAGGTAGATAGCGAAGGTTTTCCTCCTGGGCCTTGCTTGGGTGGTATAAGATCGAACATTCTTTACCCCACGTGAGTTCTGTTTTTGATTCTATTTCACTTCGGAGGGCGAAGTACGAGGAAACACAAGAACCCAAAGTCCTGACACCAAACCAGCTGCTGGGACGGTAAAACCCTCGACACCCCAAACCACCAAGACCATGTCGCATACCCAACCAAAGGACCGGCGGATTTCCTCATGCCAAGCACATGTCCCTCCACGCACCCCGTGAAAATTCCTCAGTTGATGCTAGAAGTCGTCTGGGACACGACACAATTCAACACCAAAGCGGAGTGGCCAGCGGATGGCTCGCAACCGTTTGTGCTCAGTACCGGGGATAATACGGGGTATGGACAACATGGGGATTACGTGTTTGGGTGGAAGGGCGATTCCTTGCAGAGAGCGATGGATGATAATGGGTGTTTTAGTGCGACGTGTGGGAAGCAGAAGAGTCAGGATGTTGGGGTTGCTAATCTGTGTCGGATTCCGAAGACGGTTGTTGAGGATGCTGATGGTTGTGAGTTTTCCCTGCTTCGCTCTTCTTTCTTTGCTTGTTTTCTTTTTTAATTTATTGGTGGTTTATGGGTAGAGACGGTTGACTGATCTTAATTTCTAGGGATGGATGTTTTGCCTGGCAATCCGATGGGGGGTTAGGTGGCTGAGAAGAATTGTAGCGAATCGTGGAGAGATTGCAATTGGGCCTTGATTGCGGGTTTGTTGATCTAACTCCTTTTCTTATGTGGTTCAAAAATAAAAATACCCTCCCTATTACTCTTATCCAAACCAAGTCAAGGTCCGAGGAAATCATGGTTGCTCAGTTTCTTTGCTGTAGCGTCCCTCAAGAACAAAAAACGTGACAAACTTCACTCTTCACTTCCGTATTGCTCACTACCTCAACAGCCCCAGCCCCACAGAACCTTTCTGGCTTGAAATAAGCAGCTCGACACCCAACAGACTCAACTATCCTAGTGGAAAAGATCGTGCCCAGGCCCTCCGTCGAAGCCTAGCTGCAGGGGGGAGAGTTGCTTACCAGAGGAATCATGAACGTCTAAGGGGATAGATAGTTGAGCCCCAATGATCTGCTGCGCCTGTCTCTCCGCAACCTTTTTTTGATTTTTTTAGTTTTTTAATCAGAGGTTTTTTGTTGTGTTGAGGGTTTTGATCTTTTTTTTACGACTCTTTTTGGTTGTTAATGTCGTTGCTGGAATTTATGCGAGCGAGTCGAAAAGCAGCATTGGAATTTTGTATCTAGGAGAGCGCGAATGCTACAGGCATCAAAATATCACCCACAAGACAATGAGCTTAAGAATTTCTCTCTCTTTATTATCTTTCTAAGAACCATGTCGAGATACTTCTAAGTCTCAACAAATAGTACCAAGTAATACACAGATGTATTATCAAGCGGCACCACAAGGGATCTTACAAACTCTGCCAATCCAGCCAGCGTTTCAACGAGACCAGTTCGCAACCAGCCGTCCACACCTTATCACAAAAGTCAAGACCCAACGATCCATATTCATTCTCGTGGTACCACTGAGCCCAACTCGTAAACTCTTCGAGTTGAGATATCTCTAATTGTCCGTACTCATCAAGAACCGCCGATGCTTTGCCCTGTAGAAGCGGCGTTTTGGCCATGAACCCAAGGGTCCAGACACAGTAGAACCAGGATTCGAATCGTGCAGCAGCTTCTGGTTTCAAGCACGGTTCTGAACTTTCCGCCCAGGTAACATATGCAGCAGAGGCACAGCGAGCGTGGAATATAAGGCGCTTTGCTCGGGTGATGGATTTGGGCTCGTTCTCGCGGCTATCTTCCGATTGATTCACGGCATCAGCTTCCTCCTGAACGTCTAGGAGCTTTTGAGCACCGGCGAAGTCTAATATGATGCGAGGGCCAACGACTTGACATATGGACGTCGGATTCTCTCGCCAGGTGTGATAGAAAACACGTGCCGTTTGAGCAAGAGCTGCTACCACGGAGAAGTCATCAGCAGCTTCAAAGATTTGACAAATTATTTCAGGCGGGAGAGCCGAGAACATTGAGGAAGACATGATGATTGTGGAACATCGATGAAAGTGACCACAGTGTGGAAACTCCCTTCTGCGGCACAATCATGGACACGTGATGTTTAAGGACAACAGGGGTTGAGGGGACCAAAAGAATCAACTCAAAATTGATGATCCTCTAATTGGTGGTTATTGATCTCACTACAAGAATTTGTTTTATCTATATTTGAAAGCCAACTAGTGGCAGAGAGCTTAGCGACCAAGGGTCAGCTTTCAATTCCACTTTTGTCTAGTATAAGCAGTTGACATGCTAATGTACACATCGAACACATTCCCAACACAACACGGTTTTCTCAGGCGAGAATCTTGTTAGCGGTAGTATTATAGACTAATTATAGGGTGACTTTTAGGGTAATCCCCAGGAATGATTGCAATATCTTTGACACCTTTCTGTCATTTTGTAGATGATTGAATTAGGAAATACCGAACCCCTCTGACTTCCGTCAGCTTCTCCTCCGTGGTATGGAGTTCGTTTCCTATGGCATAGTATCATGATATATACTTAGTCCTCAATCATTTTATTCCTCCTCAAGGCAGAAGCCATGATACTTTACCTAAAACTCTACACAAAAGATCTTGCTTAAGTGAGACCAAAAAGGATTGGGTTGCCATCACGGTCGTGCAAGTAGATTATAAGGTGAACATTCGAGGCTTTTCATTGTGTGATTGGTAAAGAATGCGGGGAATGGTAGCCCGTTCTCGAGGACGTTGTATGGGTATTTGTAGATGAATCGAGGCGGTTACGGGAGGTTTGGTGTGAGATTGTGGATTTTTGGGTATGGGATGATACGTGGGGAGAAAGATTGTGATAATAAGGGTTTTTGTGGAATTGCATCATTATTTCGATTGATACTTTGATGGGTTTATTATCGGTTAGGTACATGGGACGAGTATTATTCTCTAGACCTCTCGATTTTATCCTCGCTCATGCACGATGACGAGGAAGAGCAGGGTACAAATCGAGTATCCTCGAAAAAGATTAATAGTTGTGTTCGGTATATCGTTGAATATCTATGTTGCATGTAGAAGTTAAGGCAAGCTACGCTTTCTTCTTGACTTCTCGGTCAAGGTTTCGTTGGTGGTGCGGAGTCTCTCCTATAATAACACGATCTTACAATGCTGTACACCGACAGCAGAATCCACACATGGCCAGAAAATCTACTTAACCGCAAGAGGGTCCTTACCAGAACTTCCCAGAAGAATCTTCTCCCCCGCCGGCTCCACAAACTGAATACCCCGCTGCATGACCTCCAAATCATCCATAGACTGCAACTTAACCAACGACTTCCTCATAAAACTGACAATCTGCGCAAGCTTGACAAAATCAACATTCTCATCCGCCTTGAAAATATTCCTCCAAAGAGCAGACGCCAACACTGCATCATTCTTCGCCAATCCCTCGTCATACGCTGCAAGTATGCCTCTCCACTGCACAAATATATCTTTGAGGTACTTCTGTCGCGTCCCATTAGCAGTCATTCCATGGTGCGTAGCCATCTTATCCTCCATATCGTAGAAAAAGTGGTTGAGAATTTGCTGCTGCCATGTTTTACAGACATCCGGAGGGAAACAGCGGAATCGGACGGTGAGGAGGTATATATGCAACATTGTAACTTGGGACCATGTGCTGAACGTGGGTTTCAATCCCACTTCTACAACAAAAACGTTAGAATGAAATTATTGGGCAGGAATTTGATTCTAGACGTACCGTCATGCCACCATCCTCCACCCACCCCGAGATCTTCCCCATCTTCTGTCTTGGGCATCTCGACCTCTGGATCTGCTGCTTTGGGAATTGTGTAATTGGCGTGTCGCGCGCATTCTTTATACATCTCCTCTGTCCCTCCATACGCAGTATACGTTTCTGTTATCCCGCCGATTTTCCTGGGCGTTACCCCAGGCTTTGTGGCTTTGGTGGGTGCATTGGGTAGATTGGGTGTTGAAGTATTCGCTGATCGTCTAGGTAAAGTTGTGAAAGCTTTCGAAGCTACGATGCCCCGAGTTGTATTTCTGACCTATGAGATTGTTAGGTATGATGTTATGGAAGAAATGGAAAGTCTGACAATTGGCGCAATTTGCGATTGGCGTTGGAAAATTCGCAGGTATGATATACATGATTTTGAGGCCATTTTGAGTGGTTGTGGGGTTTGTCGCTGCTGAAGCTTTGCAGAGTGTCGATGACGATGGGAAATTTCTACAGGGGTTGGATCGGAGCTGATCAACCATTTCCGTAGCTAGAATAGGTACTCGAGTACTAGCCCACCTGCATCTCCACTTCCCACCCAGCTTTCCACAATTCAACGAAGACAAACATGTCGGTTTATATCTGGGCTATCGGTACCATCATAAAGAGAAAGTTCTGTCAGCGAGAGATCTTGAATTAGGTTTCGATATTCACGTTCCCAATGCCCTGTCCAGGCTCTGTTTTTGCTCGATTAGGCACCAATACTCGAGTGCCTCAAGAGATTATTCCATTATTTTGATGACGAATATTTCCGTTCTCTTGCCTCGCTTCACCAATCTTCGTAAGTGTGTTCATAAGGAAAGTGCGAGTCGAACAATCCTCCATGCTGTTGCCTATCCATGTACCGCTTTACTGGAGGAAGGCACAGAAGCGAAAACGTCAACGGGAAGAAACATGGGACATATGAAAAACCCATGCTTCGTCAATTGAGAGTGCCTTGCCACGTTTCCCTATATATCTGGTCAAGACATTTGCGCGTCTTTTCTGTATATTATCTGCAGCCTAAAGACTCCAATTAGTTATAACCCCCGTATCCCCCCTTCAAAATCCCAAAAGCACATTTTTATTTCAATCACTTACCTATAACTCCCCAAACCCCTCAACTCCAATCCATAGAGCATAGACACGATGATATTCCAAGCCTTCCTCTCAGACATCTGGTCTACAATCACCATCCTCCTTCTCCACATCCTCGTCCTCATTTTCTTCTGCATATCAAAAGTCCTCACAGGTGCATACTGGGCACTCGTCATCATCTTGTCTTTATCTATTGTTGTGTTGGTTCCATTTTATTTCTTCAAGTGGTTCAGACTCAGGAATCATCATCTTCATAGTCATTCTGATACACAAACTCTTTGTACCAAGCCTGAAGGGGACCTCACAGCTGAAATGCTTAAGGGTATGTCTGTTTTGGGGTGATTGTCGGGGTTGGATAATGGGAGACTAATGGTTCAAAATAGAAATGATGGATTCCGATGTTGATGGGAGCGGGAGTGTAAAAGAAGCTTCATGCCAGTGGGATTTATGTGATGGGTCTTAGGACTGAGAGTTCTTCAATTAGTCGTCCTTTATGTTCAGGCAAAGGTCTTGTCTGAAAGAAATGTCAGGATTTGTCGAGGGAACCTATTGTCTGCAAAATGTGGAAATATTTAGATAGATGGTTCACACACACGTTTGCATGGAAGTAGAGCAACCTAATCTAATATTCTTCTGGACTTAGCCCGTTCTTGAACATCCGTTTGTTTGGGGGAGGGAGTTGTTTTGGAGGTGGGGGGGATAGTACAATCCTCACCAACTTTATTGCACAGGAGCTCTCTGATCGCAGCCACATAGCAACCTGTTGCGAACTGACGAGGATACTGCTTTCAAAGCTATCACTACTTTCACCACAACACCATACCAGTCATGAATCCTGACGACTATCCCATTCATTGCACTTGCCGTATCATTTATGACTACAGCAGTATATATACTAACAGAAAAATGCCAGAATTCCATAATCTACTACTTATGATTTACTTTGGCTTTCGTAACCAATCACTGTTCTTTTGATGTGGATATATGCTTAAAATAGAACTTCTAAAACACATTCTCCAACTACCGTGAACCACTCAGAGTCTACGTACAAACCCCAGTGCTATCTGCCGTCGTTCCATCCACTTGCCTTAAAGATGATTTACGAAGTACCGTTATCACGGTAGTGCGTCAGCCTCTATAGCGCCCCTAGGTATTATTCCGGCCAGTCCGAACACTGGGGTTTAGTAACCCGAACCTTATTTTTATTTTTATGCGTATAATGGCTCGCTACCACAAAATAACCTTGTATATCGAGGGGGAAATAGTATGCTGGAATAAATACCTGTTTCCGAAATTATCGCTTAACTAAGGAAGTCGTAAAGTCCAACTTCTACGTGTACATATAGAGCGTCGAAGGGATGGCTTTTACGCTCTTTTTTTCTTTTCTATATCTTTAACAGTTTTATTTTCTTGTAGCCTTTAACACACAAATCACTCCGTCTAATTTAATCATATTAATCCCTAATATCTTCGCTACAACAACACTTCTCTACACCATAATTTCCGGATATCCTCTCAACCCACTCACCTCAGCTCTAACACCCTCCCTCCCCCAACCATCACCAGCTCCCTCACTCAACCAAATACCCATCCTTTCTCTCTCCGAGAAACAACACAACAACCCCCCAACCCACGGATCAGAAATCCAATTGGGCGCCGATTACAACATCGCTCCCCTCTCAAAGAGAACACCACCACGACCACCCTGGCCATACGACGTCCCCTTCAAGGGATGGTGGAACCTCTTCGGAATCTTCAAACGACCACCGCCGATTTTAGACGCGGGGTGGAAGGCGGTCATGGTTGATCCTAAACCCAGGTTCTCCTGGCCGGGGACTAAGTATCTTGGTACGAAGACATTGGAGGTTCCTCGTGTGGAGTAGGATTATATAGAGAACTGGGCGGACGATAAATGTGTGTTTGGATTGTTTACAGTATAGCCTTTTGGTGGTCGGAGTTCTGTTTATTCGTGTTTGTTTGGCGGTTTGCGTTTTGTGGTGTGTGGTTTGTTGAGGTGGTTGGGAATTGAGATGTTTTATTTCCCTGTTGTTTCTAGGCTTCAATTGTTTTTGTTGAGTGTCTGCGGCTTTTGATATCTTTAGCGATACGTTCGGGGGTTTTTTAGCATAATGTTTATGGTTCTTTTCTAGGATGGGAGAGAGAAGGGTATAAGGTAACAACTATTATGAGGCGTTCATTTTTGGAGGGGGTTTTTTAAATGAAAGAAAGGTATAGTAGTAAAATAATAGTACTACGAGGTCTAGGATAAACAATTCATAGTACAAATATAAACTGATGTTTATAAAGATTGTATGAATTATTTATAAGTCGTGTAAGATACAAAGCAATGTATACTAATAAGAGGGGGAGTCTAGATTAAAAGACAGGTATATGGGATTTTAGAGAGAATTATAGGAGTTCTGTAATATGGTAGCCTAGAGTCGCGATATATGACCGTGACTTATAAACATGGGGAGTGACTCTAGGGATATAATTGTGGGTTGAAATACTATCGGGAGGGCCCTTTCTTTTTTTCTTTTTTTCTTTTTTTATAAAAAAGAAATTCAAATATAACTCTTTATAGATGTATTAATTCAAGTTGCAGGATACTCCTTGAGCTAATCCAAATTTCTTTTGAGACGGCATCATCCTAACAACTTTTCTCTTATGTGTCTTAGTCGCCAAATGTTAAGAGAAGTTGAATTTGCAAGAAAGAACATCAGATAGAACGGCATGAAAATGCTGCCAATCCACTCACACTCCCATTCAACATTATAATGGCAAAGTAGGTGGTTGAAACAAAAAAAAACTTTCTTTCGCTAAGCAATAAATAGTGCCAACGAATGCAGATCAGTATGTGGCAGAGATAACGAAGGTTCAATAAAGTTTTAACCACCGTGATGGGTATAGTGGAGCAATAAATTCCAAAGAACCCTAAGCTTTTTAAACCCCGTTTATATCTGTAATCGCAGGTGTGGCACTATTGGACCTTTGCAAGCTTTGATTAGTTCTCCCGCCGTGGTATGGACGACTGTTGACACTTCATCTGCTAGCGTGGTCTAGACTCTTTGGTTGTCAACATACTTGGGAATATACGAGTACTTGGCATGCTTATATTGAGCATTACAGATGGAAAAATGCCGAATTGTGTAGAGTGAAGAAAGAAGGTATTCATGTTACTTCGGATTACTGGGCTGTTTGGTGATGCCAACTCATTATTGAAGACGTGAAGGTGCCTACCCAAAGAGGTGTTTATGATCGAAGCGGGGCGCGGAGACGGATAGAAGTCCGTAGACGTCGACTCGATACCAGTAGTCAACGACCCAGAGAAGCAGCGCGGGTCCAACTGGACACAATTTCTCTGATCCTTCGTGGATGCCCGTCCCATGGCTCAAGGCAACACAATAGCACAATCGCACGACAGTACAACGGACACAAGGCCATCCCATGTTTTTGTCTCCCCTCATTCATGACTAGATAGGTTCCGCCGTCTTCGAGGCTTCCCAGGCTTCGGCTGACCCAAATTCTTCGCTGCGCATGATTCGTGGGTGCTCATGTGACAGGGGTACGGTATAGAATTCGAGACAAAGGCATCAATGACGGGGCGGTGGACGACGGGAAGAGAGACAAATAGATGATGGGAACGGAAGTGGATGGATGGGAGTGGCTATATCAAGGAGCGGAGCTAAAGAAGACAATTCAGAAGCAAGGGAGAGATGTCGGTGAAGTGGCCAAAATGGGAATGAGAATGAGAAGGAGAATGAGGGGATGTTGGAAATGTCGAGATGAAGTCGCAGTTGGACTCGGTTACGCTCGTCTCCCATGTCCATGCCCTCGCTCATCCAGGTGTTTGGTGCGGGGAATTTTGGTACCTACTACCTATAGGTAGGAGTAGGGTAAGTGAGCTATCAGTGTGGAGGGCTGTCGGTGCCTGCCGGATTGTTTTATTTTCACAGGCACGCGGAGCAGGACAGGGTCATTCAATTCACCGCCATCTACTTGGTAGAGAGTACTCGTATATCTAAATGCCTATTCAAAGTACTCGAGTACTTCGCAAATAGATAGGGAGCCATGCGATAGGGCAATAACTGGGATCGCCTGCTGATTCGACAAGCGCCCGATCTTAACCCCATCGGTCGATTCCTCGAGGCAATTGATGTGAAGGACCTTTTTGACGAGGTTGCATGAAGACTCGTACCAGTACAATAGTCAGAAGTCCGTAGTCCGCAATCAGTAGTACCTTGAGACGGGAACTTGGTGCTAAATTATTACGGTTGTACCCTTTTTCTTAGCTGCTAGCGCGGAAAATGACCTTGTTCCAAGCAATTGGTTCGCTCTACTGGTACCAGTACATGGCTAGATCCTGTGCCGAGTGCTGTGCTGTACCTATTTGTCAACATTCTCCCGTCCCTCGTTAAGCCCCCTTCACCCCTTAAACCACCCTCGCCTCCTCGCCCCCTCTCGCCTCTTCTACCTGCTGTCGATGAAGGGCTTCTCAAAACGGGCTCTGTACACAACATCGCCTGGCCATCTCAATTGCACTACCGCTGCCACCAGTCATCTTCCCCTATCCTCCTTGCCGTGGTTGCATTCAATCCAGCAGCACCCTTGCGCGCTCTTACCCCTTACCATCCCCATCAACTTCTCCCCGCAGACACTCAACACCGCCAACGCACCTTTTGCACCCATAATTGGCAACCTGCCGTGCACCCAGCAGTTAATATCCCCAGCCAGTTTTCTCATTCCCATCCCAATTCAGGAACGGTTCCAGCGCTTGCACATCCATACAGATCTTGCATATCAAAATCAGGTTCCTCCGCACAGACCGACTGGTCATCGCCTGCATCTGGACTTGCCCCTGCCTACGTGAAGTTGCGCCAAAGCCTACGCCTACGCCTACGCGGGGTTCAGGTGATTCTTCAGCGACCCCTCCACTGCTCTCCAACGTCAATATCATCCTCTCAACACGTCTCCTCAACCACCCTCCGTTTTCCTCGGGGGTTCTGTTCATCCGCCTCCACCATGTCTTCCGTATCTCAACCCCAGACGCCTGCGACCCTCGATAGCCCCTCACGAGAACACAGGCACCGTCCTGTAGAGAGATTGACGGATCGACTCGAGACCCCAACCCTTGATGATCGATCATACAGAGTCATTCGACTTCCCAACCAGCTCGAGGTTCTCTTGGTTCACGATGCCGAAACAGACAAGGCCAGCGCGGCCATGGACGTGAACGTGGGAAATTTCAGTGATGAGGAGGAAATGCCAGGCATGGCTCACGCCGTGGAGCATTGTAAGTGCATATATATTGGTCCAATTGCTGCATTGAAACCACCTTTGCTAACATCTTACTAGTGCTTTTCATGGGCACCAAGAAGGTACGTTGAATTGAAGCATTTTACGCAGAATATTCCAGCATTCTCTTGTAACCACCATTCATGAGCACAGCTAACATTCCTCCAGTATCCTATCGAGAATGCCTACTCCCAGTACCTCTCCTCCCACTCCGGCAGCTCCAACGCATACACCGGCGCAACGTCAACGAACTATTACTTCGAGGTTGCCGCTAAGCCTGCAGAAGATGCAGGTCCGGAAGAGTCATCGCCACTTTATGGTGCCCTGGATCGATTCGCGCAGTTCTTCATAGATCCTCTTTTCCTTGATTCCACTTTAGACCGAGAGTTACGCGCAGTAGATTCGGAGAACAAGAAGAATTTACAAAGCGATCAATGGCGGTTACATCAATTGGAGAAGTCCCTCTCAAACCCAAAACATCCATACTGCCATTTTTCTACTGGGAATTTTGAAGTTTTGAAGACGCAACCTGAAGCTAGAGGGGTCGATGTTAGACAAAAGTTTATGGACTTTCATGAGAAGCATTATTCTGCAAATCGGATGAAGCTGGTAATTTTAGGACGAGAATCCCTGGATGAATTGGAGGAATGGGCAGCTGATCTTTTTGCTGGCGTACGCAACAAGGACCTACCCCAAAACCGCTGGGAAACTGAGGTGCCTTTCGGAGAGGGAGATCTGTTGACTCAATGTTTTACCAAGCCAGTGATGGACTCGAGAGAATTGAATCTTACATTTCCATTCATGGATGAGGAGCTGCTTTTTGAGTCACAGCCCAGCAGATATATCAGCCATTTGATTGGACATGAAGGCCCGGGAAGTATCATGGCATACATCAAATCCAAGGGTTGGGCCAATGGCTTGAGTGCAGGTGCATATCCTGTCTGCCCTGGAACACCCGGGATTTTCAACTGCCAGATCCGGCTTACCGAAGACGGGCTGAAGAACTACAAGGAAATCGTCAAAGTTTTCTTCCAGTATGTATCGCTACTGCAAGAGAATTCGCCTCAGGAATGGATCTTCCAGGAGCAAAAGGGCCTGGCCGATGTCGCCTTCAAGTTCAAGCAGAAGACTCCAGCAAGTAGGTTCACAAGCAAGATTAGTGCTGTCATGCAAACACTATTACCACGAGAATGGCTCCTCAGCGGACACAGCAGGTATGTTTACTGCTTGATAATATCTACTCTTTGTGAGTTAGTCATGGTTTGCAACTAACGTTCGGATCTATAGACTTCGCAAATTTGATCCGGTAGGTATCAAGGAATGCCTGTCATACCTGAGACCCGATAACTTTAGGGTGACGGTGGTATCTCAGAAGTTCCCAGGAACATGGGAATCAAAAGAGAAGTGGTATGGTACTGAATACACATATGGAAAGATCCCTGTGGAGTTTGTCGAGGAAATCAAAAAAGCCGCCCAAAGCACATCTAACAGCAGATTCCCAGAATTACATCTTCCACACGTAAATCAGTTTATTCCCACTAAGCTAGAAGTTGAGAAGAAGGAAGTAAAGGAGCCCGCTATTTCACCCAAGTTGATCAGAATTGATGACTTGGCCAGGACATGGTACAAAAAGGGTACGTGAAATACCACCTCTATTGATTTTCTCATACTGACATACACCAAAGATGATACCTTCTGGGTCCCGAAGGCTAATCTCTTTGTCCATTGTCGCAATACGTTGACTCAGGCAACTGCCGAGAATTGTTTGAAGGCGCAATTGTATACTGATGTCGTAAGAGACGCGTTGGAAGAGTATTCGTATGACGCAGAGCTAGCTGGTCTTGATTATTCTATCTCCAGCCACTCGATGGGGATCAAATTCGATGTATCTGGTTATAATGATAAGCTTCCTGTCCTCTTGGAGAAGGTCCTGATTACCATGCGAGACCTCGAAGTCAAGCCAGAAAGATTCGAAATCATCAAGGAGAGATATGCTCGTGGCTTGAAAAATTGGGATTTCCAACAGCCGTATAACCAAGTCGGCAGCTTCACCAGATGGTTAAACACCGAAAATGGATATATCAACGAGCAATTACTTGCAGAGCTGGATCATCTGACTGCGGCTGACATCCAGCAATTTTACCCTCAACTTCTCCACCAAATGCATATCGAAACATTTGTTCACGGAAACCTCTACAAAGAGGACGTACTGAAACTCAGCGACCTGATTGAAATCACGTTGAAGCCAAGAATCCTGCCTCAAACACAATGGCCTATTTCCAGATCCTTGGTCTTCCCCCCTAGATCCAATTACATATACCATAAGACACTGAAAGACCCCGCCAATGTCAACCACTGCATAGAATATCTTTTGTTCGTCGGAGACAAGGCAGAGCGTCAGGTTCGAGCCAAGACATTGCTACTGGACCAAATGACCCAGGAGCCTGCATTCGACCAGTTGCGAACTAAGGAACAACTTGGATATGTTGTATTCAGCGGTGCGCGAACAACCAAGACCACCATCGGCTATCGATTTATTATCCAAAGTGAAAAGACGCCGGAATATTTGGAGTCAAGAATTGATTTGTTCCTCGATGGATTCATCAAAACACTTACTAACATGTCTGACTCGGATTTTGAAGGCCACAAGAGAAGTCTGATAACCAAGCGCCTGGAAAAACTCAAGAACCTCGACCAGGAGTCAAGTCGTCTTTGGATGGCTATTGATAGCGAGTATTTTGATTTCGAGCTTGGTAAGAACATTCAGATGATTAAGTCGTGCGTTTACTAACAAAGAGATAGCCCGAGAGGATGCAGCAAATATCAAATCACTGACCAAGGCAGAGATGATTGAATATTACAACTATTTCATCCTTCCTTCATCTCCAAGTCGTGCCAAATTGGCCATCCATCTCAATGCCCAAACACCGGACACAGCGGCTGTAGAAAATGGCCTCAAGACTCTAGCTCTAAACAAGGATAAGAAAGACGAAGAGGATGGCGAAGTGGTCCCAGTTGTGACGGCAGGAAATGGCACGACACCATATATCATTACCGACGTGCGGGAGTTCAAGTCGAGACTACAAGTCAGCGCTGGACCCCAACCCGTCAAACACATCAGCGAATTTGAAGAGATGGAGCCGAAGTTGTAGAAAAAGATTCCGTTACGTTAGAATTTCTAGCTAGTTTTCTTCCTTGTCGAGCATTCTGCATGGCGAAGTGTCTTACTTCATTTTTTCAGGTGTCTGGAATGGATATGGTTATTGATTGGTTTCTTGCATTGAAAGAACTCATACGTTTTCTAGGATGGGATTGGGCCTTCGATGACGGACTCGAGTGTAGTTGGTTCGCTTGAATTAGCTGTGGGGTTGGTGGTTGTTGGTTTGAAATGTGCATTGTAGATACCCTTACCCCAGTGTTACATTGACACACATGCCATTCATGATTCAATCTCTATCTTTTTGTGATTTTCCTCTTTCCTTTCACCTCAACGTAGACATGGCACTTCTTTGGTTTGTGGATTTTGAAATTGAACTCCGAGTTTGTATATAAGCAGCTTTTGACAGCTGGAAATCTAATCCATTCCATCCCAGAGCCTACTTATTGAATATTCCATTACAGTTATGAAGGGTCTAGAAGGATTATATTCTAGACTCCTTCTCCTATAGGACTTTTATAGAAGCAAATCATTTGACCCGGAATTGGTCTTCCTGGTCCGAGTAACTAATAGGAAGCCTGGAATCTATTAGGTTAGTCCGTGTTGGGAATATTACTTGTTAAGTATTATTACAGATTGTAGATTCTTCTTGATACTACGAATGACTATTGTAATATGTGAGAGATGTGAGAGGTGTTAAAAAAGACATGTACGAGTAAATGCTTAGAAACGTGGCCTATTTGGCTAACCGAGTTTGTTTTATAGAGAAAATGATTTGAAAGTATATCGATATGTGTAATCTTACTTTTCGTCCACGAGTATTTTTACACCTCTTACCTCTGGGGGGAATAGCTGGTCCACATATGACTCTAAGACGCTAGAGAGTCTCATACTATCTAGCGCCTTGCTAGTAGACATTTTTGAGTCGTAGCTTCTTCTGTTACCCCAGGGACTTGATCAAGTAACGGAGATATTGTGAGGTTGAGGCAATTGTAGTCGACGAAGAGAGACGACTCTCCTCGAATCCTGCTTCTGTGTGCAGTCAAAAACCCCCTCTAGAATTCCATAGAACCATTCTGCAGTGGTAGGAGCGTTGGAAGTTGAGTATCGTCTGTTGTCTCGACATGCAGGTGCTCGCCTCGACCAATCCAAACTCGAACCACCCTAGGTCGGCCTGTGGACCACTTCTTTGGGACTAAGCCATTCCCGCCCTTCGTTTAAAATGGGGTAACAACACGGAAGGAGCGATGTCTTGCTGGCTGTCGTGTTGAGTTCGAGTTCCTTGCGGCTGGTTCGATGTCATCGGAAGCTATCTCCTACCTGTTGGGTTGGCGAGGGAAGGAACGACCTACTTGTATGAAGACATTGAACACTCTTGTTTCCCACTAGAGTGAGCAGAATTTTGGTGATTGGCTCCAGGCGGCAGTAACAATTGTCAGCATGATGCATTCTCCAGGAATTGGAGTCTAACTGTGTATGCACGCATGAGGATGCTGTAGAATGCGAGATGAGTGTCACCCTAACAGGCGTTTGCCACTTTGTATACAAGAAACCCACTTGCCTTCATAGAAGATCAATTGGATTTGTATTGAATGCATCTCATTCGAGATATGGACACCAAACTCACGATGAATTCAGAAACACACTCTCTCCCCGAGATTACACGGGAAGCGCTCGAGTTTGAACAGTCACAATGGTCAAGTGGCTCGGTTCACAACGACCCATTCTACTCAGTGGTCAAAAGTCCAGCGCTGGCAATTCTACCTCCCGGTGCACTCCTCAAACTCGAGCGAACTACGGATACATCACTTTATAGCCTCCCTGCAGCGACAGCTCTATCCCGAATCATCTATCAATCCAAAACTCTAAGCGGGGAGATTGTTCCAGTCTCTACATTCATACTTTGGTCACATACATCAAGATCTACTGATGATGGGTATCAAGTCGTGGCTTGGGCTCATGGAACAAGTGTAATTTCTCCAAACTCCGCTCCTTCCCACACCAAAAATCTTTGGCAACACTTCAATGGCCCCTAAGCATTGGCAATTCAAGGACATGTGGTTGTAGGAACTGACTACGCTGGGATGGGCGTCTCAGTAACAGCTGCGGGCAAGCCCATTAAGTTTGAATACCTTGGGTTTCCCAGCCATGCAAATGATGTTATATACTCAGTCCAGGCCGCTCAAAGTGCATTTCCCGAGCTATCAAAGTCTTTCGTTGTAACTGGTCACTCGCAAGGTGGTGGCACAGCCTGGGCTGTTGCACAACGACAACATCATGAGCCCGTGGAGGGATATCTAGGATATATCGCATTTTCACCAGTCACGAATTTTGCGGCTGAACCTGAGCCTTTTGGTTCGATCATTGGAGTAGCTGCTACGCCTGCTATCGAGGCCGTCTTTCCAGATTTCAATCGCGCGGATGTTCTTACAGAGGATGCGGTTGCAAGACTTGGACTTATTCAAGAGGCAGATGGGGGATTGGCAACCGCATTAACACTTCTCGTTGGTATACAACTCACAAAACCAGGATGGATCGAGAATCCTTCCATCAAGAAATTCCTATCCGTAACCTCAAATGGGAGGAAACCAATTTCGGGGCCGCTATTGGTGATCCATGGTGATTTAGATACGAGGGTAAGCTTTGAAGTGGCCGCAGAAGCGGTGGAGGAAACGGCGATGATGTTCCCGGATGCGGATATTGAGTTTCTTCATTTGGAAGGGGCGAATCATGATTCTGCGATGGTTAGTGTGCAGTGGGCGTGGATGGATTGGATTCAGAGACGGTTTGAAGGTGTGTCTACCGAGAGGGGGTTGAGGAGGAAGGTGGTTAAAGCTGTGAGGCCGGTTGAGGCGTATCAGAGGGATGTTAATTGGTATATCGCTCCATCGACGAATTTCTGGGAGAGACCGTGAGAGAAAGACTGGGTGCGGGTGAGAAACTTTGGAGCATCTCTCCTCTGGGCGTTTTCTTTCTGCAAGGAAGAAAATGAAAATCTTAGAGGATGGATGACTATACGATACAAAATACATCATATCAAGCAAGAATTCACAGTCAACATAACCTCACAACCATGATCGCCCGCTTTCCTAATCTCCTAGAGCGGTAGAAGTGATTTCAAATCAGCGTGTCCCAATACCACAAGTTCAATCTCCCTGATCAGTCCTTCCAAAGAGGAAAGCGACGATACCGAAACATCCCCGTTGTCACCCTCGCCCTCGCTTCGCTCGCAAGGCCCAATCGAATATTGATGGTATGCTGAGCTGACTGGGTGTTGTCATCTCTTATACATGTAAGCTTCAGATGACGAGTACCTTGATTTTGCTCGGCCGTGTCGAATTGCTTACTGTGGAGGTTTCAATTGTGCCGCTCTGGTCTTTTTGGGGTGGAAATGATGTTGCGTTGCCCTGCTTCGGGTTTAGTGGGGAAGTTGGTGGGGTCGTTCAGTTTCTGTTTTGGATTGTTGAGGGAATAATTGAGTGGATTCTTATGTCGACAGCTTGGTTGGGGAACATCTCGTGGAACGACTTTACGATCGGATTGGGGGTCCCCAAGGCGGACGAGAAGACGGGGAGGGGCAAGTCATACTCGGACGTCGTGATGAAGGGCGTGAACTGGGTCTTGAACCAGTGGACTGTCCCGGAGGTCGTGATCGAAGGTGTACCCACGAACATCCTCGACACACCTGCCCGTATGCGTAACGGCAGGCCGGATAGGAGAATCGGACACGATTTCGTCAGGATTGGGTTGCCCAAGTCCAAGATCGCTCCGGTGTTCGAGACGTTGAGGAGCGTCATGCCCGCTGTCATGTCCAATGTCTCGGTCACTGCCGGCTACTACTGGATCAACGCGTCGTGGGGAGTCACGGGGAACCCGGCCCAGTGCGTGTACAGGGATGCGAGTGGCGTCATGCAGAAGACCCCTAAGGCGTACGAGTACATGAAGATGATCAACGGGTCGAGCTCTTTGGGGATCGCCACGATCGCGGTCTCGATAGGCAGTCAGACCACGATGCAGGGCGGAGTCTCGGTCGCAACCCCCGGCAAAGAGGAGTTCTCAATCAAGATCCACAACGTGTTGCACATGAAGAAGGTGTCGTACAGCAGCCCGCCGCAGTCAGCAGCCAACGGGTTCGAGATCAGCGAGGAGCTCTACTCGGCTGTCGAACCGCTTACGATGGTCGCGACCCAGAACATCTTCTCGTCCACATCGAGTGCTTTCAACAACGACTCCTTCAACCCATTCGCGAGACAGCAGGTGAACGACAACAACAACGCTGCCGCGAACGACCAGACAAAGTTCCTCCTCTGACGAGATCTCCTCGTTCTTGTTGTTGTCTTGTCCGTGTAGTTCCTTAGCACCGACTCCACTCCACAGTCGTTACCGTATCACGATCGTCAGCACCGTCGTCATCCGCACAGCGAGTAAAAACACGTTGATGGACTGGGCCAAAATCATGGACAACCACTTGTCGACGAGAATCAACGCGATTGGGGAAAGAGTCCGAACGAGGATGGACGTCTCGAAGGTCAACACCGTCCAGTCTGACGTGAGGTCTGCGTGTTTGGATGCGACCACCAGATTCTTGACCAAAGTCTACGTGGTTTCGAATAAGGACACGTACCAGAACGTGGCAATGGCGATGATGGCTGTAGCGAACTCCACTCCGATCAAGTGCATGTGCGTCGGCATCAGCCCGTACGAGAATGGCATACTCGCTCCCTTTGCAACCGCGTTGTCCTATCGGGGTAGGCGTCTTCTTCTCCTGGGAAGATCTCGTCTGGTTGCCAGTCGACTTGGGAGTCGTAGGTGGAGAGGTAGTAGACGCACTCGCAGTCCTCGACTTCGACAAGGTCACCGCGTTCATCATGTTGTCCATCCTCTTTTCCGGGTCGTCCATGGGATTCTGAGCGACTTGTGCTCTGGTGGCCGAAGTTGCGGTACTCATGGTCGCGCTCTCGTGTTGTCGTAGGGTTGATCTGGTATCTACGCCGTTCTTCTGCGTGGTACCACAACCACTTAGTAGTAACCTGCTCGGTGGACTTGTCACAGTCCTGCAGATTTTGACGTCGATGTCAGTTCGAGTGGTTCATCGATCGCTACTTCGACTAGTACGAGAATGCCGCTCCCCTCTCCAGCAGCGAATCCAGCTTGATATACTCCTGGTGTGTCCTGTTCCTATCGTCTACGATGGCCTTCCCGTGCTCAGAAAGCCTCTTCCTGACGAACCTGATCGAGTTTATGTACGGCATCCCCGGTTCGTTGTCCGTGACCAGCGACGGCGAGCATGACCAGAACGCCTGGCAGAGCTTCTTGGAGGTTATACCGCATCGTATAGCCATAGCACAAGTAGCTGGTATGCACTCGTACCTGGTAGCACCGACGTCGTACACCAACCCGGCTGTCATCTTGTTGACGTTCTTCCGGAAGAATGTGTACAGGGCGATCGCGAGGGACGTGGGTGGCCTCTCGAAAGCGGCTGCGACAGACACCGCCAACGACATGAAGCTTAAAGAGACCATGTTGGTGACCTCTCTCGGGTAGACCTTCTTCTGCTTGGTCATCGGCTTACACATGTGGTACACCACCATACGTCTCCCTATGCTGTTGTTCATCGCAGACTTCTCGTAGAAGGGTATGTTGTTGGACGTGATTGTCGCGGTCTGTGCCAGGTAACCCGTCCTACCCTTCATCGTCACCGGAGCCTCCGATGTCCACTTCTTCACGTTGTCATAGTTGAACCCGTCTGCTATCTTACACTCGTCGCATATCAACAGCCTCTTCTGGCAGAGTTCTAGCACGTCGTCTGCGTCGGGCCATATGGACTTCGATCCGAATAGGTCTCCGCTGACCCATTGCGCAGCGTCTGCGAGGATCCTGGTCATAGCGTCGCACAGCTTCGACTTGCCCTCGTGACCGTCTGAGGAAAGAATGAGATGTTATTTCGTTCTTTGAAGACTAGATTAGGTGTCTTGGTCAAGGTTAATTAATGTTCGGTATCTGGGATATGATTCGTGAATTCTACGATACTATTCCTGAGAGTAATGTTCTAGAGAATCTACCTCTTGGAATAGAATGTCTCAGTAGATAGGGCTTTGGGGTCTGAATTTCTAATACAGAGGATATATGTAATTTGGTTTTGACTAATAAGAGGGATTAAATTAAAGTCTGATAAGATGATGTTTCTCAATCAGTGAAAGGGTAGGTGCCCAACAGTGTACCACGCTAGCTAGGGAATGTGACTAACAGATATAGTGAATAACTACCCTTTCACTGATTGAGAAACATCATCTTATCAGACTTCAGTCACATAGGCCAGAATAACTTTTTTATATGACATGTAATAAGTTCCAGAGTGGAATTCCAGATTCCATAGTCTCGAAGTGGACTATTTCACATCTCGTGTAAGATGGTAGAGAAATCTCCAGGTAGAGGATCTCGAATAGAAAGGGATTCTAGTTACTGAACGTTACTTATAATTATTCTAGACTAAGGTTATAAGGTCTATTTTTATATAATTTAATTATACCAGTTTCGTCTAATTTGTTATAATTAAAGACTTAAGACCGAATTTTGGATCTTAGTGATAAATATAGGATGATTTATATAAAGGGTATATGAGGTGTAAATAGAGGTATCTTCTAAACCGCCCGGAGGGCTTTTCACGTAGATCAAGGACGTGCACGAAGTTTTTTGGTGTAAATTTTAGTGTGAGAGATAACGGAGTGTTAATTCCCTGTTAGAAAAACCTCCGGGCGGTTTAGGAGAAAGAGGTAAAAGGTGTAGATTGCTCGCGTCTTTCCATCCCTTATATACGACGCATTATGTAGGGTATAACCCTATAATATAACCCTATAATATAACCCTCTAAACCAACTGGATTATCCGACTCATATGGAGGTATATTATAAGGTAATAAGGGAGGGGGACGTCGAAGCAGTCTAGACCCTTTAATATTGACTAATTTCACTAAAAAGACCGCTAAATATATATATGTAAAAGAGTACTTAATTTAAAGAAATAAGTATATAAATCTTTGTATTCTGCCTTACTATCACTCGACTCGTGAATCCCAATATTACTATTATCCTTGACCTCCTTGTCTTTTACTTCCATTTATATAGGTGTAAAGGATGGCAGGAGGGCCTCGCTAGGCTATTTGGGTTCTCCGCCCCAAAGTCACGTTTTGAGTCACGTAATACAGATGGCTTATTTTTAGATAATTGCCTAACTTATTAAATATAGATAATTTATTTAAATTGCATCTAATTTAATAACCCTATTTTAGACGAAGGAAGCTCGAATATTTTAGAATAAAATCATGAGTCACGAATTCGAGAAAAGCATCGTTCAAAAGTAACAGAATGGTATTCTAGCTTAAATACAATCAGATGTAAACATGAAAAAAGAAATTAGCTTTCCAATAATAAAGGACTGATTGGTAATCGCTCGCCAAATAGCCAAAGAAGAAGAGGGTTAAAGCTGAAGTGGCAAATGCATGACCAATCTACTGAGGAAGAACACCAGGAATAATGTACTGCTTCTCCTTCTTGAACGCGGAAGTGGTCGCGTTTGTGACATTCAAGGTGTCTTGAACAATTTGAGAGGGTGTGAGTGCCAACCATTGTCCAACGGAGATATCTATTAAAATCAGTCATTGCTAACGAATTACAAGCAAGAAACTTACCTGAGAAATGGTCGGCCTTTAGGACTTCCAGGAAGACCAGGTCGGTCTTTCCAGTGTTCTCGACGTAATGCGTCATGGACTTTGGAATGTATCCAGTGTCACCGGGATTGTAATCGAAGGTTTGAGCTGCGTTGGCTGCGGCGTAGATTCCAATTCTAGCAGAACCAGAGATGAAGTAGTTCCACTCGTCACTTGATGTGTGCCAATGAATTTCTCGAATGGCTCCTGGTTTGACCGTAACTAGTGCTGCAGAGACCATTGACGCTATGGGGAAGTTTTTAGGGTCAACGATTTTGACACTTCCGCCCTCGGTCTCTATGGTGTTTGCTTGCTTCGAGAAATGGTACGAGTAGGAGCCCTCTACTGGAACTATTCCAGCGGAGCCGATAACATTTTGCTCTTGAATATCTGCAGGTGCATTGGTTCCTGGGAAAATGAAAAGCTCGCCTGCTGGAATGTTGTCCCATGCTTTTAGGGGGACGCCCAAAGTCTTTGACAGGATATCCTTCTAAAAATCGTGTTAGTAATGCTCTAAAATCTGACAAAATGACACGAGGATTGCTTCGGTTCTTGGTTAAAAAAATGTGAGAAGGACATACCGGGTTGCGAACAAAGACTTCTGAGGCCAAGAAAGTATTATCTTCTGAGAACTCACCCGTGTCGAAGATCAAAATGAATTCGACACCACCTTTGAGACCTTGAAGAGAATGAGGAACTCCTGGCGGAAAGAACCAGACATCTCCGGCGCTCAGATCATCAACGAAGGTCTGTCCGTCCTCGTTCATTGCTTGAATTCGAGCACTCCCGCTATGAGAGAATTCTGTCAGAATCATCATCGCTAGCAAATATTCGGAGTTTCAACTTACTTGAGGATATAAGCCCACTCGGCAGCTTTGTGCCAGTGAAGTTCTCGATAACCTCCCTCTTCTAATCTCATGTCTACTCCAGCCATTTCGGTGGCAGCTGGGAGAACAGCTGCATTTTGCTGTCTGGACCATCCTGCTCGACCCAACCCCAATTTGGCATGACTCAAACCTAGTGGCCACTGGGAAATAGTTAGCACCGAATCAGAAATACGTAGACAGTCTCGTTGTTAACTTACTTGCGCGTTGTCAACAGCCCCGTGATCGGTTCCAGGTGGGGCCAACCTATCTGGGTTTAATCTGCTGTATTCTGGAGTTTGTGGTCCTGGATCAAGGCCACCTTTTGTTCCTCGAATAGGCTGTGGGTTCTCGGTATCTGTGAAATCAAGTGCAGTACCGATGGTTGCAGCTTCTGTTTGATGTGGTACCAAACTGAATGGGATATTGTCGGTATCAACATTGATCACTCCATTGGCAGGATTGTAACCCAAAAGCGTATTGGTAGCTGGAGCTGAAGCAGTACCAGTAGGTGCCGAAAGGACCAAACCAGCACTTGCCACAAGAAGGGTCACAAGAGGAAGAGGTGCCATTGCTGTATATGCTCACAGAAAAGAGAGACTTTGCCAACGAAGTTGTCTTGAGGATAGCAGAGGAAAGCTACTTGAGAATCTCCTTTCTATGGAAAAGACGAGACATCTTATAGAAATTTTGAATGTCTCCTTTATGACTCCTTCACTGCTATTCGCTTACAAACGTACGAATTTCCGCAATGTGGGGGGGGGATCAAAAAGTTCTCGGTTAGGACAGCCACCAAGAAGGAAAACCCCCTCTTCACTGAACTGACCTTTTCTTTGGCCAATAGAATCATAGCGATTTCGGCAGGAGACCCCTAACCAATTATCAGTGAACCCTCTTCTGATTGAAGAGCCAATCTTTCAATTTCCCGGTAATGAGACACCATTGATCTCAAATGATCAACCAACCAACCCTTGAGAGTCTGGAAACAAACGAGGGGTAGCTGTAATTCCCCGGCAGCAAGCATGGTTGATAGCTCCATGCTCGTGTGTAGTGGTCTGGGGGCAAGAAAAGCGGCTGCAAATAGTTCTATTTTTAACTTTCTGGTACAAGCTTATTCACTAATAAATATTACAAATAATTCGCAAGTGTTTCTAAAACGGCTTCAAATGATTAACTTCAATGTCACACGCAGGAAAGACTTCTTACGCTCTGGAAGTACTTCTGCCGCTTTTGCTTTCTGACCAAAGGCTGACGAATAGTTTCTTTCCAAAAGCTACCTTTGAAAAACGGGTTGTACCCCTGCATAAGAGAAGTAAGAATATTGAGCTTCTCGATATAAATGCACATGCACATGCATGTTGCAGCGTAGCATCGATACATGCACATTGCATTCTAGCATCGATACATGCAGATATACCCGGATTTGCCGGTCAAAACATCGGACTCTGGACCTTTGAACACTTCCACACTTCCACACTACCACCAAGGGTGAGACTATGTGAGGATTACTTATCTCTATGCCATTCTGTACCCGTGCTTACTTACTGTTTAGGGAGGAAAGTAATTCCTCCGTTGAGACATTGTGACCTCGGAACATGATCTTGTCCCGTGGCATGTTTACTTCGCCGCTGGCGCTTTCGCCGCTGGCGCTTTGTACCTTATCAGTGAGGGTTATAGTTCGGAAGATGGGAGATATATCGGTGTTATCGGTCTGGACAGCTCGAGTCAGGGCATCTATCAAAATCCAAGCTAGTGAAGGCGGAGGGAATGGAGATATACTCCTAGGCAGTGCAGGTGGCACAGTATTTCATGACCAAATAGTGGAGTACTCTTCCATCATTACCACAGCTGTTATCTGACGTTCAAACATTTGCTTGTATCTTTCTCCGCCTAAGAGAAATTTGGGGAAAGCAGCTTCTGGATGTATCGTCTGACTACCCTAAGGTCAAGTTCCCGCCGGGAGTACGGTTCCGATCAGACACTGATTCGCCGCTCCATTTTCCCCCGCTGTAGTGATACCATATTGTACAGCGCAGCACAGAAAAGCAAACTTAGGAGTGGAAAACCAACCGTCTCCATCTTTGATCGGGATCTAATCGGTAAATTCAAATGGTTCCGAATCCGATCACAAAATACGCTTGAAAACATATAAATACATGTGGACGCGCCAAGGTACCGACGAAGCACTTCCAAGAGTCTTGTGTGAAGCTTGTATTCCTTGGCCAAAAAACAAGCATCGCAGATCGACTTTTCCCTCTTGGCATCAAACTGTCATCTCTTGGCTTCCTCGGCATCACATCCAAACTATCACCTTCCCCTCTTCTTTTCATCCAAACGCCTAGCATATTATACAATATTGTTATAATTTTAAAACAAAATGGAGGGGGTGTAGATCACGCTCTACCATCTAGATTTGTCCTCTACTCTGACGCCCAGAGCCCTGGCCAATGTCCCATCCAATGACTACGCGGCGATAGTCGTCCTCCACCTCACCACTTCGTCTCTCTCAGTTGAGAAACATCTCCGGAAACTCTCTCACCTTGTGGAACATACTCGGATAAAAGTTGCAGGTGGATCGGAAATTGCGACTGTGTCTCAAGCCCTTCTGCTTCTTCCTTTCCACCCTGTGCAGTACGAGATATTGCGCAACATGTACAGTTAAGGGGATGTGAAAGAGCGTTTGTATGCGCAGCTTCGTGTCCCCCTGGTGCCCCGCGATCCGAGCCGCATGGGTTCAATTTTAGGGATGTTTGCCCGGCTTGTGCTCAACCTGGTCTTATCGTCGGGTGCGAGGGTGGGTGTACGCCGAGTGGTGGGGGTGGGGTTTGGACGCGTGTTTTAGAAAAGGCGTGGATGAAAAACTACATTTCAGGGTATGGGCGACTATGATTGGTAGATTAGTACGACTGCTCTTGAACGGATGGTCGAAGTGGGCCAAGTGGATCGGTGATTAGTGACGGATGAAAGTATCAATTTTCGCAAACGATGACAAACACTTGAGGTCTTGAGGATATTTCCTTTATACGGCCAAGACAGGTAGGAACTGTCACGCAATAGGGTTGAAAATAGCCAAGCTATTCGGCTATTGAAATCTTGAATGTCTTCTTTGGACACTGTTCTAGGCCTTTTTGATTGATGTCGATCGCGCGCTGAAAACTCACCTGCTGAATCAAGCATAGCGAGAGCGATTAAAATTTAAAACCGCAGATCTCTCCGGTACTGTACGCGAGTACCATTGCTTCTTGAAATAGACATATGTTTATTTTGATACCTGGAATCGTTTTTGGGGAATTTTGGTCGACTAGTCACTAAAGAGCAAAGCAGATTGGGGTTGTTTCTTTCCATTTCTTCTAGAAGAGTATATTCATGGGCTTCCGAAACCTTTAGCGTGACAAATATTAGGTAGTATCAGGAAACATGTCAGACTCTTTGCGATCAAAAACGTTGATTACTGTACCTTATGTGATAGCCCAAGCGGAATCCTCTGGGAAAATTAAAACAATAAAAACATGAAGCCAGACTAGTTACTGAAATTATGCAATCTACTATGGAACATATAATAGGAAAATTAATTGGAATTTGAGTGAGTAGAGACATTCATTCGTAATACGTTCTTACTTTCAACAAGCGGAACCCGAAAGGATCGGCGACAAGAAAAAAAGAACAGTGGAGTTTGTTAGACTTGAGGCCTCTAATTGAATATTACTATGAAGTAAGAGCTTGTCCGTAATGGGGAATATTTCAAATCCTAACGGTGATTACTATTCATTCATTGGGCAACGTTCGGCACATGGAACTATATTCCTTGGAATCATTCCATTCTACAAGTATTCCCCCCGGAATCCTTCCAGAGCACCTGTATAATAGAACAACTCCATTCTATCAATTAGTCACTGGAATTTCAGGACTTTCATGCAATTCCAATCATAGTGAATATTAATATAGATTTAAGTGAATGACCGTATTCAGGCACCCTAAATGGTTTACCTTCACGTGATATGTCTAGGACTCTACCTACCTCCGTATACCTACATATATTATTAGCACTCCTAGGGAACTTCCCTCTACTCCCTATATACAAAGACGCCTATAATAACTAACATACCCCTGAGACACATTTTCCGGGTCATTTGACGAGTTCCATCTGGAAATTCTATATATTCTATGGAATATATTATATGCCTCTGCCTCTCGAATAAAATAATTTCACCAAATTCGAAAATGGAATGGAATACTTCCAGATAAGAGCTATGGAATCAAATGGAATTCTAGTTGCCGAACGTTGTCATTGGATATACAATTGAGTTGTAAGTAGTTGCGGAGCTCGTATCTTGCGCCATGCTCGAAATTGCAACAGAGAAACATGATACATATAAACCTGGAGATAAGGATACTGGGTATAAGGATAGCGACGGTTACACCCTTCGGAGTGTTATATAATCCTCGGAAGTTAAATAATTCTATATAGATTTCTTATATTTTCAACTAGGACTTAGCGACAAAAAATAAGGGGATTATAAGTATAGTACTAGTCTTATATAAGAATAGATAGGCACTACCGTATTAATTGGATTACAAAATAATATTCTTTGTTAAGATGACATACGTATATCGTATATGGTTCTAAAAGTTCGCAGGATTAGTATCTTATAATTCTAACCAATTCGAGAGCTAGAATCTTAAATCGATAATTTTATATTAATCTTTCTATACTCATTTTAGTACTATTACACCCTCTAAAAGACTCGGGATTTCAAAGCTGAACTTGTAAAAGTATATTTAGTAATCGGTATATAAAAAAGTAATGTATAGTTTTAAAGCTATTCCTAGTTAATCCGCATATTAACTAACCCCCTATAGCCTCTAGAACGATTTCAGGACCTATTCCACGTTTTATTCTTCCTACAAGAATATACCTAAATTATAAATATGAATGGACTTAAATTATTAGAAGATTAGATAAGATTAGGGGTAAAACTAAAGGCTAGGAGTGACGGTGAACATAAACCCCCAAAAGGTAGGGTAAAAAACCAATTAAGATATTACTTTTTTTAGTGTAAAAGGTTCATATTAGTCCCTAGATAAACCTTTTATATTTAATATGTTATCTTGTAATCCGATAAATACGGTATATTATATTTAACAAACGCTTAAATATATAATCATGTCGTCCCCTATGCTAAGGGTCTTGATATTAGGATAACCTCCGTTATATCCTTATGGATTTGACCCCCACGAATATCCTTATCTCCAGGTTTATCTGTAGTGAAGAAAATCAGCGGCTCTATGAACATGACTGCGATAATAAAGCACATATGGAACATAGTTCTCTCCGAAATGCACCTTGGAGAAGCCACCTCAATAATGCTTGTCTGTTTTTCAGAGTCTTCAGTTTTGCTGTTGTACCGATGTCGCGGTCAAAGTTTTATCCCCTTTTCGTGCTCTCTCGTCTCATTCACCAAAGTAAACTGAAAGAAGTCCGTAGACAAATGGAAGCCCTTGAACTTCGAAGAATCTGCAGTTAGAGGCACTCACTCCACTTTACCTAGTAGCAACATATTAGATGTTCCGTAATCTAGATCCATGAGCCGACTTCTTAGATTTTTAGCTACAGTATAATCACGATATATGTTCTTGCCTTCAGTGGATCACCACGGGAAGGTTTAGCAGCACATGGGATGAACTCTGAAAAATCGCTGAGACTTACTTCTCTATACTCACAACCATGAAATCTAATTCAGCCGGCTATTATTCAAGGTGAAAAGTTTCATTCACTGACTTCAGATTTTGATATTTACAACGTGAAGTCCCTAGAACTATTCACGGAGTTCCTCTGGGAGGAATTTCTCAAGAGTTTGTATCAAATTGAAATTTCTGTGGTCTCCATTAGTTACAGTGTTTATAAATGATTCAACGGAAACCTGGACAAGTAGCATGGAATCTCTTTCTTTTATTGCATAGGAACACAAGATTTTGTATTAAATTTACCAAATATGGATAATTGTCTAGGGTAAATATACCATTAATATAAAGAACAGGGGTAATAGAAAACAATAAAACTATTATTTTGAGATTTGGTTAGTATATAGTAAGTACAAAAAGCAAAACATATCTATTTTCGAAAACTATTCTATTCTAGCACATAGAATGGACTAGAATAGTTCGTGGAAAAACCTCGGAAGAATCTCTTTAAAGAGCTTATATTAGACGTGTTAAAACTCTGCTATACTTAAGTATGCAGGAGAAATGCTACCTATTGATCACGTATATGTAAACACGTGACTTGGTTCTCTGCAGCATATTCCTGAACTACCCATGGATCTTATTAGTAATCTGTATAAAATTCCAACTTGACTTCCTCTCCCCTCTCAGACTCTCTTTTATCTCAGCGTTCTGGATCAGATTCTCTTCCAGAAGACTCACGTGACGTGGTACAGTCCTTAGGTTGATCAGGCGAGTCTTCTTCGCTTCATCAGGAAGACAACAAATTCTCTGAATATTACTGGAGCTAAGAATAATACGCTTTGTATCATCAAAATCCATGGAGCAATCCGATAACTGACCTTACAGAATGTTGCAGCCTGCCTATCGGCGTCGAAGGCACCACTTTCCCAGCCATGCTGCGAGTAGCGAGTTAGTGAGACGTCACTCAAAAGAGTTGTCTGTCACTACAAAGCGAATACTCTTCGAGTGCCTTCGATTTCAGTCCTTTTGTTATGAAGCTCGAGGTCTCCGAGCCTGAGCTGTCTTTTGCCGTGTCGAAGACACAGAGATAGGGAATGTAATTAACATGAAATGGAAAATTCCCAGATTTCAGAACCCGGAGTCAGTAAAAGATTCATTCGGAGCCCGGCAAAATTCGGCATTCGCCACGATTTGATTCTCAAATATCGTATTATCTCGAAGAGGGAAAGCTGTTTCAATGTTACCCGACCTAATACTGCATGCATGTCATGGGAGCGTCGAGAAGCACATACTGATATTACAATCTAGCCTGCAGGCTGCTTGCCTAGGAAAAAGATCAATAATCCCGAATGTTACTTTCACATGAGGCACTTTGATAGGATTTTTCTGTTCTGCTAATCTAAAGCACCCGACAGCAAACTTGCTGCGTCTAGCAATATAATTGGGAGGTTTCACATGCATGGTGCACTGCACAGAGTTACAAACGAGGCAGTACGCCTTGCTGGAATGGCTGGTGAGGCGGATAGCAATGGCAGTGATGGAGGTGACTGAAAACAGAGGTTTGAAATGAACGACAGACTGAAACAGAAGATAGGAAGCTGCTCTATGGGAATTACCCGGACAACTGTGAGAAGATGGAGTGGCAGGTTGGAATGAAGTGCTTGCGAATACTTGCAAGACTTACTCGTACAAGTACAGTCTCGAAGTCCTACACCAAAGGTTGCGTTGCAGAAACCATAGCCTCAAGATCCTTCTGGGCTCCACCTTGTTTCTCTGCCACTCACTGACTTCCAATACACAATATGCTGTATTCGATGGCGGTGTCTGGCCGGCTGCCACGTTTTTCTTCTCAAGTCCTTGATGAGCTGATCTGATACTTCCACACTCGTTTCATGAAAACACTTATCCCCATGAGGCGACGATGCCTTGGCCACCGAGGTACAAAGAAGCTTACATAAAATTGGGGCCCCGCCTCGCGTGATCGAATCTTGGTCGTACCTTATCCTTCGTACCTTATTATTACCTCATCCCCGCGATTGCGTGTTGTTCCTGTCCCCCACTTATTGCCCGCGAATGATGTGCCATTTTCTGGACGCTTGCGCTGCAGCAAGTTGCAACAGCTGCCAGCGACAGTTCACCGCGAATTGGCTGCTCCACACTCTGGTTCGGGGACCAATGCTGGGCGATGAAGCAAACAACTGCCCTGGGGCACTTTACAGGATGTTCCTGATGGAAACAACCCGGGATTTATTGATTGTTTACAAGATATACGATAATCCGACTGGTCCACTGGCATTGATGAACTATGGGGCGCAGTCCTTAGCGAATCGTTGCGCCTCCCAAGCTCCAAGCGATCACGGCTTCCGCGCATGGGGAAGCATGGGGAGAGCCTACCTATGCTGCCTCGAGTCCGGCCGCCGTGAAACCGATGCCACTGGATTGTATCCCCCATGAGGCTCCTCTTTCTCCTCTTAATACCCCTCATTCCTCTGGTGGAGATTTGAATGCTTTTCCTAATCAATGACTGTTCTTTTTGGAAGTGAACAATGATGTGAAAACCATTTGTTACCATCACGATAATATCGAGCTCGCGCATCGACCTGGAACGAACCGAACTCCCAAGATAAACCCAACCCAGCACGGAAATACAATCATGTCGATCTTCGGCCGATCCAAAAAAGAACGGTCAACGACATCTCGACATCGACACAATCCCCTTTATAACTCCCAATTCAACTTGAATGATAAATATCTCAGTTCAGTTCAACATTCACCGAGCGAGCAAAGACCTCCTCCGCCATCCTACACCTATGCGACATCAATAAGCAACAACGACCGGGTAATTCCTCAATACGATCCCTACCAGCCCGTCCAAATCACACAGAAACTCCATCGCGCACCTCCTATGCCTGAACGGACCCGAAAGTCCGGGAACGCTATCAGCAGACTCAACTTGAGTTCAATGGCAAACCCGCTGAAGACCGATGTTCCTGAATGCATCCCAGGGGCCCGAATATTGAACCAGGGAATCCCGGTTGGAACGCAGTACCTGAATCAAGGAGCAGCACTATGTGATGTGCTCACTGATAGGTTCAACAATATTATAAGCCTAATCGACGGAGAGAACTGGAGCGGGGATGATAGGGAATTGATCGTGCAAGAGCAGCCTTTGCCTGTATTCCAACAAGACCGGCCGTCGGCCACCAGAGATGTTTCCAGAAATGGAAAGTCTAAGGGCATAGTCAACAACCCTATTTCTTCGGCTATCACGACGACTTATTTCGCCAAAGTCAACATGTATGCAAACTCAAGGCTGCCTCCAAATTTACGCCCTATGAAATTGTAAGCTAATTGATTAAATTTTGACCGGGTGACTTTGGCTAATTGTGATAGATATATGCCGACGTTTCCTCTACTATGCACGGCAGCTCGGTATTCCGAACGTGTATATATGAAGCCGGTGTCACAGGAGAGGGAAACACACGTGAATGCAGATTGGAGGCAGGGTACGAAAGCCATGGTTATCAAATCGGTCCCAATGGACGATAAGAATACAATAGTGTTTGCTATCAGAGGAACACAAACTTTTATGGATTGGGCAATCAATCTCAATTCAGCCCCGGCTTCTCCGCAAGGGTTTCTTGTGCGTATATCCCAGAAAGCATTCTTTTATTGTCGACTGACCAATCACCAGGATGACGTAGGCAATCTATGCCACGCCGGGTTTCTCACGGTGGCGCGAAAGATGATTGCACCAGTTGCTGCACGTCTTCGATTTCTCTTGCAAGAGAATCCAAGCAGAGCTCAATATTCGCTTCTCATCACTGGCCATTCGGCTGGAGGTGCCGTCGCAGCTCTTCTCTACAGCCATATGCTCTCCACCAGTCCAGAAACAGAATCAGAACTCAATGTCCTCACAGGATATTTCAAACGGGTCCACTGTGTTAGTTTCGGCGCACCACCAATATCACTCCTTCCACTCACCAAACCATCGAATCCCTCACTCAAAAAATCACTCTTCATGAGTTTCATAAATGAAGGAGACCCAGTAACACGAGCGGATAAAGCCTACGTACGTTCCTTAATGGAGCTTTACGCCAAACCGGCTCCCTCGCAACCCTATCCCACGCCACAAGCACCGAGGCCTTCAAAATCGTGGAAACCGAGCAGCTCTTCCACCAGCGTGACTAAACACAAGCACTCGGTCAAAAGATCACATTCTCTTCCAATTACTACTATGCCACTGTGGCCCGTGCCCGACGCACCGTTGAGCAATGCTGGGCGAATTGTTCTTCTTCGTGGGGTGGAGAGGTGCGCCACTGCGCCTAAGAGAAAGACTAGACTGGAGGAGAAATTGGATGAGGGAGTTGTGGCACAAATTGTGGATGATGATTTACTCAGAGGTGTTATTTGGGGTGATCCAGTCTGTCATACTATGAGATTATATGCTAAGAGGATTGAGGTCCTGGCCACAAATGCGGTCATGGGGATGGAATGATCTTGGACTCGACAAAGAAAGAGGAGACACAGTACAGAAAATGAGATGATGGAGTTTGGGTTTGTGGGTTATTATTAGGGGGATGTTTTTTTTGGTGTTTGGATTGCGAGATATACCCTCTACCGAGTCTTTACTCGACATTTTAGTACTACGAAGATTATTGAATATCATTTCTACTCTAAGCTGGGACGCAAAGTTGTGGTTCCCATTGCTGCACTTCTTTGCCCTTGGTTTCCGGGATATCCTCGGCCAAGCTTTCGCTGGGCAGAATGCGGAAACGATAACGCTATCCCACCTGATTTGAAAGATTATTTTCGTTATGTGTTGATACCAGAAAAACAATCTTTCTTTTCAGGAGCACCAGCGGGAAAAGAGAGTGCACTCTCGGTTGCTGTTTTTCAGGCTCTAAATCTTGCCATGTTTACCTCCTGATCTCGGAACAGGTTGTTCGGCAAGTGTCGGCTTCAAATTCACGCTTCTTTTTGGCTGCGCTTTTCTATACCTGCTTCCCTCAGTAAGGGATTTTTGTCATTGCCTTCGGTGAATCATGATTACTGTGGGTGCGTGGGGGTTTGTTTTCAAGGGTGGTGTTGATTTGGGTGATGATGCGGTGATTGTGTACGAAAGTTTTGGGAGGCTTGGTGCGGATTGAAGTGAGCTGAAATGTTACGAAGTCGATTCTTTCAGCTTGCTGATTCCATACATATTCTATCTTCAGTTTCTCCAGTTTGCAATGAGGGGTGTGTATTTGTTGGTGGGTGCGGGCGATCCCGGTGGAGAGAACTAGAGAGCTGAAAGTTGCCATGACCCTACATGTCGTTCTGCGAAGCCCGTTTGTTTGTTTCTCGTCCTAGTCTTGAGGCTGACATTTAGGTTGGAGGGGATTTATGAGCCTCAATGAGCTGCTGCCACTACGAGGATTTTTCTGGGGTGGTTCTAGTTGTGTGGGTCAACTTCTGCATTTCCCGGACTGTGTCTGAGTTCTGAGTGATGATTTACTATATATCTCGCAAAGTGCCTGGACATTTAGTAAGCTATCACCTTTTGTTGTCGTTATTCATCACGTAATTGTGATTCAGCTCTGCTCCATCAGATGTGGAAGCTAGGGAAGGAAGTTCAAGTTTACTCTCCTTTCCTTTCATGCGGGAGTTGTGTTGAAGCTAGAAAATGTTACGCTGGGATGATGTTGACTACTATCGGACCATTTTCCTGTCACTTATTCGTACTCTCGCCTATATTTGAAGGCTTTGCTTGTTTACGATTTCATTTCGAGATATTACTATTTCGATTGCGACATCTCATACTAGTGCTCTGACGGGAGTATAACGTCGGCGAAAATAGGAAGAAGACTTCAGGAGCCAAAGTCGGCTGGTTGCGGGTATTTCATTCCCCACAATATAATGTCATTGAGAAGTCATCATTACATTGCCTAAATGTTTCAGCAGTGGTTGGAAGTCACACCATTTTCTATTTGGTCCTCGGTCATGACCAATTGAGTTCTAAACTCCGGAAAAGCTTCGGACTTTGCGATACGATTTCTTGGAATGGTGTTGAGCTGCATGTGTGGGTTTTTCTCGACTGCCTCCGTGATCGCTGGTGAAAACGTCGGAAAATCCTCGGAACACAAAACTGACGTCTGGTAACACTTGTCAAAAATGCATTGGTGTATGAATTTAGAGTGTTGTTTTAGCGAACTTGACTGAATTTGGACTCGTTTCTTCGGAAGATTGCTTGGGCTGAACGGGTCTAGCTTTAGACCACTGGAAGTCCTATGGCAGCTAGATATGCTTTCATTTAATGATGTACTCGACTTCATCGGTTTGTGCTGGATAGTTACAATTCAGCTTGAAGTTTTCGCAGGCAGCTTCTGAGATAGATGAGGGGACCACAGGAGCTGAGTCTCCGCCCACTCGGTGTATTTACCAATGGAGACTTTTAGTTTAGTCGCGCTCTCAAAATAATGATCTTCGAGTGCGCATTTAAGACTCCCTCTTTTCGCTCTTTGAACAGAAAACTTTGTTGCACTTTCACTCGCTTAAAGAACTTCCACGAGGACTTTCTTCAACATGCATTTCACGAAGATCACCGCTGCTGCTTGCCTCGTCGCCTTGGCTCAGGTCAATGCTCTTCCAGCATACCAAGAGGAGCAAGCTAGGTACGCCGAACACGGGTTGAATGCCCGTGCCGGAGGAAGATATCACCATGCAGAGGAAGAGAAGCAATACTTCAACAAGAATCATAAATATGAGAAGCAGAAGTACCCTGGTGATAAATATCACGAGGAAAAACATCATGAGTACCCACAGAAGCATCAAGTGAGTGACCATGGGCTTATGCAAGATTCGATATCTTCATATCTAATTCTTTGCAGACTTATTACACCACCTCTAGCATACCTTATACCACGACTCGCAGTACCACCCTATCGACCTCAAAAACTACGTCTGATCGTCCCACCTCAACGACGAGCTCTCACAGCTCCCTCAGCACGCACAGCTCCCGCAGCACTTCTACGCCCTCCACCTCATCGACTGTTCGCACAAGTACTCAATCCAGCCCAAGTTCTGGCGGCCAGAGTACTGTCTCCTCAACCTTTGTCACATCTAGCCCAAGTGCTGGCGGTCAAACTGTCTCCACGAGCTCTGTCACATCCAGCGGAAGTGCTGGTGCTGGCGGCCAGACTGCCTCAACGAGCTCTGTCACCAGTAGTCAATCCAGCCAATCTAGCTCAAGTGCTGGCGGCCAGACTGTCTCCACGAGCTCTTTCACATCCAGCGGAAGTGCTGGTGCTGGCGGCCAGACTGCCTCTTCGAGCTCCGTCTCTACGAGCTCTGTGACAAACAGCCAATCCGGCCAATCCAGTCAATCTAGCCCAAGTTCTGTCTCTACAAGCTCCGTCACACAAAGCTCTGCCACTACCAGCTCTATTACTACGAGCTCCAGCCTGTCTAGCCAAGGAAGTGTCTCAACGAGCTCTACCCCCACAAGCTCCATTACTACGAGCTCTAGTCAGTCTGGCCAAGGCACAACTTCTTCTCAGGGCACGCAAGCTACCCAAAGCACCCAGAGCACCCAGAGCACAACGTCTTCCCCAAGCACAACTACTACACGTACAACCACCTCTGCGAGCACAACCTCTTCAGAAGCCCAGACCACTCAAGGCACATCTACCTCTCAGAGCACAACTTCTTCGCAAGCTCAGACTACTCAGGGCACGTCCACCTCTCAGAGCACTACTACACGTACAACCACCTCTCTGAGCACAACTTCTACACAAGCCCAGACTACTCAAGGCACCACTTCTTCTCAGAGCACTACTTCTTCCCAGAGCACAACGTCTCCTCAGACCACTACTACACGTACAACCACTTCTCCAAGTACAACTTCTTCTCAGAGCACAACCTCTCCTCAGAGCACTACTACACGCACAACCACCTCTCCGAGCACAACCTCTACAAGTACTACAAGCACTACTACCACCTCTCCGAGCACAACCTCTTCGCAGAGTACAACCTCTTCGCAAGGCACGCAAGCTACTCAGAGCACTTCAAGCACAACTACTACTCGTTCATCGACCTCCACAACGACGTCGCAAGCCACGCAAGCTACTCAGAGCACTTCAAGCACAACAACTACTTCTCATTCATCGACCTCTCCGAGCACCTCTCCGAGCACAACCTCTACAAGTACTACAAGCACTACTACCACCTCTCCGAGCACAACCTCTTCGCAGAGTACAACCTCTTCGCAAGGCACGCAAGCTACTCAGAGCACTTCAAGCACAACTACTACTCGTTCATCGACCTCCACAACGACGTCGCAAGCCACGCAAGCTACTCAGAGCACTTCAAGCACAACAACTACTTCTCATTCATCGACCTCTCCGAGCACCTCTCCGAGCACAACCTCTACAAGTACTACAAGCACTACTACCACCTCTCCGAGCACAACCTCTTCGCAGAGTACAACCTCTTCGCAAGGCACGCAAGCTACTCAGAGCACTTCAAGCACAACTACTACTCGTTCATCGACCTCCACAACGACGTCGCAAGCCACGCAAGCTACTCAGAGCACTTCAAGCACAACAACTACTTCTCATTCATCGACCTCTCCGAGCACCTCTCCGAGCACAACCTCTACAAGTACCACCCGCACAACCACCTCTCCAAGCACGTCAAGCACAACTTCTTCCCAGAGTACTACCACCCGCTCAATCACCTCTTCGAGCACAACGTCTTCCCAGAGTACCACTACCCGCTCAACCACCTCTCCGAGCACGTTAAGCACAACTACTTCTCGTTCATCAACCTCCACCACGACTCCCTCTGTAACTGTAAGTATCTAGTCTCCATTAGCAAACCGCTCCTTTCAAGCAACCTCTCGTATACAGAAAGCGAGCAGGCGAAAGCTGGGAAATCCAAGCATCTAAACAAGTTGCCATCATATCCCCTTACGCTCCCAAAACCCCCTGATACAGTCAGTATACTAACCATGAATCTCTATAGTCGACAACATTCTCCACCTCCACCACTTCTAGCAGCATGACAACCACCTCCACCACTTCCAGCAGAACGTCAACTAGCACCACCACTTCCTCGACGACAACTACTACCAACAGGGCCCCCGCACCTTTTAGAAAGAGAAAATAGATCACTCATTTCATCGCTTCTTGATATAAACCATACTACACTACTAAAACACACTCTTTTCAGCTCCCTTCAAGATCTCAAAGGCCCTATTTCTACACCGTGGGGGTTATGGCGCGAAGTGGCCTCTCTGTGACTTACCCTTCTGCTTCAGATAAGATTAGCTGTTCGACGATGGGACTTTGGGATATACCGGGGGTTTTTCTAGAGAGGATGAGATTTGGTTTTCTGGTTATTTACTTGAAAGTTTCTTCATGCGAAGAAAGTTCTAAGTGAATGTTCAGAAGTGTGGTTTTCGTGGGAGGAATGAATGTTTTTTCTTTCTTTTCCTTTCCTTTTATGTTTCATTTAGATTTCGAGTTAATTGGATTGTGTATAGTAAAAAGTAGAGTTTATAGAATAGCAATAATTAATAGTAAAGCTGGAAAAGTTTCTTTTTTCCTATCTTATCTCCTTTTTCTTCCTTTTTTTTCTCTTTTTGTCGCTATAATATCCGAGTGAATATACTCGGTGGCACGGACTACCTGACCAGGCTAGTCCTGCCTATATTATAGCGGTACGACTTCTACACCTTTAACTTAGTATATATTAATAATAGGAATAGTCTAATACTAAGGGTTAGCCTCTTCCTATATTATACCTCTTATATTTAATAATAAGTTAAACTAATACTAATTAGTATTATACGCGTATAGATTAGAGACTTATAATACTTTCGAGACTTTGTTTACGAAGCTATTTCTACTATAAATAAGCTAAAAATACTTAATAACTCTACTACTATAAAATACTAGAATACTACTATACTACCTTAACTACCTTCTAAAAATATACTATAAATACTAGAGATAGTAGATACTACTACTAGTAATCTAGATAGTTTCTTACCTTAGCTAAGTATAGGAGACTATTTACTAACTAAACGTAGTTTAAGTTAAGTACTTAAACTAAGTAATTAAAACCTTAATAACAATGTAGAAGATAATCCGGATTATCTCAAACTAACTCGAGGAATATAGAAACTTTAGAATATTAAGGAATATATTTAAGGTTAACTTAATAATATTACTTAGTATAATTCAAGATAAGAAACTTACTAATAAATATACTTAGGATTTTCGAGACTAGACTTTATAATACTTTAAGGGTTATAGTATAAATATTTATAGATTATTTTACTTAGTACTTTACTAATAAGGAGTATTAGTAGCGCTAAGTATTAATAAACTTTTAGTTACTTAGGTACTATTTGATATAGTATAAAGAATAGGGGAGTATATATAGCCTTAGGAGTAAGTAGTATATATAGTATAAGAAAGTATATTAAAGTATATTAAAGTCGAATATACTATATACTAGACTATAGGTGTGACGGTTATGGTCACGAGGGCTGGATGTCACATGCTCGCTTAGCGAGGCGCTAGCGCGCACGACCTGTATTTAGTTCCCAGCTCTCTAGAGCTCTCCTTCTTTCCTCGTCTTTTGTCCTAAGAATAGAGTGTTAATTGTTCTGAGTTCTACCTGAAGCACGTCTGTCACAATAGGATATTAAGCTCTCTATAATAATCAAAGACTAGTACTCTAATATCTATAATATAAGTTTACGAAAGTCGAAATCTAACTAAGAAGTAATATAATTATAAGTATAACCTTAAGTATAATTATAAGCTAAATTAAATCTAGTACTAGATCTAGTAGTATTATAAATATATAAACTACTAGCTCTATAAAAGAACCCTTTAAAATAATAGTTATAAACAAATAGTAATAAACTACTAAGATCTTTACTTAAGAATAAAGTAACTCTTCTTATTTCGAAGAGTACCTTTAATAATAAGCTAAACTTTATACTATTATCTCTTAGTACTATTAGACCTAATATCTAAAGCTAAATAAGTTACGTATTTAATAGTAATAATAATATAATTACTACTTATTAGTACGAGAGATACTTATAAATAAGGGTTAAAATAGTAGTAATAAAAGAAGTAGATATATTATAATACTAGAAGTACTTTATAAAGTAGTTAAAAATAGACGAAGAATAGTAATGTCACTAATCACGTAAGCATGTGACAAGTGAAGACCAGGCGGCGTCCTGACAGGTCGAGCACTATCATATCTCTTATAGCAAATAGGGATGCTTAGACTAGCTAAGCGATCCAGGGATTTCATTACATTGTAATCACGTGACCATTTGCATCGCCAGTATCGACAGGCGATGCTGGCGACATGTCGACAGCATCGACAGGCGATGTAGGCGACGGCGGAACATGAAGGTTCTATATAAGACTGGCACGACTGCCATTAGATAGGAGCTTCGTGCTCAACTTAGTTATCAATCTTATCATATTAGTTTGACATCTTTGATTATCGACAGGCGATGTAGGCGACGGCGGAACATGAAGGTTCTATATAAGACTGGCACGACTGCCATTAGATAGGAGCTTCGTGCTCAACTTAGTTATCAATCTTATCATATTAGTTTGACATCTTTGATACAAGTAACGAGTTCACTTCCAAGTGAACAACCCGATAGTCTTCTTCTTATCATAGCATACCAACCAGCGAACACCCAGCCAAGTTTAGTTAGCCAGTTTGAGTATTCGTTACAAGTAAATAACAAAGTACGAAATAACTCTATAAATAACTATAAAAATAATAATAAAATAATAATAAAATAGTATACTCTTTAATCTTATCCTACTTATCTAATTCTATTAATCTTAATATAGTTTATATTAATTAGTTATTAAATTAGCTAGATTATCCTTCCCCTCTATTAAAGAGATATTATTAATATCCTTTATTTCGAGTATATTATATAGGTATATTATATTAATTATTAGCCTCTTCTCTTTAGTAGTTTCTAATTTAGTAATATAATTAAATATAGATTTTAAATTAGTACATATTTTAAGTAGAATATTTCTCTAGGAACTTAGTATTAGAATATTCCTAATACTATAACGTGGTTTATCAGCGAGTCGATCATATCACCGAGTCGATCACTTTTCCTTGGCACTACCTCCTCAAACTTCAACACACGTTTTCTTCAACTATTTACCATGGAAATTCAAACTCAAGAAGCGCGAATTACTCTAGCTATCGAGGCTATTCGGTCGTCCAAAAAACTAAGCAAACGCTCTGCGGCAAAGATCTACAATGTACCATATACGACTCTTTCCGACAGAATGGCTGGCCGAACCTACCGCCCAGATTCTCAAGCCAATTGTCATAAGTTGACTGAGTTAGAAGAGGAAGTGATTATTCGGTATATACTGGATATGGATTCCAGAGGATTTGCGCCCCGGCTCGCTGGTGTAGAAGATATGGCTAATTTTATCCTTGAATCGCGGGGGGGAAGACGCGTCGGCAAGCTCTGGGCCCATCGATTCGTACAACGACAACCAGACCTTAAGACGCGTTTTAATCGCGTTTACGACTTCCAGAGGGCCTTATGCGAAGATCCTGACGTGCTAGGCGCATGGTTCCGGCTAGTAGAGAATATGAGGGCGAAATATGGGGTTACAGACTCCGACTTCTACAACTTCGACGAGACAGGCTTTATGATGGGTGTTATTTGTCCTAGAATGGTTGTTACTCGTGCAGACCGACGTGGTAGAGGCAAGGCAGTTCAGCCAGGCAATCGGGAATGGGCTACAGCAATTGCCTGTATTAATGGGGAGGGCTGGAGTATTCCTCCATTCTTGGTAGTTCAGGGCAAGAACCATCTCTCCAACTGGTATACCGACGGCGGCCTCCCACCTAACTGGGTTATGAAACCGACAAGCAATGGTTGGACAAATAATGAAACAGGCCTGGAATGGTTAAAGCACTTTGATAAACACACTACAGCTCGTGCAAAGGGTCTGTATCGAATACTAGTTTTGGATGGGCACGAGAGTCATGAATCGGCTGAGTTCCAAGACTACTGTACGAAACACAACATTATTACTCTTGGACTACCTCCTCATTCATCCCATCTAACCCAGCCACTTGATGTTGGGTGCTATAGTGTGTTAAAACGAGCGTATGGTCGGCAGATTGAGACGTTTATCAAGGCCCATATCAACCATATTACAAAGGTTGAGTTCTTTCTAGCCTTTACAGCAGCATACAAGGAAACAATGACAGTCCTAAACTGTCAGTCTGGATTCCGCGGAGCTGGCCTAGTACCATTTAACCCGCAAGCAGTGCTTTCAAAGCTTGACGTAAGGTTACGGACTCCAACTCCCCCTCGGACGTGTAGTGCCAACTCCCTCCCCTGGGTGTCCCAGACCCCTTCCAACCCAACTGAAGCCCTTTCACAATCAACTCTTGTACGAAATCGTATAGCCTGTCATCAAGGAAGCTCGCCAACTCCACTTTTTCAAACAGTTGCTGCGTTAGCAAAGGGTACAGAGCGAATGGCACATGAGATGACCCTTTTGTCTGCTGAGGTCCGTACCCTTCGCGCTGCAAATGAAGCCCTAAGTAAACGCCGTAGGGCTAAAAAGACTCGTGTCCGCCAAGGAGGGGCACTTATAGTAGAGGATGTACAGGATATGTTAGCTCAGGAGGATGTAGATGAGCAAGTACGACGCGACATGCGTGAGGCGGGGGTTGGTTATAAGGAGGGGCAACCTTCTAGGCGGCGCTGTAGAACTTGTGGAAAAGCTGGTCATAACGCGCGAACTTGTCAAGAAGTTATAGATATATCTAGTTCGTCAGATATAGAGAGCGATAATTAATTTAATATATTGTGGTTGATTTATTTAGGTGTAAAGTTCTGTGCCAAGAAAAAGTGATCGACTCGGTGATATGATCGACTCGCTGATAAACCACGTTAGATATAATTATAGTAATTAATATAGATATTGTTCTTAGTATTATTAAAAGGATTTAGATTAACCTAAAAGCTAGTAGTTCTAAAAAGTAGTATTTTATAATTAGAGGATAAGATATAAAGAAAAAGAAGTTATTTTCTCTTAAGAGCTAGGAGTAATACGTAGAAGTATACTTTCTTTATAATAATTAAAGTGTAACGAATACTCAAACTGGCTAACTAAACTTGGCTGGGTGTTCGCTGGTTGGTATGCTATGATAAGAAGAAGACTATCGGGTTGTTCACTTGGAAGTGAACTCGTTACTTGTATCAAAGATGTCAAACAAATATGATAAGATTGANAAACTTGGCTGGGTGTTCGCTGGTTGGTATGCTATGATAAGAAGAAGACTATCGGGTTGTTCACTTGGAAGTGAACTCGTTACTTGTATCAAAGATGTCAAACTAATATGATAAGATTGATAACTAAGTTGAGCACGAAGCTCCTATCTAAATGGCAGACGTGCCAGTCTTATATAGAACCTTCGTTCTCTGTCTAATCGCTTTAGTCGCTCGCCTCAGTCGCTTCAGTCGACAGGCGACTCAGGCGACTGAAGCGATCATGGTCACGTGGTACTTTAATCCGACGAAATCCATGGATCGCTTAGCTAGCCTAAGGATCCCCTTCTGCTATAAGAGTTATGATAATGCTCGACCTGTCAGGGCGCCGCCTGGTCTTCACTATCTCCCGTGGTAACACGTGATTCGTGACATAAAGGTTTTTTTAATATCTAGTTTCTTTATTATACTTACTTTATTTTAAGTATAATAATTTATTATAAAAGAATAGGAATTTAGAAAATAATTAGACGTAAAATTATTACTAATCCTTACTTAGTAAGGGATAATAAAGTATAAAGGGTAAAAAGTAGAGAAGCCTACTTTATATTACTTGAATCTCTACTTTTAACTACCTAATTAGGCCTATATTAGGAATTCCTATAAGTTAAATAAAAATATCTTTCCTAGAAATATTATGAAATTTAGTTATATACTCTACTTAATAATATTATTACTTTCCTTATAATCTATTACCTAGGTACTTTTTTAAAGTGGTTTTCGTAGATTTATAATACCACTAATAATTACGATACGTTAGAAAATAGGGGTTTATTTTTACTAAGTTTTATATATACGTAGCTTTTAACCTTTAGTTTTTCGGTACTTACGAGATATTTAGAGTACTAATTATAGAATAATTATAAAAATAGAAGTATATATAGGAGTGAAAATCAACTAATTTTAGTATAGTCAAGGCTTTGAAACTAACTAAAAGATAGCCCGTACTTATATAATACTAGCCTGAGTAAAGAGATAAAAAACAATTAATATTATTAGGTAATTTATCTCGAGTTTATATTTACCAAAAGAGTTTACCCTATGTTATATCTCTGTACTAGTCGTTATTATAACTAGTAGTATCTAGCTGTTCTATGAATCTATATACCTGGTAGCAGTTGCGTAATTACGTAATAAACAACCACTTTAACTTAGAAACCACGCCTGCTTAGCAAGTACGTATAATAAACGATAGTGGATATCTAGGTGCTCAAAATTCATTTGTTCAACTATCAACAATGCTATTATAACGCAAGCCTTTGAAGACATCAAAGCGGACCTTATGGTAGTAATTAATGGCTGCTGAACATTGACGAAGCTGCAATTGTTTTGATATATTCTAATACTGCTCCTAATGAATTGGATACGGCCATACGAATTCTTGAACTCTTGCCCGCAAATGGGCAAATCGAAAAAAACAATCGTTATCGCCAGCCACGAGTAACTATGCCCAATTGTCAAATCCAATGGCCAAAATTCGAAAGCCCTACAGCAACATGTTGACCTGTTCTCCTGTCTTGTCTGGACTAGATTTCTAGTCATGCGCCTGAACGAACAATTTCGCGGGTGAACTGCCATTTCTACGGTCGTAAAGCAAAATTGCTACTAAGGCAGAGATGGCAAATCCATATTGACAACAAACTAATTCATGGAGGGTCCTCCCTTCGAAATCCATATTGACCCTTGGACTCGAACCCTTCCAAATATCTCAAAACACAACGGCAGTGGTTTGTGTAACGTCCAAGACTCTTCCCTGTGTCGGGAGTCAACCGGCACTTCATAAATAAACTTTCAGTTTATCGCGGTCGGTGTTCAGATAACTCGAGATCTTCTTAGGAAGGGAATCGAATGCAAGAACATTCTTGTTGTATGTGCATGCAATGCACAGGCCAAGGGTTTGACACGTTGTCCCTGCAAGGATGGCATCGTTGGAGCAATAATGGTGGTGCATGTCGCTACTTTCGATGGGAAAAGAAAGAAAACGTAGATACTGTAACGAACGACCTTTACTCCCTCGGGTGTCTCCAGGACAAGCGTACGGTCAATGTGGCTCTCAACCGTGCCATGGCCGAGCTATTGTAGACAATACCGAGGAGAGGTGGAAATCCCGATACCGCCACACCCCGGTCATGGTTAATTTATATTTAGAGATCTTATGCATGGACGAACCTTGACATTTCGGGCTGATGCATCTATTATAAGAGGTATAGAAGAAGTGGAGGCACCATGGCGATTATACGACTTTAATAGCCTCGGGTCGATCAATTTACGACTTCAATGGCCTTTAGCCCTGTAAACTCACTTTTACACCCTGTTTTGTACCTGCCCGTGGGCGAAGTCCCGAAAAGTTATTTTCGTAGGCCTGTACCTGATGCTGCTTTATCTAAGGAGTTAGGACCTCCTATTAGCTCCTACCTAACTTGAAGCTATTTAGAACTTTGGAAGTACTTGTATATACCTAAGCAAAGAATCTTAAAAGTTACTATAACTAGCGACCTTCTATTCTTCTAGGAACAAGGGGGCATATCGGCCTGTGGAACACAATGTAGGGGCCTTAATTCAGGCGACTTTCTAGATAGCCTAATTGCTATATACCTAGCCTCTCTAATCTGGAAATAATTCGTAAGTTCTGTTATTATATCCGTTGAGGTTATTCGTACTCTGATAGGACAGAAATTTACGGTTTGCTCGTGTTATACCTACTCTGTTCTAAAAAAGCGGCGGTTTAGCTAAGAGGCTATTGAAGTCGCGGAGTGATCGACCGGAGGCCATTAAAGTCGTATAATCCACCATGGCATTTCAGAACTTTCGGGTTTGATGCTCCGTAACAGCCACAACTTGATGGAAATAGACGAAGATGGCATTGTATGGGTAGTTCTCACAGAATGGCACAATGAATTTTCTGTGTTGATTTTTTCTACTTATTACTTCCCTCTTGTACATATAATTATAACAGTAAGCATTCTATATTACCCTACTATAGCATAGGCAACACCATTGGTCGAGCGCGATGCAATAACTCTCGCACCAGGATGAAGATACTTCGTCCCAGGCATAATAAATGTTATTTTTTAGTGGGTACACAGGGCCAGCACGCCCGCTAACTTTGATATTTATTGCGCCTGGCGGCCTGGGACGAAGTATTAATGGTTTATTTCTGGTTGCTTTCTTCCCACTTCGATAATAGGCTTGGCATGCGTTTATCCACCTCCCGATTTGAACAGCACAGTACCCCGCACAGGGATCACCACTGATTGAGCTCGATACCTAAGCTATAGATACAGTCCATCATCGCACCAGAACGAAGAGATCAGTGGCAGGCATGGTATGCTACTTCTTCCAACATTCAAAAATGCTTCTTCATTTGGTGTTTCTGGCTCTTCAGCTGCATCTTGCATTTGCGGATGATTCACCCCTGGAGGTGTTCCAAGTGGAAGCACCATTGAGAGCAACTTATGAGGGAGCAAGCTGTCAACAGGTCGTGGTTCAGCATGAATTCGCTGCGAGTTATGGAACCCCATACGTTGGTAAGTATGCACTCTCCATATCATTTTTTTCTTGAGACTGATATAAGCGAAGGGACGTATTCTCCGCCAAAAGATTGTGAATTTTCCACCACTATCTTTAACATTTCAGTGACATCATCTGGAATAAATTATGACAGACTCGGGCTTCTGTATTTTGGGGATATCGAGGTACTGTTGTTGTATATCAACCGTAGTAGAGTCCTATTGACACTTCAGGACAGGTCTGGCGTATGACAACTGCCATGCCCGTGCGGACAGGTATTTTTTGGAATTATCAGAAAGACGTCACGGTTTTCGACACCCTTATTCGATCTGAGCAGACGGTTATCATGGGTCTAGACAATATTTATAATTCGGTCTTCACTGGAACCTATAATGTTACCATCACAGCTCTCTACTTCAACGACGGAGAAGCTTTGACACCTGCGGAAATGATTCTGCCCATCTCAACAGAATCTTCCTGTGACAACAAAATTTCTGTCATCTCACTGCCAGATGGTGATGGAGCCACTTCAATCGTTTTCCCGCGAAATACTGAGAGGGCTGTTGTCAGTATTCTAGCTTCTGGTAATGGGGCGGAGGAATTTTGGTATAGAAACGTCTTGACCGAGCATATAAATACCTTCAACAATACGAACCTCTCCGGATATAGCCCGTTCCGAGAAGTTCAGCTTCTGATTGATGGGGAATTGGCAGGCGCAAGCTGGCCTTTTCCCATCGTATTTACTGGTGGAATCAGTCCTGGTTTGTGGGTCCCAATAGTGGGAATTAAAACTTATGATCTCCCGAGTTTCGAGATTGATATCAGTCCATGGCTAGGGGTTTTGTGCGACGGAACAGAACACAAGTTGGAGATCAAGGTTGTGGGTTACGATTCGGAGACAACGTTGGGTACTGTTGGCTCGAACTGGTGGGTTTCTGGAAGTGTATTCGTATGGATCGATCACCATGGGAGTCAAACCATCGGAACTGTAAGCAAATCCTACTTAACTTTTGATTCTATTCAATCTTTTAACTCTTTCTCAGCCTGTTACATCAAACTTACCACCACCGGATTTTCACTCCTCGTCCCAATTCACGACCGACTTCGGCTTAAATGCCAGTCTCTGGTCCGAATTGACTGCTCGTCGCAGTCTCTCTCACACCTCATCAGTCACCACGTCTACCGGAACACGTCAACTTACATTTTCCCAAGACCTCTCGTATGGTAACCTCCAAAACTACTCCGCAAGCAGCTTCAACAAGACACTATGGTCACAAAGCAAAGGCACCACCTCCTTTACCTCATTCTTCAACGACACTTTGATTGAAAACTCTTTTGCCTACCCTATATCCTTCACCACAGATCTCATCAACCCCGAGGATTTCCAAACCACAAACTCCACCCTAGTAGCATGGCTCGAGCGCTCAGCTCAGAGCTCTACGGTTCCAATCTTGTCGTATCTTACCAACCAGGCTTCCGCTCAGGTTCCAGGGGTCGTAACGACACGACAGAAAGGAAGTGGTACTTATTTTTGGAACAATACTTATTATGAGTTTGCGGGGGCTATCGATCCCGCAATTGGAACAAATGGGACTACAGAGCAGTGGTATTCTTCTAAGGGGTTTCTGGGTGAGTATGGGAGGCATGTTCAGGCTGTTGATGGGTATGAACCTGTTTTGATCCTGGATGGGGAGCATGACCACGTTATTCAGATGACTTAAGATCTAGGTTGAGGGGTTCGAAAGTGACGAGTTGAAACAGATGTTCTCCGGTTGTTTGTATCGGTATTTAACTATCGTCTACGGAATGGCCTAGATGCATGGCACTATTCAATAACGGCCGCAGCCGAGAATTATTATCTTGTTTCTATAAGTTAATGTAAGGAAAAGAACTGTCTTATGCAAATAATAAAATAATAAAAAGAATTATTAGAAACGAGTCTTCTACGTTTCTTTTGGGTTTTTTTCAATAATTATATCATTCTAATAAGTGGATTTCATAGGCAAAACTATAACTACTAATATCCCTTCCAGACAGCAAAGTGCAAAAAAGAGAACGGGCACTCCTAAGTAGATTTAAGGTGTCTATTTTTACCGCAATTGACTAATTTACCCCCTAGCTATTGAGAAGCCCTCAAATACCCCTTGCGTAACTAGGTATTGGCAGTACTACCCCCTAATTGATACTCCCTAAAAGAGGGACGTCAAGATCGCTTAAGAAGTGGGGTATTTTGTCAGTAATTCTACAAAAAGGGGTATTTCTGTCAGTAAATGGAAGTTCCAGGATTTCATTTCTTCACTGGTTCTTACATATACATACACCGGGAAGTTAATGAACAAAGTAAAATAATCTACTCCCATTTACTTCCCACCTAGCCCACTTCTGCTAGAATTTAGTATAGAATGACTCCAGTACTCCTTGCCCTGGCGCTTACGCTTATCATCAGTCGTTCCTTATTCCTGAGCAATATTCTCGAGTCCTTGTCCCTGAGCCTCAATTCTGTCATCATGAGTAATACCCTCGAGTACTTGTTGCTGAGTCTCTTGTTATTACGCTGGCTGTGTCCTGAGATTTCGAATAGGTTCTGGAGGATTATTAAGAAGCTTCACGCGTAGCTAGTGTGCTAGCATACTAGTGATGTTAGTGGTATGGTGGAGTTCATATTTTCATAGTAGTACCTAGGTAGGACGCTGTAGCTTTGATTCACGAGAAAATAGGTGTAAAAATAGATAAAAAAATAACTTAGTGAATGTTTACTGACAGAAACAACCTACTTCTTAAGCAATTCTGACTGACGGAACTACCCCTTATTTCAAGGCGAAGGAGTAGTCCTGTCATAAACACGATTACGTAAGGGGTAGTTTAGGACTTTTTAATTAATTAGGGGGTAGTTTAGTCAATTACTGTAAATATTATAGTACGCTAGTCCAAAAGAAGCGCAGCAACACTAGCTCTATTATTAGTATAAGTTATACTCTACCTAATTACCTAATTGCTATTCACACCTATATAGTCTCTGAGCAAAACAATAGTGATTTGTTTTCTATCAAAGTAGAACACTTTAATACCTTCACCGTTATAATGTGTTTATAAAGGGGACTTGCTCTTTATGGTCGCCTAGTTTGGAAGTTTCTTCTACAGTAACGACTCCGCATTCACTCATCAAATGAAACGCTACAATTAATGGTACTACTGGGCACGGCACATAGCTAAGTAAGCCATCCCCTCAGGCTATCTGTGGTTAATACTCCATCACCTTTCCACATACAGAAAGACCATCCTGAAAACACGCCAGGACTTTTGCGATACGCCACGATAGAGCAGACCTCCTTCTGCTATACAACAGTCGTTTTTACCTTTACTGTGGATGATCTCTCAGCATCCTGTACTGTGGCTATGAGCAACTATTGTGTTTCTCCAGAGCCTGAGATATTCTCTCAGGTTGGGTCCACCTCTACAGATCCCTTTCAAGGCCCTCACACATCAGAACCATCTCAACAGTCCAAGATACTAACGACCACCGACATGACTCTCCCAGTCGCACCTGATACAACGTTCCACCGCTTCATGGATCTTGCTCTAGAACTTAGAATAATGATTTGTAAGTACTTGTTCACTCCTTCGTTCCCCTCTACTTCCTTCCGTAAGAGCTGACTTGTTACTGTAAAGGGAACTACGCGGACGAGCCTAGATTAGTTGAAGTGCGCCCCACTGTAGCTAATTCCGATGGCAATTATTTTCACAACCACCCACCTTCCAGTAAGGAGTGCAACTGCGAGATCACACACGATTTCGTAGCCTCCAGACATACCCCAGCAGTTTTGCATGTTCATCGCGAATCACGAGAGCTATTTCAGAAGAAGTACCTTGATTTAGTAAATCAAGCTAGTCTTAACCACGTCTATGACAATCCTGAAATTGACATACTTTACTTCAGAGATGACGAACTTCTATACTATCGAGACTGCCTAACATCTTACGAAATTGTCCAATCTATTCCATACAAGGACCGTATCCTCAGTCTGGCAGGTAATATTCGGTTTTATGAAGGAAACGTGGACGGCGACTACCCGGAATATGAATGTTGTGGCCCACTTCTTCTATATACTTCCTTGAAGCGTTTCTACAAGACCCACTCGTCAACATATCATCAACACTGCTTTGTTGAAGATCGTTATGCACTAGAACGTGTTCCATCACAAGCCCTTGGGGGTAGGCAGTTCTACTTTGGCAACACACTCAAGGACAAGCAAACATACTTTACTGCCATAGGACAAAGCAACTACGACAAATTCTTAAATGGTGGTAGCATGAATAGTGGTGTTTCTAGTCGAATGGTGCTTGATTACCAGCAAAGCTCCCCTCGCGATTTGAAGACGTGTAAAGAGGAGTGAGACACTAAACTGGAGGAATTTTCAGATCGAGGCGAGCCGTGGGCGTCGATGGCTTGGCCTCAGATTGAGGAGTTTGGTGATTTGCTGAGTTATAGTCATCATATTCCAGAGGCGGATATCAGTTGCTGGCTTAAACACATTTGGAGAGACGGCAAATTGGTAGAGGTAAGCCCGGAGGAGATGCGTACCTTATGCGATCCGTGGATTTGATATGGCCAATTTGACTCTGGTTATGCACATGCAAAATCTTTCGCTTGGAGGCTGGATCTGGAAAAGGGGGAGGGGGAAGTGGGGTGGGTAGTTACATGTTGATAGTTGAGCCTGTTCCAGAGCAAAAATAAAAACTTATTTATAGAAAAGGCCTTTATTCCGGATGAATATTCCAAAACAATGTTATCTAGTATAGTGATTTTGCCACGGGTTTTTTGAATCATAAACGTCCGAGAGTAATCCAAGGGTAATCGTGAGCTTCTACGAAATAGTAGATGAGATATGTGCTAGAAGCACTAATATAACTTGTGGAGACAGGAGAGGACCAAGTGTTGTTAAATATAAAAAAGTCAATTCTATAAAAACTCACATATTATAATCGATTTAAGTGTTTTAAAAGTAGTAACCGTGCTACCAATTTAGACACCTCGTATTTGGATTTACATTTGAATAGGCACCTTACACACGACTTATGTTTGAGTTCTCGTTATCTTTAAGCTGTGATTTAAATCCTATGTCTTATTGAATAATAAATCCTTTATAAACCGTGGTTGTAAAACTACTATAAAAGTTGTAGGATTAGATATATAAATACTAACACGTTGTAGCAATATCACTCTAGTGATAACTTATAAATTAGATCATATTATCATTAAGGATGAAATGAGTTTTTAGTTTTACGGAGTTCTCACAGTTGAAGAAATAATTTGTTTCTATAAAATTTCAAGCAATAGTAGGTCCGTATTTTCTCTGCGCTGTCGCTCCCTACTATCTCCTGGTTGCATCACATATAAGGTTACGCTTAGAATTTTAGGTTTAAAGTATCCGCTTTTAGTTTTTTAGTCTTGATGGCTACGCTTGCTTTGACGTAAGTATAACTTAAGTAGTGCTGAGCAAATTGGACCGAGCCCCCGTAGGAAGCCTAAGTATTGCTCCGGCCGGCCCGACGACTTGGATTTAGTTAAACTCCATTTCATTTTATTGTTTTGATATACATAAGCTTTCAAATAGACTTATTTTCGGAGATTATCTGTTATGCGTCTTCTTAGGAGATCGTCAAGCCAAAAGTCTCCGCGTACATATGATGCAACCAGGAGCTATGCCATGCTAAAATATCTTGTATGAAGATACCTGGTCATTACTCTGTAACTAGGTACACACTGTTGAAAATAACTTTCCAAACTTCTAGCACAAATAATGTAACTGTCCTACTGTTAGCATAATTAGATTGATGAAAAGAAAACCTTCACGCTAATAAAACTAATTATCTAATTTAGTTATGCGAGAATTTTTGGATAAAATCATTGTAAAAACTAGGTGTGTACAGAGTTACAGTATGACCACGTCTCTTACATTCAGATGTAACCCTAGAGCCCTTGTTCCTCACGTACTTGAACCGATGTTGGATTGCCCCACTTTTCAAAGGGCGCCCGCAGCTTATGCACAACAACTACGATTTTATCGGATATAATTGTGAGTCATCGAGCATGACAATTTACTGACTGAAGCTATCAGCGGAAAAGAAAAGTTGGACTTTTGGTCAAAAAGTAAAGTACTGCTGCAGACAAGACCACGACGGCATTACATTAACATGGCAAATCGAACCTATTCCAGCGATCAACTCGGTCATTGGGAGGAGTGTATTTCTCTGCCCCCTCGCTTCCGTCGCCTAGCTTCTCCAATACTTGATCTCGAATACTTGATAACATTGCATACTCACCAGATAGTCAAAATTCCATATGAGAATTTATCATTGCATTACACCCCTACCCCAAGAGTTTCCTTGAACCCTCAGGATCTATTCCAAAAGATCGTCGGAAATGCGAGAGGAAGAGGCGGATATTGTATGGAAGGTTCGATCTTCTTCAATTCGATTTTGAGAAGTCTAGGATTTAAGGTCGAGAGAGGGGTGTGAGAATTCGTCCACGAGCTGGGTAAGCCTCTCCACTCAACTCCAGTTGGCTTTTCGAAATGCAACGTTCTGATATGAAAACAGTGGTGTTCCTCAAGGGAAGTATGACGGATGGTAAGTTGGTGTTCAAGAGAGTTGCGATGAATTGTCTATCGCCATCTAATTCACGGCCAGGGTTCATATCGTAAATATTGTCACATTACCTGACGGCTCCAAATACTCAGTTGACGGTATATAATCTTCTCAACACTCTGGCACTATGCGAACTAAATTGCCAATAGTCGCATTTGGGGGCGATGGACAAGTTGTCCCTCTTCCTCTCACTCCTTTCTCTGAAGAACCTCCAGTATTCACAAACTTTGGAAGCCAGCAAATTCGTCTCATCCATGCGCCGGTGCCACCTGAAAACCAGGAATCGCCCGCAGCAACACAAAGTCTCTCCTCTCAATATGCCAAGTTCGTGGACGAGGAACCACAAAGGTTCTGAATTTACCGGTACCGAAATGCAGTAGACAAGCCCTGAAATCCCTTTTATGAATCCGGGAATTTGATATTCTTTCCCCCCGATTTCGAGGTTATGAATCATTTAACTGGCACTTATCCAACAACCCCAAACTTCCAGGTGTCAACTGTGCTCATCGTAAAGTTTGTTTTGGAGGAGGAGGCGAGTCTTGTGATTATGGAAAGACATGATAAGGCAAGGAAAGTCGCAGGGAAAATCATGTTAGTAAACGGTGGTGTGAAGAGAAATAATGGTGGGAGGACCGTGACTATTTTGGTAAGCTGAATATATTGACTCTTCCATCATTGTTAGTTGTCAAGTGCTGATTCCCTATCTATAGAGCTGTAAGAACGAAGAGGAGAGAGTCCGAGCTATTAAAGGGTATTTTGAAATTGATTTGATAGAGAATGAAGCACAGGGAATTCAAGGAATAGCTTGTGAGTTGATCGTCAACTCTTAAGGAGAAGATTCGCCCTTGCGATAGACAAAAAAAGGGTCGCATATCCCTCTCCGATTATTCTGCCTTTCGGTATTAACTTAAGTAATTAATCTAGATTGTTAAGTTTGTCAATCTAATTATCCTCTAATACTCAATAACCATTTTAATTAGTCAACTTTTGTAGTCAAACCTAAAAAATAAACAAGATCCTTAACTCAATTTGTTTGATTTTGCTGTAAAGTCGTATATTTCCTTTAATCTTTCTGGTTTTCTCGGCTAATTGTAGGCAATTAATATAGACGTTGAAGTTGGTTGCATCAGCTTCCTTAGAACTAGTGAATAACGGAAGTTATTAGAATATTTGAATTGCCATAAAATATGTTTTAAGACTTACCACGGCGAAATAACTTACAGCTAAACTTGTTGTCCACAGTGAGCCAGCGTTGAAACAGAGAAATATGACGCGATGTGCGGAAGCTTTGTGGGGGATGGTCTTCAACTAGAGTGAACAGGTCCACTTGTTCCCAAGAAATACTCCCCAAGGATTTGGCTACCCCATACTTGGTCAAAGTATTTTAAGCATCCTGATGCACGGGCATCCACGTGTTCATGGGAGCTGAGCGTTATTAAGCGAGAAGCAAAGGATGAATTGGTGATGAGGTACCAGTAATACCTAGTACGAGTTGCTTCGTATCATTTCCTACAAATATGCACTTTACACGGCACACCCTAGGTTACTGGTAAATACAAACCATATATTCATGACTGCTGAAATGAATAATCTATTAGACATTAGCAATTTAGAATTGCTGTTACCAAAGTGTTTCTGATGATCTGCGCCATGAAACAAACTATTACGACCAGACATAGAGAACCCACGCGCATGTTAGTGAAATATTGCAGAAGCGTAGGGATCAAGTAAAAATAGAGTCAGGTAACATGTATAAACCTGGATAGCACCAGGACGTTGTTCAAAGAAATTCGAGTAAACATGCGTTACCTTGGCAGCCAATCAATTCGACGTATGAGTGACGCCACAATGTTTCGTTCCTTGTAGTCCGCTTCGGGTTGTTACTCTGTAGAATCAACTTGGCTACCATGCCGAGTTCAGGATTGATGGGGAAGAATGGGGCCCCACGGATGGCCAGCACCACAATGATTGCTACAAGGGTGGACGTCATGGGTATTATCAGCCATGTTCGTTGGTGACAACGTTCAAAGCGAAACATGAAACCTAACGTGGAGAATTAACTTCATCTGTAGAATACGATCGCTGAATAACGACGTCCGGACTCATCTGAACTATATTCGCATGTAAGCGAGCCAATCAAGGAAATTGACCAATCTGATGTATAAGTACAGTCCACTGTTCCCCAATAAAGCCTCCTCCTCTCATCTTTCCCTTTCCCTCCATCCTTATCTGATGTGAAAAACATTCCTTGTTTGACAGAAGTCTTTTTTTTGTACTTCTTCCCTTCATTAGACGGCAGTGCCTTTTCGATACACTTCCCTCCTTTCACTTGACAGTTTCATCCACTCCTCGACTTCTCAACTTCCCAACCTCAACTTCTCAAATCCTCAACTCTGTCAATCATAACGCCAACATGAAGTTTCATTCTCTAGTCGTCACTGCTCTTCTCGGCTCGGCAGCTGCACGTGTTGCATACACAGCTACCAAAGGTGGTTCTGCAAGGCCAACGAGAACTGGGCTCCCTGGATATGAAAAACCACCAAAGGGAGGTGGGCTTCCTGGACTCGCAAAGCCAACAGGGTACGTGAAAAACTTTGCAGCTTTGCCAACAGGAAGTCTCCCAAAATACGGTGAGGGTGGTGGTGGCGGTGGCGGTGGCGGTGGCTATGCCCAGCCAACAAAAACTGGTAGCCCTCCATGTGGTAGTAAAAAGAGCGTAAAAGATGACCCGATTAAGAAGGGAGAGGAGGAAACGGGAGGGCTGAAAAAGGGATGTGCAAAGGCAACCGGGAAAAAACCATTTGGAACAAACGCGGCTGGCTCAAAACCAACCGGCAATGGTGGTGATTATTATGGAGGTGGTGGAGGTGGTGGAAGTGATGGAGGCGATGATTATAGTCCTCCCAAGCCAACTGGAACATCAAGACCATTGGGCACCGGCGATGATGGTTATACTGGTGGCTACCAGCCATACAAAGCTCCTAAGCCAACTGGAACATCATTACCAAAAGATACTGGAGATGACGGCGATACTGGCGGTGATTATACCCCTTCAAAGCCAACTGGCACAGGAGCATCAAAACCGAAGGGTACTGGCGATGGAGGCGATGGTGGTGATACTGACGGTGATTTTAAGCCTTCAAAGCCAACTGGCACAGGAGCATCAAAGCCGAAGGGTACTGGCAGTGGTTGCAAAGCCAAAAAAGGTGTTGCTAAACCTTCTGGGACAGGAGCACCAAAGGCAAAGGGCACTGGCAGTGGTTGCAAAGCCAAAAAAGGTGCTGCCAAACCTACTGGGGCGCCAACGCTAAATTATAACGATTCTCCATCTGGATCCAAACCTACTGGTGTCAAACCCGGTGGCGCCAAACCAACTGGAAGCCTTCCAAAATATGGCGCACCTCCATCTGGTGATACCAAACCACTAGATACGAAACCAAAGGACACCAAACCAACTGGTACAGGTACCGCGAAACCGACTGGCACAGCTACAGCCAAGGTAGGAAGGCCCATGCCAACAACATATGAGTAAGTTTAGCGTTCTTTTTGAATGTTCACAGAAACTAACAGATCATCAGTCGCCTCAGACGCTGAGGCTAAACAACACCTTATTTGTGAGAACTTCAAAAATAAGACTGTTACCATTCCAATTCTTCCCCATACCCTTCTGAGCGGCATTTTTCTCCAGCTGGCACTTTTCCAAAAAAAAAAAACTGTACTGCCATTGCAAAGTGAGATTCTTGGTCGGCCACTCCCAACTGGCTTTCCGTTCAATCTTGGCATAGGTCTACTATCAATGCCAACTGGAGTTTGATATCAACGGAGGCAGGAGGAAGACCGTCCTATTACTCTGCAAAAGAATACCCGTTGAACTGCTTTGGCAGTATAGGCATTCGAAATTTTCAGCATTTACGTTTGTTTCTTCAATTCTTGTATAATGCATTTACGTTTGAACTGATTTCTTTCCTTGGTACTTGTTGGTTGGGAGGCGCAGACGAGGGGTTATCGAATAGCAGACCTGGGGGCCATGTCTTTTCTTTTGTGTTCATGTTTTGTACTTGGGGGCCAAAGAGAGGCGTTTTTTTTTGTAAGAGACACTGGTTGGAAAAAGAGTTTACCTAGTCTAGCTACACCTTTTGCTCAGAACGTTTCAGCGAAAAAATCAATGCTAAACTTTAGCGCCAACCTTCTTTTTTTCCCACAGAATTACATGCCATTTGTGATTCTTTTTGTTCTTGGGAAATATCTAACTTAACCTTAAAGTATAAGGGAGAACACGTTTCTTGGGATCCTTGAGGGTAGCATGAAGGGGAATATCATAGACGAGTCAACGGAACGGTTTAAGAGTTTCCGTGGGTCGAAATAGACTTTCTTGCTAGTTAGTAATGTAAGTAGGAGAGTTAGACTTGGAACAAGCATAAAGGATATGACTGTAAATAAGCAAGTTCTGGACGCCCTTCGGGACTTTGGGATAGCTTAGTGAAAACGATGACACTTGTTCTCCTATATTATTCGGGTTATGATCGTACATAGGAAATGAAAAAACGTGGCAGTCTACTCTCGAGTTCGGATCCCACTGTACCAACGCCCCTCCCCACATCCCCACATCCTCTCCATGCTACCAATCCCATCAATTATCCCTGGACTACAAACCGTAATCTTTCTTCACATTTATATTACTCATATATTAGAAGGTATGATATAAGAACCTAATTGAAATTATCCCGAGGGGAATTTCAGCTAAACCTAAAAAGTATTAGGTGACGGTTCTAAATATATTAAGGACAATGTATCCATATTCAAGTAACTACTTAATGTCAGGGGAAAATAATTGCTTGATTGTCGTAAGCACCCGGAAAACAGTCATGTGACCATACTGTAAGGGGTGGTCCTCGAAGCGAGGAAAATGATGTACCCTGTAGAATGAAGTATGGTAAAATAAGCCCAGTGCTATACGGCATCGACATTTTGCTAAACGGCATCGAAGTGACATGGCCCCCCAGCCACATTACGGTCTGTTCCTAGGTAGGTACCCTTGATGCCTTGTAACACTGCCTATATGTTAATGTTACCACCACCTTACCGTCGCTGTACCTCGCCGTCGCTATCTTATTATTACTACCTGTCTATAACTACTAGAATTTAATATATATATATTCTCTGAAAACAAATAATTATGTTTTTAATTTTATTCTTTAACAAGAATCATTAAAAATAATATAGTAACAATAAGGTAGCGACGACGAGATACTAGTAGCGACGACGAGGTGTAGTAACAATAATATTATCGATACCTGAAATAATATCAAGGGTACCTGGTAACACCGTAAATTGCCTGGGGGGCCATGTTAATTCGATGCCGTTTAGCAAAATGTCGATGCCGTATAGCAAATGGCTAAAATAATAACCTATCTGACCTATTTTCCACATATTACAATAGATTAGCGTGTCAACAAAACTAATCAACTACTTAACGCTACTCGAGTATTAGTCGAGTCAAGTGAAATGAGTATGATTAGGTGATTCCGTTAAGTTAATTTAAATAGATTTAACTAATTAAGTAATACTCGAGGAGTTATATAGAGCGTGCTAACACGTCGCCCACATAGAGTGGAAAGCAAAAATCAAGCACCCTCAGCCTCACACCCTTTATAGGGCAGTCTAACTAAACGCTAAGTGCTCGGACTTCAACCACACTATAGACCAATTAGAAGGCTCTACCTGGTAGAATACAAAGTATAGAGCAGGGCGATACCTCGCGTCCTATACGGGAGCAGTAAAAATATCTATAAAAAATAAGCACACAGCTTATAAACAAGCACACAGCCTGTAAAAGAAAAAATACAAAGTTCCAATTGAAAAGGCATACGCCAAGTTCTCGGACTTCACAAAGTATAGCAGGGCGATAAAAAACACTCTAAGAACCAGACAATATATAAAGTTCCCCTCTAAGGCTCGCGCTAGCACATAGCACGGCGAGCTAATAGCGAGGGGCATGTGGGTGGGATAAAAGAGCTCATAATAACATAGCTAATGATATGGTGGATATGGTCGTGGTGTTAAAGGAATGTGGTATTCAGTAGTGGGGTGGGGTATATATCCCACCATGTCTTACAGTACTAAGCAACCCCATCCTCACTCACTATAAATCCTGCTATTTAATTAATTAAGTAATACTCGAGTAGTTATACAGAACGTGACCGACTCTACAGTAACCGTGATAAGAGTACTTAGTTAAGTCCGCGCACGCGGACCGACCACCCGGAGTCCGGCTAGCGAGGCCCGACGCGCTACGGGGCATCGGGCCAACACTACTTGAGTTAATTATGAGTTAATCGAGTACTTGGCGAGTTTAGTTGATTAGGTGCGACTACCTAGATAATAAGGTGTTAAAGATCAATCTCTCTAAAGGGCTTAAGCTTTAGAGGCGTGGTTGTCTTACAATATTAGGGGTTTATTTTCTTGAGTTCCTGATTTCGCCCCTTTTTTTGTTCTCGGCTGCCCGGGTTTTTGACACAGGTTACGAATATCGCTGTTATCAAGTCAACTAATCGAATTAAACACGCTGTTCACAAATCGTCCAATCCCTGCTAGAAATACTTCCGTCTCGAGATACATGGTTACCCTAGATTCGAAGTATCCTTATATTACTATCCAGTGATTATTTTCTTGAAACACCCGCTTTCTTTAACCCATTTTCAAAGGCGCACTCGGAGGAGATACATGTATTCAATACAGTAATAGCTTTAAAAATACGTCACTTGCTAAATCCCAGGATACAAGAACAATGGCCGGGCTCGGTACCAAAGAGAATGAGTCCAAACTTCTTGGTGAGGTGGTCCTATATACCACCAAAGAAAATACAATCTATAGTATAAGCGAAATAATAACCCTACAATCCATGTCCACAAAAAAGATATATACACAAAAACCACTTCACTTCAAAGTACCCACTCCATCTCCCCCAAAAGCCCGTACCGGTAGCCTCAAACGCTCAACGAAGAACTACGCCAACCCAACAACCTGGAAATTGTAGTTACAAATCGCAGCTTGGTCAGTAACCTATTCACTTACATCAGTACATCAACATAAACACCACAACAAAAGGAGAAACTCACAGCAATCTTCCCGCTCCCTTGAATGACAGATGCACCATTCGAACCAACAACCTTCACGTTCACAGTCCCGGTAGTCATCCCCGTGAAGGAGAAGCTGTTGTACCCAGCGTTCAAAGCTTGGGTACCGAGGTTCTTGCTCCCGCTTGTTGCGGTGACACTCAGACCTGTTTGGCCGGCTGCTACGAGGATGACGCCCTATTGTTTGTGAGTACTGTGTATTTCACTGTTTCACGGGTAGAAAGTAAAGGAGTGAAAGGGGGGGGGATATACAGAAACGCGATCTTCAATCGTGGTAGCTCCATTTGGTCGGGATAAAACATTCTTAGGACAAGTCTACACAATATTAGTACCCAAGTCACAAAGTAGTGAGATGTGAAAACCTTACACCAGCAGCAAGTAAAGTATGATGCCAAAACGTCCCCTGAACACTCTTCCCATTCGTCGGAACCATCCCCTCCGTCGTCGTCTCCCCCCTCTTATACGCCTGAAAGAACGCTGGCAAGATCTGCCAGTAGCCCGTATGATCATAATCCTTCGTGTACGTCCCAATCGTCGAGGTCGAAAGCGGCTCGGGCCACGAGTTCCCCATGTAATGGCTCTCGCCGGCATCGTTCCAGGTGATCATCTCAATCATATCGGGCTGCATGCTCAGGACTTGTGCAAAGCGCTTCTCGAGGTTTTGTTCGCCCCGTCGGTACCAGTTGTTGGATTTGTCCAGGTGCTTGAATTGAAGGGGTGAGACGCCCATCATCATGGTTTTTTGGGAGCTGTGGGCGGCGGAGAGGAGGGTTGCGTCGGTTTTGGTGGGGACTTCGCCGCTGGCGCCTGTGCCAGGCCAGGCGCCTTCCCAGTTCATTGCTCTGATGGATTGTTAGTAAGTGTGTTTTGAAGAGAAAAGTGGAGAGGAGATATGTACCCGTCAAGAGTTGGGTAGCTCTTGGTGAAGAAATCCGCATTAACTCCAACATCAGCAAAAGCCGGAACGAAATAGATAGGTTTCCCAGCATTAGCCATGACTTGTTGCAACTGAGTCTTCCACCCATCATTCACAGAGCCCTGTCCGAACTTGAACTTATCCGCTCCACCGTTGAAAGTGGTAACCATAGGTTTGCCGTTGTACTTGTAATAAGCGGGGTTATCAACATAACTCAGCAAGTAATTGGTGAACTTGTTGGGATGATCATATCCCTTCATATCAAACGAGAAGAACAACTTGAAGTTGTTCGCCGCGGCCGAGTCGAAAAGCCTCTTGACCGTTCCTGTCGCCCAGCTCGCGGTAACGGTATCGATGTTGAGGATGAATGCGTCGACACCTAGAGCGAGAGCATCCTTGACGTCCTTCTCGCAGTGCGGCGCGGTGATCTCTCCGATCATGTAGTGAAAGAAAACGGGCTTTCCACTCGTGGCACTTGTGGAGCGAACTTCTTTCTCGCACGCATCGTCTTCTGCTCTCATAGAGATCGCTGCGCCAGATGCAAAGCCCGATGCTGTAAGGTAGCAAGCCAACGAAAGTATGCGTGAAAACAACATGATGTCCTGATCGAATATAAACCAAAAGATTGTGGTGGAAGGGAAAAAAGAATGTAGATACCCCATTACAAACAGGATCAGCCGTGCTATATATCACATTCTTGAATCTTACACAACCTGTATGCTCGCGGAGCCTTACCACATTAATCCATCGATCCTGACGATAGGTACCTATGCAGTATATTCAAATCCCATCCGGCAAGATGAGATTCGCAAATGCGGGTGTAAGCACCTTCTCGTAGACGCAAGATTATTTGTGGAGATGTATGGTTTGCATGACTGGTTACTGGTATGTTCAGGCAGGACATGAAGGGGCGTGGGATGAAACGAAGCGAAGGATTTGTCGATCATCTCCTCGTGGGATTTTCTTAGCGAGGTGAATACATGTAGAGCCTCGTGCTACGTGCAGAGTACCAAAGCAGCGGTGCGATATACCAATTGTTATCGGTTGCCGCTTTGGCTATCATACTGTAAAGCATAGGACGGAGGAGCTACCGAGGGGTACGACAAATACGATTGACATCGCTACTAGTCGTTCGCTCGGAAGCGAAGGAGGGGGAGGGGGACGACCGATAACCAATTGCTTCTACCGAGGTTGGGAAACCCAACTCACTATCACCACTATCTCACTACAGATATCAAGCCAAAATGGAGATGTTTAATCCTCCAGCCACCCAGCGATTATTACAAGGTTCTGGAACAATTGAACTCGTGGTTATACAGTAGATTTCTAATTAGATCTACAGTGTAATATCCAATTGCTCCAAAATCTTGAGATAATGACTCTGATTATCCGAGAAAGGGGCGATTGACAGCCACTTGGAATACCCACCGCGAGAGTGTTCTGACTCCTAGCCCTTCCCTGGGAAACTCGAATTATAAACGGTTATGAGATACTGAAAGATGCGGTGATCAATTGAGGCTCGGCAACCTCGATTAACCTTATTCGCACCTACAGACTTTGCTATTCAATTTCAAGTATCCTATTGAATCCCCAACTGTAGATAAAAAAGGATACACCGCGACAAGGCAAAGGACAAACACAAACTATACAGGGTATCATTTCTCGCTATATTTCCACTTACCACCATCAAAATAAACTCTTTACCAACCGTACCTAGAACTGGCCTCTTTCCTATTATTCTTCCCTGTCTGGAAACTTTCCTCGAGCGCTTCCTTCTGGCTCTGTGCCGCATTTACCAATTGCTTCAAGCTATGCTTTCCTGGTGCAATAGACCTAACAGGATTGTGTTTCACTTGCTCTCCCGAGGCTCTCAATTCCTCGTTGTGCAAGTATTCTTCGTCTGTGTTGAAATTGATGATTTTGGTGGCTGATTGCATATTTTGCTTTCCCTTTTGGCGACCAAAGAGCTGCCTTCGTTCTGCAGCACTGAGTTGAAGATCTCCGGCTATGTCGTCCAGAGACTGAGAGACCCGAGTCGTGGGTGCAGGTGGAAGAGTTTGGGGGGCATTAGGTGTCTCTTCAACACCGTATGGTTCCAACGTAGAGTATTGCGAGAAGTCGCCCGATGCCATCTGGCTCTGGCTTTCGTGTATCATTGGTTCGTATTCCCCTGTTGTTGGCATGCTTACTGAACTTGAATCTTCGGCAGACAATGAAAATAATGATAGTTTCGGAGCCTTCTCAGCGGGAGCAGCCTGAGGTACCGGCGCTGGAGTAGATTTTGGCAGATTCTGAGCTACTGTAGATGCCGCCAATTGTGAAGCCGTCTTCTTTTTAGGCTTCCTGGCCACCGACATAGGCCTAAACATCAGAGGCTTCCCCACCAATTTCACTTCATCAGCCGGTACTTGGTCCACGGGTTGTGGTGCTTTCGGTGGCGGAAGGTTGATTCCATTCCCGTTACTTGGAGAGGCTTCATCTCCCGTATTTCCATATTCTCTCTCTGTTTCTGTCGCTCTACTAAATCCAGGTGCTGCTCCAGTCTTCAGATTCACGCCCACACCAAGCCCGCTCTTCTTGCCAGCAGCTCCCCCACCCAGCGTCGCGTTTGAAGGTTGGCCTGCGCGTTTTGGTGGTGGCAGAAAAGAGTTAAATCCGCTGAAGGCTCCTCCGCTCGAGGTTTTGATTCGTTTCGAAGGAGGACCATCTGATGGGGTTTCTGTCTTGAGAGACGATTGTGGCAATGAGACCTTGATCTTGCCGGAATTGGATCTGTCAACGACTTTTTGAAATGCTGGTTTGGATGGATTTGATATGGGTTTGGTCGGTTTGGACTCTTCGACATCCGATTCGTCGGTGTCGGAATAATCCACGAGGGCCATGTTGGATGTGATGTGATGTGATGTTTGTGAGGTGGTGTTGCTCTGTTCGTTGTACTGTATGCGTAGAATTGGGATCAAGTAGAGTATACTCGTACTGTAGGTAGGTTACTGTAGTGAGGAGGGCGCTGTCGCAAAAAGTGACGGCAGCGGCAGCCACAGGCATTCACTCCAGGGTTGATGCGCCAAGCTTTAAGCTTGACGTCCACTCAATGGGTCCCCGTACCAATACATAGGTACTAGAGGCTTGACCCCCCACCCCTTACACATCCAAGTCTCCATACCGCTGCAGTAGTGAACAACCTCAACGCAAGGCTGGATCTCCTGCCATATCCAACCACGGTATTTCTTGCTGTGATTTGACTACTCGTAGTCTTTCCTATTCTCTTTTTTAACGCTACCTAGCTACCTCCCCGGCAGATTTTGAAGCATACCGAAGCTCTTCTATTCGCTTTCTCTGGCAGATCATGTCGGTTATTCAGGTGGAAGAGTATGTCTACAACCCCGCGGAACAGTTGACAAGCCAAACACAACACCGTAAATAAAGTTAACGTTATCGCAGCTTGGTCTCGTACCAATTACGAACCAATTACCTAAACACCATTGCCGATGGTGTCGGAGAACGGCTCATCACCATCAACGATACATTTTTGAATACTGGCGGTTTCAAAGCTGCTGGATGGCGATCAAATGCCGCCAATATCAAGCGAACACATTCCCCACCCATTCCCACGGCGATTGCTTCAGAATACTTTCAGGCGGCCCCTCGCTCAGCCGCTCTGGCTGGATTGGAGGATGAGGTTGAATTGGGAGGAATGGTGACGGGCGGTGGTGCGGGAGATACTGTTGGCCCGGGAATAGCAACAAAGCGCCGGCGCCGTCGAGAACAGATGGAGGAGGAAGACAGTAGTGATTTGAGTGACGAGAGCGACGAGGAGGGTGAACAGCGGGCTGCTCAGCAAATCAAATTCTCCAAGATGCCAATTCGTAATCGCTCTGGATCCTCACCCATTCGAGGGTCCAACCTAAGACAATCGTCTACCGTCACTTCCCCCCGTGCCACCTCAGGGCAGACGAGAAGAGGCTCCCAACCAGCAGTAGTGGATGCCATAAAAGAACGAGCAAGGCGTGATACGGTCACTAGTAGTGAAATGTCGTCGGACAATGAATTTGATGCCTCCGCTTTCCAAAAAACTCGGGATGCTGCAAGAAATGCTGCCAAGGCAAGCAGAGCTCTACATAGCCAGACTTCGGAGCCAAATCAGGGCATGAAGAGGCAACAGAGTGATTTACTGGAAGAAGAGGAAGAAGAGGACTCAGATGGATCAGATATGGATTCGGAATATGAAGGCAGCATCGATTCAACGTCTATTTTAGATACTGGAGCTGGCCCAATGGATACCTCTATTGCCGATCCAATTGTTGGAACAGTACCAAAACAGTTGACGCGTACTGCTACCAAAAAGTCCAAACCTGCACCACCAGTCTTACAAGCCTTACCACCCCCAAGGCCCATTAGCATGATACAGCCCACGAGTCTTTTGTCCGCTGCTATCAAGGCAAGGCAAACCAAAGCAGCCAGTCCTTTTGAATCTTTTGCTTCATTATCTGGTCAAGGAGACCCAAATCCGCTAGCACTTAAAATATGGGCTCCTTTCGCTACGTCGACCACCAAACCATATGAAGTCCTTATTCGAAGAAGCGTTCACATCAACGAAGCCGCTGATCGCCAAGTAGCTGTAGCTGATCTCATTGGATTAAGTTTGTGGAGGTACACTGAAGAGAAAATTGAGCCCGCTATATCAGCGGAAAAGATGAATGTCAATTGGTGGACACTGAGAATGGTGGAAGATGAAGAGGTTGATTATGATTTCCCTGCACTGGAGCGCACAAAAACTCTCATATCATTTACTACGGCTAACAATCGAGCTGCACGATCGAGGTCAAATAACAAACCATATGATGAATTTGCTCTGGTGCAGGCCACTGAGGAGCAATTCCAAGAAAATCAAAGTCTCACACCTCAATTCAAGCAAGAAATGGCGACAACGGCTGCGGCGCCAGTGATTGAGGAAAACTCCATCGTACCAAGTACTCCTTTAACGCCCTCAGCTGGACTGCTTTCGAATCCACGTCCAAACCCGCTGATGACTAGTCTTTCAGCACTACGAACAAATAATTCTCCGGCAGACGCCCCTACAGTAGGTGGAGTTACAACGCAGCCAGCTCGCGTTGGCGTTCAAAAGTTACTGAGAATTCACATTCATTCTGCGGATGCCGCACCAGGACAGATGATTACTTTGGATGTCACGACAGATACTTATCTGGCTGACGTGCTGGACATCATTTGCAAAAAGAGACAGTTGGACAAAGCCAATCACGTACTGAAGCTGACCGGATCTGGTACTGTGGTTCTCCTTGACCGTAGAGTCGAGTCAATTGGGAACCGGGAGGACTTGGATCTATATCGAAGGCGGTTTGCAACTGATGGACCATTGACTATGTCAGGATCTCCAAGTAGTAGTTCACCTAAACAAGCATTAATGATGGACCGACCAGAGGTCCGGAAGACTAAAAAGGGACAAATGCTTAGCTCCCATCCTCTCGCTCAAGAGGCTATCAAACAGGATGAGCTTGGGAACTCCAATTATCGAAAATACACGGTCTGGCGCAAACAGCCGATGAGATTTGTTGGAATGAATGAGAGGGTATTGGCCATCGATGGAGAATATTTGCATATCATGCCGGCATCCACTGGAAAGACAGTGTTTGAAGGGCAAGGAAAAACGACTACGGTCCACTTTAGTAACGTTGTTGGCTGCAAAGTCACGCGAAGACACCCCACAAACTTCAAAGTAAGTATGTTTGATGTTTGTTGCAATTGGAAGCTAACGAAGCAGGTTGTCGTGTACAAGTCAACGGAAGCCAAGCGGTACGATTTTGAAGCGAAAAGTGCAGATGAGGCTGCAGAAATCGTGTTTGAAATAAAAAAGGGCATTTCCCCTTACCACAACGTTTGAAAAGCATCGCCCGATCCGATACTTCTCCCCGCATTTGTACTATCGCGCAGCGAGGCTTGCCCGTGCATCTGACGAGAAGTACTCCGTATGCATGCAGTTGGCTTTGCACTTATGCGGGCTTACAGTGGGAAAAAGAGCCGCAGTCCTTCTTTTGGTGTTAATTGTAAGTAACTAGCCTAAACCATTGCTTCAAACGCCCTAAGTTTACAGTAATTTGCCTTGCTTCCTCGAATTATTTAGATCAGTCTAGCTCTGGCGATTAATTAGCGACAACAAGTGCACTGTCTGTTACTCTGTTTGCCCAACGAGGGGCGGTGCTGGGGTTTAGTCGTCTCTCTACTCTTTGCAGGCGATGTCGAAAAGATGGGAATGGAACGCTCTGGGCCATCAATCCAATACCCGTATCTGAAGAAGCAAACAATTCTCCGGCATTACGTGTGGCAAGGGAGACGCAACGCCATTTCTCGTCATGCTGGAAAAGCGGCTCGGCGATTCTCAATTTCACCATCGCAACAAAACAGCCAAGCATGGAGATGTGCAGATTCCTTGATGTCGATCAGCACGTGATCAATCATAACCAGGTTTTGTGGAAGTTTAAGCAACCTGAGTTCTACTAGCCTTCTATGGCACCGCCCGAATTTGTCAATGGAGCGAGGTATTGGCTATCTTGATATTTCCAAGCCATTCATGAATCGCCTATTGACCTGTTTTTCTGTGGCAAAATGGAATTGCCATGGATACTCCGCACTCGGGATACGCCAATCGCAGTACCAAACTACTGCAAGTGGTATAGTATAGTACGCTGTTTAGCTCCAATATCATCTATTCTAGTAATCTGCACGGAAAGAATCCCACCATATAGTCAATGCTCAATCGTATAGTCGGTTACGTGGCATCGCTGGTTCTTTTGTCAGACAAGTTCTGCGTGGTCGGTGTTTGACTTTCAAATACTCGCTCTCGACTTGTCTGATATTACAAATTACGGGTATTCTTGTCTGTATCGAGAAAAAGGTTTACGGGATACTACCTTGGACATCATGAAAATTTTCCACCCGAACTCAAGAACGTGCGTTCTTTTACAGTATCGTTCGCCATACTGCGTTTCCCACGCCACCTCCCTTGTCTAACCTCTGCCGCCGTCCCAACCCCCCATCAAGTTTCTAAGCCCCCTTTCTTTTTCCCTGGATTTTCGGTGTTCCGTTTCGTACTCATTGGATGCGGCATGAGCTTAGACTGCAAACACGGGTGGTGGCGTAGACTAGAGAGCTGTCGAGACCGTGAAACAGCTCTTGACGAGCAGGTGATGACGCAAATTGACAACGCTCAGCCTGGCAGTGCATCGAAGGGAAACAATTATCCGAGAGTAGATCCAAATATGGCTTTTCTGGGTCTTTCTCAAGTTGTAGATCCCAAGGTATATAATATCGATTGTCCTGGCTCTTATACGGACATCAGCACACACTTGTACTCTTGTACTCAAGCTTTGTAGATCACGAATTGTCAATCACAACTACATAAAACAATCGTTAAAAGTCCGATTTTCAGTTTCCGTACACCAAAAGCGCCATCAAAATGCAATTCACAAACTTCTTCATCCTGGCCTTTGCCTCGGCAGTTGCTGTAGGTATCCATCCTCCCACATGACATATCCCCTCTAACAAACCCAGGCCCAAACAACCACAACCACATCCACATCTTCAACCCCGACGAACGTCGCCTCAGAATCCCTCTCCTCGGTCTCATCCTCGGTCTTCTCATCTCTCTCCTCAGTCGCCTCTTCCGCCTCAACGCTCACCGGATCAGCTGGATCCTCAGTATCCTCCTCCATCAGCTCGGTCTCCTCGAGCCTCTCGAGCTCCCTCGCTTCCGCGACCTCGTCTGGAAGCACGTCTCTCATCGTCACCACCCGCACTTCTACGAGTGGCAGCTCAACCTTCACTACTACCAGCACGTCTACTAGTGTTAGTCGCGCGGGTGCAGCGCAGACGAATGCTGTTGGGGCTATGGGTGCCGCTGCGCTTTTTGGTGGTGCGGCCTTTATTGCGGCTCAGATTTAAGGGTTGCGGTGTGATGTGGCTGGGAACTGGAGCTGGATTGAAGACTGAAAATTTGTTGAGAGTGATGTGCTGGAGTAATGTTTGTAGTTCGGTTAGTGGGGTGCATGGATGTAATGTAGATAATTGTTAAGACCAACGATAATTTAATTGTCTTTTCGTTCTTTGTCACTCGTTGCGAAATACAATATCGTCCCATTATTCTATATGCTTTTCAAGGGTCTTGCGTTTCATGTAAGGTTCTATTTACATAACGTCCTCTACTATTGCGCATCTGTTTCCTCTCTTCCTCTGGGATAACACAGGGTTATTAAATAATAGAAACATCAGTAATTAATTTATATCCACTTTTCTTTATCTCTTCTACCCTTCTCTTGGAAGATGATTACTACTAAACCGGAGAAGTCGTAAACATAGCTTGATTAGCTTTAAATAAAGGGTATTACATTTCGATTATATTCTATTTTAGAAAAGAGAATTGAAGTTTCGATAATTATTCAATAAGAGCAAATATCATATATCTAAAAATCGCGTAGTAGATTTAAGGGTGCTACCACCAGCTACTACCTATAACACATTAGGTAGCGATCCCCTTCCCAAGATCACCTGATCAAAACAATGTCAATCGCGACCCAATTTTAGTCTTGGGGTATTCGTGAAACCTTGGAAAAGGCTACATTTGCTTGTGAACAATTGCTTGCGAACAACATCGACGTTACTGTGTGTATTATCACCCCCTATTTACGGCGTTGGAACTTGTGAGTAAGCTTTTCTCTCTGGTATTGTTTGTGTGTGGCATCTGGACACGATTTCGATAAGGCCGGTATATCCGGATCGAGAGAGAACCTTAAGGGATTGGATAGGGGTTTGAGGCGTGGGTATCACGTGGTTGGTTGTGTTTGTGATTCCATACCTACATCTTCCTTGATACATTAGGGTGGTTTTTTGGTGCGAATTGAGCTAATGTTTTTGTAGTTTCTATTGTTGGAATAAATATTTCACTCGTTTCTTGACCGGAAGAGCATTTTTAATGTTATTCTTACGATATTTCTCGCCTTCATTTACTTATATTAACCCATCATCTCACCATACGACAATATCATTACCCCGTTAAAATACAATGTCAAAACCCACCAACCATAGGCGACGCAAGTCCAGCGCCCATCTCCAACACGGAGACATGCCCTCCTTCCTAGAAAACTCACCCTTCTTCCTCCCCATATCCGCCGAAGCAGATCTGCCCAAAGCAATTCCCAGACCAACAATCAAGCAACTACTCCGCTCCAAATCCGCGCGAAAGAGCGCAAGGAAAATCCTCTCTCTAACAGTATTCCTGATAGTATCGTGGTATTTCTGGCCCAGGAAGGGCGATCCCAGCTATGCAGCCCTAGGAACCTACGGGCTGTTGAAAGGTGGTGGCGCGCAGTGTCTTTATGATCCCAAAGCTGTGGCTGTAGTTCCGGAACCGACTTCGCGGACCGGGAGAGAGTATGAGGGGTTGCAGTGGGAGAGGATGGCTTATGTTACGTATGTGACGAAGGCGGAGGTTCTGTGTAATGCGGTTATGATTTTTGAGTCCCTGAAGAGGGTGGGGAGTAGGGCGAAGAGGGTGATGATTATTCCTGATTCGGAGGAGTTTATGACGGAGGGGTATGGTAGTCGGAGTGCGCTGAAGGATGAGGTTGTGAAGAGGTTGTTGAAGGTTGCGGTTGAGAAGTATGGGGTGGTGTTAGTGAGGGTGAGGGTTGTTAGGAGGCGGATTGCTTATGGTAAGGAACGCTGATAATCTTCTATGGATTGTGTTTTATGGATTCTTCGTGTCTGGGAGAAAAGATTTGGGATTTTGAGATCACTGTTTGAGAGGGTTTGGGAGAATGAAGAAATCGCGATTTCTTGATTCTTAAAACCCTCGACAAGCACTTGTCCTTATTATTCTGTCAAATCACCACGAATCGCAGAGCAAAACCCCATCAATCAAAACTGAAGTTACAACTAACATATTCTCTAGACGATTGGCGAGAATCTTATACCAAACTTCTCGCTTTCAACCTCACACAATACGATCGTGCCATCGTACTAGATTCCGACGCATCCGTATTAAAAAGCATGGACGAGCTATTCCTCCTCCCTCCAGCACCAGCAGCAATGCCTCGAGCATACTGGCTATCCAAACCAACTCTCGCCTCTCACATCATGCTCATCGAACCCTCAGTCCCTACATACAAGCGCATGGAAAAGGCCATCCAGAAAGCCGACATCGAGACGTACGACATGGAAATCGTCAATTCGATCTTCTCATCTTCGTGTGTGGTACTACCGCACCGAAAATATGCGTTATTAACCGGCGAATTCAGGAGGAAAGACGATGAACATGGCCAGTTTTTGGGGAATGAGACATGGGATCCGCAGAGAGTCTTTGAGGAGGCGAGTTTGGTGCATTTTAGTGATCATCCGATGCTTAAACCTTGGCAGGGGATCACGGTGGAGGATGTTGCGAGGTATAAACCTGAGTGTGCGTTGAGAGACCAAGGAGAGTGGGAAGGACAAGAGGAGTGGTGTGAGAATAGGCGTGTGGTGAGTTCTTTTTGCATGAGCTTCATGCGAAGCTTTACACTAACTTGTGAGCGATTCAGTGGGCCGACATCTATCGAGATTTCAGGGACAGGAGAGAGGTATGTTGATTCCTATGGAGAAGTAAACGAGGCTTACTGTTCTCACAGGCTGTTTGTTCATTGGGAACCCCCGGGGGTTGAGCATTGACGTCGTTGTTGGTCAGTTGGCCAGGTGGTTGAGTTGATTCCCCCTGAAACGACGTGAGAAATGAAGCATTTCACGATGTGGCGTAGCTGGTGTTGGAGTCGCTCTCCACTTGGTCAGCGTTAACAAGAATGCCTTGAAGAGCCAGCGCTTGAAGATATACAAACTTTGGGAAATGCGGCTCAGCGGTCCAACGTGGGCTGTGGGCTGTGAAGGTCGCTTCTCATAGCCCACGTGGCGTCTGTTGCCATGTTGTTGGGTTGGTTTGGGCTGGTATGGGTTGGATAATGGGAGTGTCAGCCTATCTACGCGAGGCTAACAAACACTTTTGATGGATATCCAACTCTCGGTGTGGTTTTCTCTATTGCTTATTGGATACCAGCGGTAGAATCTTGGGTCAACGGTCATGGTAACGGCCAGCGAGGCTGATAACATGTGGGATTTAGAATTTTGGTCGCGGCTGCTCTTGAAGTTGAATTAGACCTGTAACACAGACCCGGTTGCATAGAAGTAGACCCCAAATTTTAGTTTCACGTGGAAATTTCTTTGCTGTACTTGGGCTGATAATGGCGAAGCAAAATTTAGGAGTTATATTTCTTCTCCATGAGAGTAAGTTGGCTAAAGTATTCAAGGACTTTAAAAATATCAGCACAATTACAATAATTATTCAACGAATTTGATTTGTTTGTTTTCGCTATTCTCGATGCCTAGATTAACGGAATATCTCCAATGAAGTTACGCCAATAGAAAAGAAATGTCCGCCACTTTTCTCGCTCCTCAAAATTTTGTATTTTGTCTTGTACGAGTACCAATACAACGGTCTCGCTACGCACAACCCGTTTCCAACATTTCACCGCCTCGTCACGACTCACCGTTCTCGAAAGATTGAAGTCATAAGTGGGGTAATATGCGATATTTGTTTCAAATCCGTAAGCATATTGAAACAAGTTCTTTCTGCCGATCAATGATCAGCGGTCTACTTTCTCAAGATATATCATATGCGGAACTTACGTCAAATGCCCAGCTGTCCCATAAGAGCGTTTGTTAGTTAGCTCCACATTATTGTTGGACAGTTTCAGTCAAATTGTACTCGAATAATGCTGGCTTGAGAGCCTGTGGATTCAACGCGGAGATACTGGTGTGTATATTTTGATCGCCATCACAGTACAGATGCAAGTCCAGCTACCTTATCACACGTGCCGGAGATAGAAACAAATATTCATACTCACATATTAGACGGTGGCCGTCTCAAAAAAGCCTGTTTTTTACGAAGGAATCGAGGCTAAAAGTAGGTGCGAAATCCGTCTATTGGCCTGAAAGTCTGGGGTTTCTGTAGGGTGTGATGCGGTGGTTTGTGGGCGTTCTGTGGTTGGCTGACTGTTCCGGGTAGTCCCGCAAGGCGACTTCTCTCTGGTCGTCATTTTCTGTAGGGATACTATACTGATACTCCACCCATTCTGACAAAGTGTAATCTTACGAAAGTGGCAGTATCGTACCCTTGATTATCCGTCGAAATTTGCCCAACATCTCACAATTCTTCGAATGGTTTCAGAAGACTGAAATAATTGTTCAATATGCTTGAATTCAGTTAAACAATTCCGCTGTGGTAGACTTTGTCCCATCGCTCAGGCACAATTACTCGAACAGGGGGAGGGCGGAAATCTGACTAAAACGTGCAGGGTTAAAAATAACACAGACTCCACAATTCTATTTTAAAACCCACCTGCATCAGTCCCCAGAAAACAACCGCCCAATCGAGGCCCTCAGTCTTCAGAGTTTCTGCAAGGAAAGCAGCTTCGCTAGAGACCATCAACGACAAAACCCTTACACGTTTTCGTACCAAGCGCTTACTTTTCAATCCAGAGCTTCCCCATGGGTTGATGTGGCTTCTATTTCCACTATCCAACTGAAAACGCGGAACACGGGGCAGACTCTATGTGCATGTACCCCTCAAGCGGCTGTATTCGGTCACCACTTCGGTTGAGAGGGAGACATGGTTATTTTTGTTGCTTACAGGAGAATAATTGTGCGAAAGGGAAGATGTATAACTTCATACCATCCCATCGAATGTTTGAGATGAATACAAACATCTTCCCCGTTCCCTTCTAGACCATTGCTCCTTGTGTTTTGTTTCATAGTTCAAGTTCAGAGTCTAATTCATAATGGCACCTATTACCAAAGAACATATCTCTTCCCCACTTGAAGCTGGATCATCGCTTCTTGATGCCAAAATATTACCTGCCGTTCTCACTTCAGCATTAGAGTATGTGTCGGCTCGCCTGTCACGAAAGAACCTACACATTTCCCTCATCGTTATTCGCAAAGAAGTCCAAATTCCATCAACAGGAATGACACCAGTTTCCTCGACACTACCTTCACCTGCCTTGTCTCGTTCTTCGTCGACCTCATCAACTTTCTCTCGAGCACTCAGCAAAGTCTCATCTAGAAGCTCACTCTCCTCCTCCGGGTCATCTATATACTCAAATTCCACTGCCTCATCAACAATCTCTCTCTCGCGAACCCAATATCCCTCGCTTCCAACCTCACCAAAAGATAAAACAGCTGTACCAAGACTGAATATTCCATCCGTTGCTTCCGCTGCGCTCCCATGCAGTACACCAACCGCACCCAATCCATATGGAATATCTCTACTCCACGCAGCCACACTCTCACCCCGAGCTGAAAAGATCCTCCGTTCAACAATCCAAAAAGCCGAGAAGAAATTCCCAAGCATCGGTTCAGGCTGGCTCTCACCAAAACCCTTCACATCCACATCATCCACCTCCAATCTCCCAACAAACGACCTCATCCAACGCTCCATCGCCCAAAACGAAATCCTCTTCTCCTCCGAAGGACTAACCCTCCTATCCCTAGATCACGTCTACACATTCAAATCCCACCTCCTCACCTACTCCCACGCCCTCACCCAGGACTCCCTAACCGTCGCAGTCGACGAACTACGCCGCCTAATCCTAGCCCAGAAAACCCAAACAATCACCAAGAACCACCTCACCCGCTCCTATGACTGGCTCGGAATCAGTTTCTCCGCCCTCGTCGACGTGAACCAAGCCTACAAAATCACCTACGGAGGCCTCTCCCACACCGGAGCAATAGACTGCCAAGACACCCTCACACGCACCCAGCTCACGCCCCTCTCGCTTAAAACAAGCTTCTCAAGAGCCAGTCCACAGCCCACATTCCGCTCCGTACGAATGAGCTACGAGGACACGACAAACCACTCTTCCTTAACCTCAGACATGTACACCCGTTCCTCCTTCTGCAGCAGCGAAGTATCCTACTTCTCCCCCTCTTCATCCTGCGACTCGGGGACGCCAGAAACCGCTATCCCACTCACGGCCATCTCCATGGGCGAGAGTGCTAGAGGATTGGAGTTGGACACTGCAATTAGTTATCAATTTGATCTCGAGGCGGCGTTTAAGGAGGATAGGGGGCCCCATTTTAGGGGCCCGATGACGCCGAATGCTTTTGAGGATATCACGCCGGTCACGAAGGGGGAGTGGGGTTTTCTTATGACGACCGGGATGGCGAGGAGAAGGGCGGTGGAGACTTGTTAGGTGGTTGTCAATACTCATGAAAGTGAAAGAAGGGGGATCTGAGAGCAAGTGCTGCAATTGGAGTCGTGCCTTGAATGGAAATTTGTGGAGCGTTTGAATAGATTCTTTCTGAGAGGAGTGATACTGTATTTACAACTAGCGCATACAAGCATGGGAAGCGAGCATATTGTCATGGGATAAGAGTAGTTACCTGTGGACATAGTTGAAGAACAAACATTATTCAATACAAACTCCTTTCCCCCTCTCGAATCTCTTAGAGTAATGCCCGTCCAGAGCTCAAATGACCAGCAGTCTGAATAGGAAGGTAGTCTTACATACTACGTCTATACAGCAGGAGTCACTCATATCACGGGATAAACCACTTCACGAAAGCAATTAAAACCCCCCGCACAAAAATTAAGCACGCATCTTCTACAAGAAATACATGATTCATATTCATTCATAGCCCTAATTGGCACTCTCCATGCACAGGCCCCGAAAACGACCATCCCGCATGTGCTGGCCTTATTCGGAGAGTCAAAGAGCAATATGCTCAGAAAAAGAGAGAGAATAAACGCCTTGACCGTCTAAGATGACGAGCATAACAAGAAATACAGCAAGTCGAGGTGAAGAAAAGCAAAATTTGCATCCTTATTTTGCTCTCAGCAGCACCCCAAACCTCCACTCGCTGCCCATCTCAGTCGCATCTCAACAATGCTGCCCCAAATCCAATTGTGTATCTCCATCCATCCACTAAAACAACCAGGAAATCTTTTGTAAAGAAAAAAAACCAAACCCTTCATTAATTGGATTGATGCCATCGGGGCAAACGAATCTCATCCATCAAATCCCGAAGAAAAACAAGAGGGGGTACCGGAGTTTTCTTCCCCTCCCCTTCCCATGCGCCAAATTCACCATGCGTCGAGATTGTATTGTGTTCCCCTTCAAAGTCCCTTAAAATCGCTTGCTTTCATGCGCCAGTGAAACAAATTCTGCATAATTAATGGTCGTAAAGTCGTTGGAGATCCAGCCTAAAGTTGATCCGGGTCATCGATCAAAGGGCCGCAAAGTTCTAGGCTGTCTACTGGCTCTGATGAACCGTACTCGTCGTCGGAACCAGCCCAATCTAAATCAAGTCAGTGAGAAGTTCCGAGTAGAACAGAACGGGTAGAATTACCAGAAACCTCCTCATCAACTTCTTCCTCGATGGTACAATCTCTCAATCTCTTAAGGATTTCTGACAAGGTGCCGTTAGTAAATCTGATAACAGACGATTTATTAGGGAATATGGACTTGTAACGTACTTGATTTTTGATCGTCAAATTCGTCTCGCAGTGCGACATCTTCTTCTCCTTCGAAGAAAGTCTCACAGTTCTCGACTGCAGTTTGTATTTGCTGCACGGTGGATCTAACAGCTTGTCGGGCATTGCTGCAGAATGTGTGGTCCAAATATGCAAGACAATCAAATGCTAGCTTTTGGCCCGCCTGGCGGACCTTTTCGTCGGCTGCTCCATTCTCAGTTGCTTTGCCAGCGCTATCGTTCTCCCAGGGCGTGGTCAACAACCGACCCAGAAGAACAACAGTCTCATTTCGGACGTTGGCATCGAAATAAGTTAAGAGACGAGGAGCCCAATCTCCGATGAGATCCAGACAGAGAGAGAGTATGTGAGCGCGAGTGATTCGCCGATTGGCCGGTGATATATGGACAACCTCTGTGAAAAATTGTAGGAAATCTCTGCCTTCCGCAGTGTCAAGCTGTCTTGTTGCCTTCACTACATGTTCAATCAGCGGGATCACGTTTTCAGACTCTGTATATTCGCAATACAACAGAGCTGCTGCAAGGAAGGGTCCCACGTTAGTAGTTCCTTTTCTGATCCCATGACTAATTGCAGAATAAATGCATGGATCTAGGTCGTCTTCTGGCCATCGAATCAGGGCAATGATGATCTCTCGGCTACATTTGAAGTTTTGATTAATCTGCAGGAGCTTTTCCACAAGTATGTGGGCATTACTTCGGGTCCAATGCTGCGTCAGATAATCACGCTCCATGTGAGTTAGTGGCGGGCGTGCATCAAGCTTGTTGGGATCAAAGCGGACGTTTTTGTCATCGATGGCTTCCTCTGAAAGATCGCAAGTTCTCAACAGTCTGTGAAGTAACTTGATGACAGCCTCGAACGAAACGGGTCTGGAGTTTTGTCGCTTGTTGACAATGAGGAGCATTCGTTGGAGTTGTGTAGTTAGTGGTAACATATTATCTGCGCTAACAATTTCCAGGGTTCTGCGAAGATATCCCGCATCCAACAGGATGACCGCTTCGGCTTGTCCCATCGACGCAATACTGGCCAAAAGACCAAAGTATTCGGGCCAAGCGCGACAATTGTTATGGAATTGATCCCAAAGATTGTTCAGACCCTTCACAATGTTCTGAAGTAGTTGTGGATCAGAGTCACCGTCTACCTCATCTTCAAGATCGATTATGTCGGATAGTCCATAAGCATATGGCAAATCTGCCTTGATTCTTTGCAAGGATTCATAAATAGACGTTGCGATTTCGCTTCGCACCACGCCGTCGTTATTTCTGAAAAGCAACTGCCTCAAAATCTCGGGGTAGTTGCAGTACCATTCGAGATAATCTCTGGTACACTCAGCACAGCTTTCGCACATTTGGTGGATCGCGTTCATGTAAGAAGTAAAGTCGGGAAGCTCTTTAGTGCGAGTAACAACCTGGTCAAGATGATGAAAAGTAGCGTTCAGCGCAAGCTTTTCTAAGTGGTGGTTCTCAGAACAACGTTCACTTCCCTCGCTGATCTTCTTAACATTACCCAGCATCTTTAGTACGAAATTCAAGTGCGAGGGGTCGTACAGAGCATATTTTCGCATCAGCAACTCATTTTCCACGGCGATGTGATTCGAAAGCGCGCAAGGTATCGGCAATCGAACTGGACTAGACTTTCCTGAAACTTCTAGAGATTGCTTTTGGGCTTTGAGAGACGATGAACGCTGGTAGAACAACATATAAGCACTGTAGCTTTTGTCGTAGGTCATGTTACCGTTGTCAAGTTGTCCACGATAATCAATTCCTCCAAAAGTGGCATTCTCCATGTTGGCTGGATCCCAAGGGGTAACGTTGTCATCGTTGAACTCAACCCAGTTGTCGTTGTCGCTAGTGGATGGTCTCTCACGAATGAAAGAGTAATAGTGTCCGGATTCAGCAGTTCCAGCATGAACAAGAACACCGACCAATTCAAAAACGTCCTCGGAAGTTTGCTCGGGACTTTCCATCAGATGTTCCACTTTGTAAGGACGCATATCAATCTTGTTTGGAAACGAGAAGTGATCATTGATCTTGCTTCGTTGCATGGTCCGCAAGTTGAAATCGAATCTTTTGAGGTGGAAGATTAGATTGTCTGGAATCTCTTTCAGGCATGCTCTGTCATAATTTGTTAGCTCTTGAACATATTCGTGCTGTTATATGGCTTTACCGTTTGACGGCATCAACATGTCGATCACACGTTGAGCACTTGTACTTATTATCTAGGTCACATGTTAGCGAGAACAACTTTCAGGTCCAAGCAGATGCCTTACCTCCTTCCATTACCTCACCATCCACGTAAGCCTGAAGACTCTCCTGCAGTGAGCTCTTTCCCTTAATGTCGCATTGGATCGCGGAGAAAATCTCGAGTCGTTCGGAAATATGGGAACATTCCTTTGATTTGACCTGCTGGACAAGCTGTCCCCCATAGAACGAGCGAAAGTGCTTCTTCGCCTCCGACGCCAAGAACTGGCCTTCCCATCGATCAAAGAGAAGGTTGTAGAATTCGTCGACATCCATTTGAATATTCACATCAATTACCGACTCCTCGTATGTGAGAATAGAGGCGGCCAGGTTTTGTGGGTCGGCGGCCTTGGTCAAAGAATTCTGCATATTGGCGAACAAAATCTGTGTTTGATTGAGCAGTTTCTGAGACTCCAAATCAGCGACTGGCGCCCGCAGCATAAATTCGCGGAAAGGGACGTTCATGAAAAGCTGCGTGAACAAGGAGTTGAGATAGCAGGTATTAGAAAGATTTCTCAATCCCACGTAGCCGCTTCCAGAGCGGATCGACTTGCTTCTATCATGAAGCCAATTCAACTCGTAGCTATACGGTCCTGGCGAATGTGTAAGCGTATGATAAAACAGATTGGGGGATATGCCAGATTTACCGTCCTGAACACGATCATCATAGGAAACTAGCTCAAGTAAATATCCAAGGAGGAGCTTATATTGCTTCTCATCATCTTTGACAAGCAAGAAGACTGCTTCTGACATAATCTGCCGAGTCAATGAGTTTAGCAGGGGAATGTTAGGCAGCAAGGTTTCGTCAGATCTGGGCTGATAGTTGAGATGCGTTTCTGGGAATAGATGCTTGCGGAAGATCTGGCAACCAATAGCACTAATCTAGTTAGCAGAAGATCGGTCATTGCAGAAGAAGTACGTTACCCGCTTGCCAGTGACTGCTGAGATGCCTTGGCGAAAGAAGCCGCAGAGAAGATGAGATTTGCCAGGCCATGTGCCACCATGTCAATACTTTCAGGATGTCCAACACTCTGCCGATAATCAGCTCAGATACAATTAACATGAAGAGGCCGGAAAGTTCACGTACTTCAATACATTTGTGACGTAGCAGCAGAGCTCCCCATTCTTTCATCAGATCACCAAGGCGAAGGGAATCAACCGAGGTATCTACAAGTCTCTTGAATAATGCGTGTGCCAAGAGGAAAATCTCTTCGCAATGACGAGGATTGTCTACCGCCTTTGGAATAAGTCTACCTAGCATTGGCCAGAACTCTGTGAGAAAACCGGTGGTAGGAACTTGAGCAGGGCTGTATAAGGTTAGACATTGATCTGACATCAGACAGAGCTATTCCCTACCTTGGGCTATATGTACACTTGTTCATAATCTGCTTTGTAAAACTCTTTCGGATGACAGAGCGAGAGTCCCCAATAACCAAATCATGAAGCAGAGTGCCATTATTCAGATGGATTACCAATGACTCCCAGAAAGTAGCATTGTGGAGTGATGCTTCCAAAAGCGCTTCAGTTAATCTACATGTCAGATTTACCGATTGAGGAGTGCTTGCGCAGGATCTTGACTCTTCAAGTAGCGTTAGGAGGCGACTGAGTAGAACATCCGTTAGATATGGGGCAACTGAGGGCGGAAGAAGTGGTTCTATGACATGTTAGCAAACTTCATGCATTCATTGAAATATGAAAGCTCACCCTTCAAGAATTGGATGAAGCAATCAATAAAATGCAGAGTAAGTCGATCCTTCAGTTCAGCACCGGTGCAGTTTTCGAAGACCTTTTCGTCGGAAATTGCCGCAACAATTAAGGAGACAGCCCTTGTCAATGCTGCTTCATTTACGACACCCTAAAACAAAGTTAGCAACTTTCAGATTCCAAGAGCAGGTTTGTCCTCACTTTCTGGGATTGACCTGCGATGTATTCTCGGAGGACGTGAATTGCATAAAGACATCTGAATGGCTGGCCTTGTGGGAATATCTGAGTATATGGCATGCTCTCATCATCAAATTCCTTCAAAATTCGATCATAGACGGGGAACTTGATCAGAAAATGGTAAATCTGCAAGACATGGTTAGCTGTTAAAACACAGACATGCGTGGTTAAGGAAGAGGTACCTCTTGAGCAACCTTCTCTTGCATACTCAGGTAACTCCACAGCTCTTCAAAGTGCTTCATAATCTCTAGCTCGAGTGTAGTCTTGGTGACATCAAATGACGCCGCTGATCTTTCGCCATCGCGGCGTTGTACCAAGACAAGCCCACTCACATTCAGGTCCTGAAGGGATTTGCAAACCTCAACCTCGTCAGGATCAAACTCTTTACCTTGACAAAATACCTTGTAATTGCGGAAGCCTGTCGCCTTTTGAAGACTGGCAAACAAAGCCGCAGCAGTATTCAGACTACCAATCGTCAAGCTCTTCACCTCCGTATGATTGTTTCCGTCAAAGGATTGGTATTTGAGAGTAATAGGTTCCCCTTCTAGTGCACCAGTGACCGCAGGCGGCGGGAGCTTGGGCTTCGGCGTCGCAAATCGAGGCTTTAGCTGATAAGCTTTCAGAAATTCTCTCAGTACAGCTAAAGATCTTGCAAAGATTCTCTCCTGTTCCTGAAATTGTGCTTCAGATGGAACAATGACCATCCCATCCTCCTGCTCGTTCGCTGTACCCTCGCTGAAGGATTTGAGTCGAGAAGCCGCACCCGAGAGTTGTTTCAAACAACGATCCACGAGAACTAGGTGTATACTTCTCGCAGTAGCGCGTGGCATGGACGTGATGAGAACGCTATCAACGTATACCTCAACGAGGATAGTGATTGCTGCGGCATCAATTGTGTTTGGAGGTGCAGTTAATATCATGCGCCATATTTGCTCGAGAGGAGGGGTTTCAAATGCTCGAGTGTCACCAGCCAAAAGATTAACCCCGACTGCCTCCAGCCAAGATCTGACCGCGGAACGAGCAAACTCCAACGTGCCCATAGTAAAGCAGTGAGGTGGAAGATTTGGAAGGTGTTCTTTGAAGCAAGTAACAAGATACGGATTATTGTTGGGAGATCGTTTCACTGCGTTGTTGATGACATTCCACCAATCTGCACGCTCCGCCATATTCTTGGATTCGCTTCCTACTAAGTGATCCCAGAGACACCGACCAAGATCCGATGTAATTGTTTCTGGGTGATGAACAATAAGTAGAAGAATGAGATCCCGACGGGCGACGCTCGCCGGCGTATTTCTAACAGATGAATCACGATTGCCAGCTATTGTGTACTCTAGTTCCTCGATGAGAATTTGTGTGAGACCTGATTGGGTGGTCAGGGTCCGCAAGTCGGCATGGAGATGGTGCTTAATGAAGGTGTACAGGACACAGATGCTACCAGGAGCCGATGCTTGTCTGGAAGAGATTTCCTCGATACAACTAGAATATATCTCCTCTCTGATCTTGGGTTCGGGTCCTTGTGTCAAAAGCTCGCGAAGTTTGAAGGCCGCAAAGTTTTGAATGTCCGGAAGCCCTGCCGGGTGGGCCGAATTGATAATCGAGGACTCCCGGATGAGTCTAACACATAGCTGGTAAGGCAGTGCGTCAACAAATCGGACATTCTCCTGTATCGCTTTTTGAGCGAGCTGATGAAAGACAACTTCACAGAATTCTCGCATAGGCGTATTGAATGCCTCGATAGGAAGACGGCCTACTTTGCTGATAATGTACAGAGCGCCAGCATAATCGTACAGGTTGATACATTGCTTGATCATTCGCAGAATGGCCTCGACTACACGAGGATCTTGGCTTGTTGTAACTGTCCGCCAGATCAAGTCGGTCAGTTCTGGGGTGTAGGTTTTGGTTACAATTAGGAAGCCTAGGATGTTACTGCTTTCGTTGATGATCTCGGGGTGCGACCCAATACCAACGAGATATTCGATGAGCTTGTTGTTCAGCACAAAGTGGGCCAAGAACAATAGCATAATGCTGCGAGGTGGATCATTGGCTCTGGGCATATTGTAAACCCGAAGTAAGTCAGAACACATGGTCGTAGTCCCTACAACTCTCAACTGCATCTGCGCTGATGTAATGAGTTTTTTCAGAATGACAAATCGCCATTCGTATGAAAACACCATAGACAAATATTTTCTTGGTGTCTCAGGATGCTCCGATTGTCGCTTATCAAGGAGTGCTCGGGTTTCGTCATTCTCGTATTTCATTGCTTGTTCGAAGATGTACAACAAGCTGTGTACGTGAGCCTGAGCAGCATCTGTTGTGAGGTATGTGACATGTTTGTCGATGATGGTATCCAATCCTGATGACATGAGCTTGAAAAACTTGTAACCATCGGCGATTACTTGCTTCGCATTCTCACCAGATTCTCGCGCATATGAACCTTCCAAAAGTTTGGCAGCGCTCGAAATAGCCCTGAACGCTAATCGACTAGGCTCCACCAGGTTCTCTATGACCCTGGGGTTTCGTGGGACGATAGCAAGTTGAGCACCGACGAGTTTTGTCAAATTTGAGATAGTTCCGCCCGCACTTATGAAATAAGTCATCATTCTCACAACATCTTGATCCCAAGCCCATTCATAATGCGTTTCCAAATTTTTCCCGATATGTGTGGTTTCTTCTTTTCGTAGCAAGAAACCGAAGGCTTCAAGGATTCGTTTCGAGCCTAGGTCCGGATCTTGTTCCATATCTACTTTTTGCGACGAGGTTTTGACGTCCATTGCCACAAATCGTCCGGCGAGCCGAGCAAACTGAGAGAACATTTCGCAAAGTGATTGACGACCGTGAGGATCACGTCGCAGAAACTCGCCGAAAAATCGACTACTCAAATAGCCCCAGTTAGCAAGGAGGATGTGGTGAAGACGGATGAGATGAACTTACCTTCGGGAATTCAGTGCCCAAAACACATCAGGGAGAGCCTGCCAGAATTCTCGGTATTTGCAGTATTGTCGGTAGAGTTGAAAGGAGTCAGTCTCGTTCACAATATCGTTCATCCAATCCCGAAGCTTGCAAAATACTTCATCCGTCGCGATCTCCTCTGTTTTGGTTAGCAAATATCCAGGCAGCGTAATAAGTGACGAACCATATTGAAGAAAGTTTGCTACTCTGCGAATGGCGTTTGGTAGTGGTTCACCACTCTCTAGGAAAGGAAAGTCCAGAACTTTGTCAGTATCCAGGATAGCCACCGCTGGACTGCTGTCCTCGAAATCTCCATCATCTTCGCTCAGTGGTATAACTTCAATGGGCGGGCTTCCTGGGACGGAGGGAGAAGAAGTGGGAGTCCCGACTGCTGGAGCGGTTGACAGGGCATCACTCTCAGATTCTATACTGGCTCGTGGATCAGCTTCCTCCCCGTTGGCCATCTTGGAAAGTGTGGTGGGTGTGGTAGGAGAAGGCGGAGAGGAGGGGATGGATTCGAGAGGAGGGGCTGTTCGCAGATTGATGGTCACTCTGCTCGATGTTGGCTCGGTCGTTGGATGACCAGGAGGATATATTCGCGTTGGAGTGTGAGGCGGGGCAGGATCGGCTACAGCCTTTGTGCTGCATTCACTAGAAGGAGGGACGGGAGCACTTTCGGATTCGCAGACCGTGTCGACCGATCGGCTTCGTGATTCTTCTCTCGAGACCCGTTGCCGCTTTCTCGCGGAGGGGTCGTCGTCTTTGAAAGGGTTGGGGCGGGTTGAGCAAGGCTCTGAGGAGACCGCACGTTCTCGCGAGAGCTCGGCTGGTGAAGGGTCCATTTGGGTCGCGAGCGAGGTACCAGAAGCGGCGGGGCGAGGGAAGGTATCGTGAGCTCAGGTTTGCGGGCGTGCAAGCAGAGAGCGCAAGAGCGACTGCTGCTGCTGCTCCTCTGCTGCTGCTACTTGCTGCTCAATCCCAGCACAATTGCAGAAGCTGGCGAGATCTAGAAATTCCCATAAGTGAAGCTCGTCGGTCCCAATACTTGCAGTGCAAGGTTGTCAATGGACCTGTGGTTTAGGCGATCGGATGGAGCTCTACCGTCGTCATATCAGTAAATGTAGGTCGGTCGGATGTGGGTGGGTTAGGTGTGGGTGTGTCTGCAGCTCCCGCTAGAGAGACCAGCGGGGTTTAAGAAGCAACTCAGAGGGGGGTTTGGACGGCCAGCAAAGAAAGAAAACGACTAACCAACACGGAATCTGGCAGAAGAGAAATGACCTAGTAAATGAATATTTCTACGTCAAAGAATGGAGTTGAGGTGGATGCGTGTGAGGGGAAGAAATTCACGGTCGGTGCTATTGATGGAGCTTGTAACCTACGCGTGAACCTGGCAAAGATGACCGACCAGGTCCCCTCTGCCTCTGATAACAGCCTAAGGCCACAATCGGATTATCATTATCAGGGATAGTGGATAAACGGAGATCACCTAACCCTACTTGGGTTAGGCACTTCTGACTGCCTAGTAAAGGTACGGTACTCTCTTACACTGACTGCTAGAGAGGATTCGTATGTTCTTATTATTTGTAGAATTCGCTTGGTGTTATATAATTCAATCTAGATGCGATTACCTCCCTCTAATTTGGCTCTATATTGCAGGGCATTGAGCATTGAGCTTAGAGCTGTAACTAAGGGTTTGACCAACCGCAGCCTTGTGCACGTCATTAAAGTGGCAATACGTACAAGTAGGTAGTGGGGTGGGTACTGTACATAGTAGTGAGAGCAGCTCAAGTAGGTCGGTCGGTCAGCCGGCGGCCCACTTGTTGTTCTTCCAGTTATCAACCTAGATAGGTATATATGAGATACCAGGCAATCCTTTGAAAGATTTCAGACATTTGTATCAATCGATTTTAATATTCTACAAATTAGATAAATTGTAAAGTGTTATGTTACCTCATCAGGAAGTAGCGATGCCGCTTTGATTCCTCGCTCTCCACCGAAATCCAATGCCCAAGCTCCAACACAAGCTCCAAACACGCCTAAAAAAAAGTCAATTGAACGTCAGCCCTCTACGCGTGCTCCGCCCAAAACACATGTGTGACACCCACCTCTGTCTCTATATCTCAAGCTCACTCACTATGAATTAGCGAGAAATCTTAAATCACCCACCCTTGAGACGAAACTAGGAAAGCTCTCCCATAATCTCCTGAAAAAATCCCATATCCATCATGGATAAAAAGACAAAGAATGTCTTTCAACTGGATACACCATTCACAACCACCAAATGGTAAAGTCGTCACCCCACATTTCCAAGCAAACCACTCACAAATCCACAGGCCAGAAATCTCTCCAAAGGATCAAGACCACATCCTAGAGCTTCTCTGCAGGTAAGTTTGGCCCTTGACCCACTCAAGGTCCATCATCTGACTCTCTCATCATAGTCTCATATCCCCAATCGGCAAACATCGCACAAACAACACGCCAGCAAAAAGCAAAGGCAAACGAGCCAAGCGCTCGAGAAAAGAAGCCAAAGACGATAAAGACCATTTACAACCAGATAACTCTGTCCCACCGCCAGAAATATCCTCATTCATTTCCATTGGTCTTCGGGCCATTACACGACGTCTAGAATCCTCATCCAAAGTCTCAAAACCCAATGGTGACCAAGAAAACGGGTCGGTAAACGATGCTACTACCGAACCTCCAGAACCAAAATCAAAAATTTCCAAGCCCAGCGCCGACAACAAGGAAGAAACCAAACCCCTCCACTTCTCCGCAATATTCGTCCTACGAAACGCGCACGAAAAACTGAATCACGACCACCTCCCCCAACTCGTCGCCACCTCCTCTCTAGCCCATCCCCATCTCCCCGCAACAAGACTCGTCCAACTCCCCGAAAGTTATGGTCCCAGGATCTGTAACGCGCTGGTGCTGCCGCGAGTGAATTTCATAGCTTTGCATGATGGGGCGCCGCATGCGGGCCAACTTGTCTATTTTGTGAGGATGCATGTAGCGAAGATTGTGATGCCGTGGTTGGAGGAAGTGAAGAGTGCGGAGTATCTTCCTGTGAAGATTAATACGATTGAGACGACGACTGGGCCGCCGAAGGAGAAGAAGGATGAGAAGAAGTGGAAGAAGAATGTCTTTCGTGAGATTCTGGTTGGGGAAACTGAGAAGATGGGGGAAGTATGTGAGGCGTGAGATTTGACCAGAAGGGAGAAATGAAATTTTACTTGCTGGGTCATGGAACTTTTGTCGCTGTTTCTACAAATATACCAATGTACCAATATTTCGTGAACTTCCTGCAATGCTTTTACATATCAAACATCTTATCTTAACCATTATCTCAGATCCTCGTTCATGATCCAATAAAACTACCATATATCGTGTTTTCCAAAAACCAATACATCTCCCCTCATACTCTACCCCATCCGTGCCCATCCCCTTCTCTCATATCCCTCGGATAAACCCCGCCTAATCCACAGCACGCCAAACCCACACGCCCCACCTTACCCTACCATCTTCGCGTCGTACATTAATAGTACACGATAAGACAACGAAGCACCCAATCAACAATATACCAGGCGCTTTGGCGGAGTGGTTAACGCGATGCCCTGCTACTGTCATCGACAAAGCCAGGCATTTCTTTCGGGAGCAAGAGTTCGAATCTCTTAGGCGTCGTCGTATTCATTTTTTGTCATTTTTTTTCGGCGGGGAGGTTTTTTTTTCCCGGGCGGAACGAGGGGAATTATTTTTGTGGTTGTTAGAGGAGGAGAGGAAGGAAGGGGGGGAGAGGGAAGTGTAAATTATTAAGAAAATTTTATTAGGGGTTACTAACTAAATTGCCGTTATTACTTAGACCTTAAAATAAAGGCTACAGGTAAGTAGGGCTCAAGAGTAGGTCACGTGGGTCAAATGGGAAAGCCTTACTGCCAAAAGCCTTTATAAGAGGGTCCAGAAGCTAAGATAAATAATACTTACTCCTTCTAACCTTAAGTAATAGCGCAAATGAAAGACGAACTGACTACTATTAGGTACCTAGGTAATACTAACAACTGTTAAACCAGCCAAGCAATTTAGAATGATTTTCTTCTGGAGTATTAAACTCCCTGTAACCGCCACTGCCCGGCTAGTACCCCACGCCGGGTAAACAGCATAAGCGAATACCACCTTATATCTTTTTCGAAAAGTTTTTCTTAGGGGGGAATAAAAGGTAAACTCCCCATATTTTCTTAAGAAGAGCTTCAGGCACTATCAAGCATCTCACTATTTGAATCAAAGACCAAGCAAGTTTTTCTGCAATAACTACCACGGTGCTAATGAACAGCATTTCTGAATCAATGGACTGCTTACATGCATGCAACTCAAATGAGTAGCATCCCCGCCTCTATCACTATGCGGGGGATGAACGAACATCTAATGAACGGCACTGATCCACTCCATCTAATCTGCCGAGCTAATACTTAAGGATGGCACTTCGCGAAAACAATTGATTGCCTCCCTCACCTCATTCCCCACTTCCATTTCTTCTCTCGGTAGAAAGATTCCGCAACGATGAAAATCTTCAATCTGCTCCCCGCATTCGTTCTTCCGCTTCTCACCCAAGCCCAAGATTCCACTTACGAGTATGTAATTGTTGGTTCTGGGCCCGGAGGCGGTCCTCTGGCTGCGAATCTCGCGCGAGCCGGTCATTCGGTTTTATTGCTTGACGCGGGTGATGATCAAAGCGATAATCCCAACATCACAAGCACCTGGAACTTCATCAATGCGTATGAAGCTCCAAATACGAGATGGGATTTTTGGGTCGCGCATTCGGATGATGAGGAGAAGGAGAAGGAGTATTTGCATACTACGTGGAGAAAGACTGATGGGAGTTTTTATGTTGGATTGGACCCGCCTGAAGGTGCTGAGAGGTTGGGTGTTTGGTAGGTTATTTCCAATGAATCGTGGGGGGAAACAGTATCTGAAATTGTAACTAACTTATATTGAAGGTATCCTCGTGCCGGTATGTTGGGTGGTTGTGCCATGAATAACGGTGCAAATATCGCTATGCCAGCTACCGCAGAAGTAATTGGACTATTTCCTTTTCCCCATGTACTCCATCTGACTAAGCCTATGTCAAATATATTTGGCGGCTTCTTATTAAGTTATTCTCTCTCGAAAGATTGATCAAACTGCGGGCTTTCCTAAAACATTAGAGACAACAAAAGCTGACTTGACTAAAATCAGTGGAAATATATTGCCGATATCACAGGTGACGATTCCTGGTTGGAAGAGAACATGCGACAATATCTCGTCAAACTCGAAAGCTGCAACTATGTCCCCAATGGAAGTACATCAACTCATGGTTTCAATGGATGGCTGCAGACATCACAAGCTACGAACGCCTGGGCAAGCGATCTTACTTCAGATAGCTTCGTAATTGCGAGCTTGGTAGCCAATGCTACTGGATCTGGAGATGCCGCTTTATCTGAACTTGTGAAAAGGGATATGAATGCAGCCGATCCGGATCGCGATCAAAGGCTAGGAATTTTTGGACCTTTGACCCATGATAAGAATGGAATTCGCTCCTCCCCAGCTTATTACATTAGGGAGACCTTGGCAGACGCGCAGAAATTCCCGCTCACGGTTCAGCTCAACACATTTGTCACCAAGATCATTTTCAACACTACTGATCCCAATGCCCCTGTAGCTACTGGTGCTGAATTCGTTCAAGGCCCACATCTTTACAGCGCTGATCCTTTCTATAATTCTTCTGAGACGGGTGTTCCAGGCAAAGTATTTGCTTCAAAGGAAGTCAGTAAGTGATGATGGATTTTCTCTTCTCTCACGCTTCGCTTGACCTATTATCCTATTTTCTACCTGCAGTCGTCCTCAAACCTGGTACGGATCTGCAATAGCTGACTCCTTGAACCCACAGTCATTGCGGGTGGTGCATTTAATAGTCCACAGATCCTCAAACTGTCCGGAATCGGACCAGCTGCTGAGCTCGAGAAGTTCAACATTCCAGTCATTAAAGATCTCCCCGGAGTTGGGGCTAACCTGCAAGACAACTACGAGGGTGGAATCATGGGTCAGTACGAGAAACCGATCACAGGAGGGCCCTTCTTTGATGTAAGTCAAGCAACCTGCCCCCAATAAGTAGTAACTAATCACCGTCCTTCAGGTGATGCTCAAGACGGCTCTTGCAAAAATCAGAAACATCTACTTCTTCTGCGGAGTATTCTCTTTTGAAGGATTCTGGCCCGAGTTCCCGACTCAATACGTCAACGAATTTCTTTGCGCAATGGTTCACATGAACCCCAAAAACATCAATGGTCGTGTCCTTCTAAAGAGCTCCGATCCACGAGAAACACCAGAGATCAACCTCGGATTCTTCTCCAAGGGCGATGACGAAGATCTGAATGAGATGTACGAGGCAGCGAAGTGGATGCGTCCTTACTTCAATTCTGTCCCTAACAACAAGTTTACGGAACTCCATCCTTGCACACATGAGAACTGTACCGTTGCGGACCAGAAAGAGTTCTTGAGAGATCAGATCTTTAGTCATCATGTCAGTAGCAGTTGTGCTATTGGAGCTGATAATGATCCATTTGCTGTGTTGGATTCAAACTTTAGAGTAAGAGGTGTGAAGAATTTGAGAGTTGTAGATGCGTAAGTAACCTTCTTCTATACTGCATCCATCTAGACCAAGGTTCTCCCATATATCAAGCTATATCTCCTTCGCTTGGAGCAGCTTTTGTTCATACAACCATGTGCTGATTTTGATTTAGGAGCGCGTTCCCAAAGGTACCAGGTGCCTTCCCTGTTTTGCCTACCATGGTGATCAGTGAGAAAGCTGCCGATGTGATCTTGAGAGGAGTTGAGTAAGGGAAACTCGCGTTCTGTATATATGAGCTTTCGGTATAGATGCAATGGGTTTCTTTTCCGACGGATAGGCCAGCGTTCTTTTTTTTAGATACGCGAGTAAAGAAAAGTGTCGCATCTCGATTCATCCAAGCGCACTTGAACTTAGGGTCGAGTTCTATAAATTCGATGGGATTATAATAGCTACTATAGTTAAGCTCTTCTAGTAAATAGTTAGGTCTATCTTATATTCTAGGATAAAGTTTGTTAAAAGACGAAGCGAAAGGTTTTCGTTCATTATGGTGAGACTTTGCATGCGTAACGAAGCTGAAAATAGTATGATATCACTATACGATAAGAGATATGGAACTCTGCCGAAGTGTTCTAATGACTAATATGATATTTTACCTGACCTCCGTCAAGTGAGGCTCTTCAAAGTCAACGTGGACTAAACGATTCCAGGATATGTTCACAATTGTGGTGAATGAGATGAAGTTTTTCTCTCTCTGAAAAAAACATCCGAATAAAACGAAGAGATGAAGCATATGATTCCTTCGGGTTAATTACAAGTAAAAAAAAGGCCCTGAAAGCTGTTGCTCGCCTTCACTTGAAGTATAGAGAGCAACATTCAATGGAAAGTTGTAGATTGATAGCGAAAAGTGGGTCCATCACTCCAGTTATGACGTTCCTGTATCCTTTGTTCAGATGCATGTCTACTATTGTGTATTTATCACTTTCAGGGTGACGTAGTTTCAAGTATTCCATGAGTTATAGAGTAACCAAGCCCTCTCTTTTCCTTTCTTGACAACAAAAACTTCAAAGTCTTCAGTACCAGAAAACACACCCTTACTCAGACACAGACACCCATTATCACTCAAATCGAAAGCAAAACGTAATCATGCGCTTCGTCTCTTTACTAGTTGGCCTTCTTGGTCTTTTTTTTTCGGTGAGTATTGGCTAAGACGTCCATTTAGCCATACTAAAGTGTACATCAATAGGCCATCGCAAACCCACTTCCTTCCAACCCTTCTCCAGTTCCATTCTCTCCTCTTGGGACTGCATCTCGTCATCCCTCTGCAGCAGACCTAGAAACTAGCGACAATATACGCTCTATGGCCCTCACAGAATCTCCACAGATTGCTAAGCGTAACAAGGTACTGTAAGCCCGTGTCATTCGCCCGGATCTATCATTCATCGATACATATTCAATGGGAACATATACTCACTTGACCACAGGACAAACTTTATTGCTGTTCCGATATCCCAAGTCAACCATGGAAATACACGTCACGACTAGATATCGAACAAGGAATCAACTATCTCTGGGACTATTGGCCAAAAGGGTTGGCAACCATATGTATCGAGTCCAACACATGCCAACGGTTGACTTGCTATGGTTCAGGGGAAATAAAATTATGCAACGATGTAAGTTTGCCCCCCTCGCTGTGTTAATACGAAATTGTTACATCTTTTGAGGATTGATAACTAACATTTGATGTCGGATTAAAGAACGATTACCAAATCTGCCCTAACCTTTCGTACCTTGCAAGTTACGCCGAAGATATTGTGCGCACTTGCAATTACCCAGACAATCAATACGTGTGCGGGCAGTATTTTGATACAGATGGATATAAGTAAGTGATGTTGCATTCTTGAGAAGCTAATGGCATGGCTGAATATGAATAGTGTCATTGTCAAGCAGGCAAATGACAAAGTTGTGTTGAGCGAGCGAAATGGTCGATGAAGCAAAGGTCTCCAAGTTTTGTGCAAAACGGAATATACATAAAGACGCAAAGTGCGAGCTAGCCGAGCGATAGAATATAATTGCCAGGATTGTAATTTGGCGTTGCTTTTACCAAATTAAGCAGAACAGCGAAATTGCATATCAGTCTTCTAGTCCTATATTGAAAGAAGGTTTAGCTTGTTTCTTGTCGACTTCCTTATTACTTTCGTAAACACGCCAGTCACTAGACCCCTACTACTAGTAACATTGACTTTTTCATACATCAACATCGCCGTAGTTAGAATAAATAAAGCACAATGATATCGAATTGCTTCAAAGCTTAACTTGAGATGCAACCACACCTGGACAAAGAGTCATCCTGTCGACATATTTCGATGAGTTCGCCATTCTTTTCTTGTTGAAAACATGGAAGTAAGGCGAAAAGGAGAGCAAAAAAGCCTTCGAGGATGAGGTGAATAGAACCGCCTAGTCGTTTGTTAGTATGAGGTGTAAAGAGATACGGAGGGTGTACATGTAGTGAATAAGAGAATCTTGTGCAGTTCAGAAATGGTAATACGAGGGTTCACCTTCATCATCGTGCTTTTAGCAGCTGTCAAATTGATTATACTTGTATACACAGCGAATGTAGAGACCAGTTGAGAGGTGCTAGATTCATTGAAGATGATCAGGAATATCGGGGGATAATAAGAAACATTGTCGTTTCACTGTCCGTACACACCTCTCTTAGAACAAAATTATCCCAAAAGCGTTGTACAACTAAAATAGTTATATAAAGAGCTTGAATAATTGTTAACTCTTATTTTTCACTACCTTAGTTATCCTAAGACAATTATTTTACTTGTACTACAGGTTTCGTATAATAGAGTTTTATAAAGTATATACAGATCAACAACCAGGTATCTTACAAATGAAAAGATGATAATTATACTTTATATACTCTTCCAAACAGCCTCGAAGCTTTCATTCATGGGATCCGGGTTATCAGCGCAGAGGAGCAGGCCGTGTGTTAGTGAAATGGGGAACGGGAGTTGTTGATTTGCTTGCTGCAGAGACAGTCGTTGAATCGTCGAATGTCTAGCAATAAGGTGCTATAAATAGTGTCTAGGCAATACTCAAAGAGAAGTCTTGATATTAGGTAAGACCATGTCGTATGAATTGTTGGTCGGTCGGGAAATGTGTATATTGCAATTGGTGGAAAACTAGCGAGGGATATAGATCTAAAGTTGTCTACCTGTACGCTAGACCACTTATAGTCCCTAGGGCAATCAAACAGCTACCATCTTTAATATAACAAAATAAATAATACCTGAGAAGCATAATTCTACCTCCAACCATTCAATTCTCGCTCGTCCACCTACATCTCCCAAGATGCTCTAAGACCTTTTTAGTGAAACCCAAGCAAGGCATTCATTCAACATCACAAACCCGAATCCTGGGGTAACTAATAAAATCCGCAATGGCTCTGAAATCGCAAGCGACCGTTGATTTCCAACATGGGAATCAAACATTCTCTTTGGATGTATGCACCCGAGAAATGAATTGACAATAGGCTTGTTAATCCATGCACAGCCGAAGATTACTACCCAATCCAGACATCCAGGGAGGCAAACAAACAGAACCAACACATGAAAATTGAGTAATGAGTGGCAAGATTCCCGACTACCTTGCCTAGAAATAAGGCAGTACAAATATTGGGAAAAGACATCCCCACAGCTCTCACTTGATCCAACAACGAACACCCAAAATACGAGCCTAAACCCCAACATCCCACATCGAATTTAAGAATCTCACACCCTCTACGGGATCCAGATTTACTAGCAAATAGCCTCGATTCGGTCCTCGTGTACGAAGCTCTCAAGGGCATATCATGGCACCGCGCGGCACAGGAAGCAAAGCCGGTCGGGAATCCAACAGGAAGGCCAGTTGCAGTTTACCGAACAATGTCAGGGCAGATTCCGGAACAGGAACAGGGGAAGATCTAGATTGTGCGACGTAGAGAAGATCTTTTCTGGTACTTTTGGGTAAAGAGGCTTGATAGCGCAGTGCAGGGAGGCTGGTGTTGGTGTTGGTGGTGTTGGTTGTAGATATGCCGCAAGAAGGTTTCGGTAAGCTTTTCGGAAGCTCCGTTTGTAGTCTGTGTGGTGTGACTCAGCGTGTTGAAAAGGAGAATCCAGTGGATCGGTTAAGGATATAGGGGCTGGATAGGAAAGGGGGTGGAGAAAAGGGAAGGATGGCGACGACGAAAGAGACTCAACAATGATTCAAGCAAAAGTCCATAATAATTTTTGAGAGTTTGATATTTTTTCTTTTCCCTCCTCGTCTACAAAAAAATCAAGGTAGAGTTGATTCCTAATTACCATTCCCCGTAAAAGTCGGTCCCTAAGAAAAAGTCCCGCCGGTGAAGGTAACCGGGTTGAAAAGAATCCACCATCCACAGGATATGAATCATTTCTCAAAGGATCTTTGAAGTCGATTTTTGACTCAGGTTCCCAAGCCTGCTGCTTGCCATGTGGCATTCCTATATTCCGTCCCTTCAATCCAGAACCCCAAAAATAAATCCAGCACTCTAATGATCACCCATCCCGAGTCTTTTATACCTAGACTCCCCAGAATCTATACGCAGAATATAGATGCGACACGCCACACCGAGACCCTTTTTCTCAATACCAAAGGGATACTATATAAAATGAGACATAATATAAACAAATTAAAAAAAAACAGGACGCTAAAATGCGAGCAGAAGAAATCGAAAGCGAAAACAAAACAAATATTTAGCAAAAATAGATACAACTCATAGTTTGTTCACGTTCATCGTGTCCACACCGGTGAAACTCATGGGTGGAGCATGGGTACTCGTAGAATCCCAGCTTTTGGTTTGAGACCTCGCTAATCCCAGTGGTGGTTTGGGCGAACTAAAGGAACGTGATGGGGATTTGTATCTTGCTTCGCGACCGAAATAATCCGGTGTTTCACGGCGACTTTTGGTGACAGCAGGCGATATGGGAGATATGGGTGATACTACGTTTGAAGGAGCAGGAGAGGTGTAGGCTTTATGGTAGGGTTGTTGATCAAGTTCGGCGTCTTTGCTCATGTCGCGATCCTTGGATAGCATTTCATAGGAATCGGGTGTGTTTTTGAATTGGCGGACATCAACGCTTGCAAACTCGACATCAGGCTGAGGACGGAGAAGCTCGAGCCAGCCAGTAAACATTGAGATACGACCTAGGAGGAAGAGACACCAAATGCCGTTGAGCTGAGCACAAATCAGTAACTGAGAAAGTATGAAGCGACCAAAAGAACTTACCGAAAGGAGTAGAAGAACAGCGATAATAGTGGCTTCGTTAACGATTATATTATCTGTCAATGACAGGCACTGGTTCTTGTCTCCTTTTTGGACTATGCAAGTCAACCAGGGCAGAGCTGTTTGAGGATTCTTGATAATTTTCGTCTCGGTGCCATCCGCAAATACGAAGACAATGGCGAAGAATATGACATCAGCAATGATCAGAAGAACGATTGCAATGCCTCTCCACTGGAGCTCAATGACTCTTCTGACTCTTCTGTAGGCTTGCTTGGGTGAAATTGTTCCTCGAACGCTGGTAGAATATGATGGAAGCCCGGAGGTGTCTGTGGTCGTTGAGTCATCGGCGAGAGACTGGAGGTAAACTTTAATACAGTATCCAAAGGTTCCGAATTGAATGATGACAGTGATGCCAGCAAAAGCTAGCAAAGGAATCCAGAGATCCGCCAAGCTGTTCTGGTGGTTGACATGGCAAGTATCACCGAATCGAAACGAAACACCACTGAACACCAATGCCAAAGTCAACCCAATTGCAGGAATTCCCCAGCCAGTGACAAGTGCACCCCACATGAATCTCTTCCCAATAACCATCTGCCAACAGATTTGAAGATGAAGGGCGACGGCGCGCAAAAACACCCACATAACTCCAGCCCAACCTCCTGCAATCAAGAAAGCTCCGGAAAAAGCACACGATAAATTACTTGTCATATCATGTGGCGTGATTTCATTGAAGCACTGTTCTGGGTTCGCACCCAAGGGAACGATGAATCCAAGCTGATAATAGTTAGCAAATATTGGGACAACTGTATAGATATAAGAGATTCTATAATTTCTGGTCGACCCGGTTGTCGCAATAATCACCCAACGCTTCCAGCTCCAAATGAAATCAATAAAAAGAATAGCCGACTTACGTTCATCAAAATAACCGCCATTGCCAAGCATATACTTAAGTAGTGACGATGCGTTTTCTCAACCGGAAGAAATGCGAATGAGGCTAATAAAAAGGCAACTGCTACCAGTGAAACTACATTGATCCAATTTGCTACTTGTGTGACAGTATTAAAACTGTCAGGATATAACCAATCTGCTGGTGGACACGGAAGACAACAGGATGGACCGAGAGCTGGTGAGCAATATCGACCTTGGACAACTTCATATCGTCAGCAAGAAACCCCCAAGTAGCACTAGAGAAGCACTTACAACCGCCTTCTGAAGGAAACAAATCTTCTTGAAGAAATGGAGCTATACAGGCCCCCTGAAATTGTGGCTTGGTTCCGTTCGACATGGCGTACAGGCAGTAGACTCTTATCTGCCGATAGAGTTATGAATTGCAAGACGTCCTCCTTTTATATCCAGTATGCTCCTGGAACCAGACGCTTTCCCACTCCAGTAGATAAAAGATTAATCCAATTGTGTCTTTATGTATGTCGAGGGTAAGCTCGTCGTCGATGAGATGATTCTTGGTTTTGGTGGCAAAGGCCGGTAAGAGGAGATGATTCCACTTTTATTTTTACACAAACATCTTTGGAAGTGCGGAGGAAGGAGTGTTTCTTATTCTGAATGATTGAGGGGTGAGAGTCAAAAGAGAGTATGAGCCAGAACGAGCCGTAAAAAAGAACAAAGTAAGGGAACGAGGGGAAGCGTGAGATGATAAATGAGAAGTTCTTTACAAAAATGGAGACAATAATAGTAGAGACCAGTAAGACGACATTAGTGCATCGAGATATTGCTGGGGAGAGCCAAGCTGCTGAGAGCATGAATGACAGGCTCACCAAGCCCCAGAGGCCTTGGGCAGCGGTCCAAAGGTCGGATGGAGTAGACCAGTGGCAAGCGGGTCTCGCAAGGGGTCTCGCAAGGGGGATTACACCCCAAAAGGTGCAAAGAAGCCAGGCGGCTGGGAGTCTGGCACCCTGGAACACCGCTCCGACCTGATGCAGGTTCAATAGTGCCAGGCCACAGGCTCACAGGCTGCACCACTGAACTCTCTGGGTGTGGGTACTGTATGCAGCAGCTTGCAGAGACTGCAGTCACTGCACCAAGCGAGGGCAAGTAGACGTCGCCTCAGCCATCCAGAGTGAAGACCTGCGCTCGCAAGGATATCATGGAGGGGTGCGCGTGTGAGGAGCCGGTGATGCGAGGGGGAGGCAAGGTTCTGATCAGGGGAGATGCACAGCTGATTGGAGTTGGTCCGGGGTGGGTTTGGCCACCCCGGACAGCTCTGATCGTCCTGAGGGGGGGATGAGATGAAGCACCATAGGCTGGGAGACGATGAGGTACTCTGTACAGGTAACAGTTGCGTAGCTTGTGTATCCATACGGAACTGTATAGTGGTGAGAGGGCTGAGAGGCCTAGCAGTAACCAATAACCCGTAACTGAGCTATCTATCCATCCACCCATCCAGCGTGCAAACAGAACCCAACAACGTGAAGTACTCGTACAAGCAATCTAGCTCGGACGTACGAGCAGAAGAAGGACACAGAAGTCTTCTTGTCCTTTCCGCACTGTGGGCTGGGCCGTCTTGTCGGCGCTGTCTGTCTCTGAACCCAAAGGGAGTAACTCTTTGGAAAGACCCGAAGCTCATCCGGGGAGCGGGGCCAGCGATAGCGACTCTGAATGAAGCCATCCCGCTGTTTTCTCCACGAATCAGCTAGAAAGAGCTGTCGTGGGCTGCTCAGTGGAACTCGAAGCTATTTTGAAGTTACCTAGCGAGGGTCCTGCTACTGTCTCTGAACCGGTATTGAAAATCTCCTCAAAGCGGCAAGAATGAACGAGCGACGTCTAAGATTCGCAGCGAAAACTTTCCAACAGAGACATCGTACTGTACTCCGTACCATACGAAGTAGAAAGTACTCAGCGAACTCGTGCGTTCAGGACACTGGATGTTCGGACGGTGAATGGCTACTTTGGCGGTACGAAGATTAACCAATCAGAAATCGTGAAGCGCCTATAGCCGAATCAACCCCTGATGTGCGGCCCTGCCAAATCGCGCTCCCAGGTAATTCCCTGTGCTGCTAGTCATGTAATCCCGACTGACGGGACTTGCCTCAACCCACCACTCTGGGGAGTTGTTTATCCTCCAGGCTTCTCTCGATCATGAGAGATATGCAACGATGCACTGCAAGTTTGGGATCGGGTTACTCAAAGATCACTGTGCTCGGTGACTTACAACAGTTTTAGGAGACGAGGTATATGAGCATGTGTGTTCTATATCACTTTGTATAAGGCTGATATGGCTGAATGCAGACTTGCATTTCACCCTGTTGACAACTTACGAGTACCTAGATAGGCAGACCATGGACTCCCAACGAACACGAAGTATGTACGAACTAACAAATCAAACAATCCCATTTGGATTCGGGACCGATTGTGCACCGGTACTCTCTCTTTTATGAAATTCAAGAGGGCACAGCAGGATAATGGTAACGGACCTGAAGTATAGCGAGTACCAATGCGTCACTTTTTCAAAGAGTCGGGATCGAATCATCGCTTCAAGCGACATGTTTAAGCCCATGGGATAGCCACCACCTGCACTTACCCGCGGCTCAGTAGGCTCCCTAGCTGACGTTGTACTTCGAAGTAGCTTTTGAACAAATGCATATAGTTTGCCCCCCAAGATCGTCCCCGCCTTCGGTATTCGATGGAATATACTTCGATAGGAGTGCAACTGCTTTCCAATTTCCCATATGTCAATTCAGTCAACTAACACCCCAGTGGTACAACGGGTTTCTTTATCTCACACTACTACAGAAGCAGAAGCCACTTGCAAGCTAAGCATATGGCGGAACTCCCCGAGGCTAAGAACTTCCAGAGGATAACGGTTGGCCAATCAAGCCTACAGTAGTTCAAGAGTTGCACGGATATATTTATCAACAAACCGAATGGATGCGACTTAATAAGCGCAGCCAAGTTCGCCAATTAGTCCTTCAGACTTGGGGATCACAGTTCATCGTCATGACAGGACGATCGCCTAGCCCGCGGCAATTCGAACCCGCTGCCATCCTCGCTGCGGATCTCACTCAACAACTTCAAAAGCCATCCTTGTTTTGAATTCCATAATCTGGGGAATTATACATCAATCCTCCGATGAGGCAACCAGGCTAGAAAGGATTTGCATAACAACTTGTATGCAACTTGGATAGATTAGAAAAGCTTCACAGAAATAAGAATATTTCTATACGAGATATGTCACCTAATTCTGTCTACGGGGGGTAGCCTGTCTACGGCATGCCCGTCACCATAAACTATGTAAAACCTTCGTAAACATCGGCTAGATACCGTATTCCGCGTAAAATACCCATCAAGTACACGTCAAATCTGTAAGAGGTAAATGGCTCGGATTTCTTCTTCTTTTCCCGTCACGGTAACTTCAAATTTACAAGTTTCCCTATCCATTGGTATTGGGTTTAGTCCAAAACAGCACTCACATTTAAAAGAAATTCTTTCTTCAGCTGCTTGGGCTGTGCGACTCGGCGGCAATTGTCACGATTTTCGTTGGGTTCCCTGCGGTCGTTTGAAGCCTATCAAATGCTATAGGATCACTGTTGTGTGATGTGGAATCTGCTCGCCACCACTCAGCGGCAACTACTGCCCTGTCCGGTGTGTGGCGACGGTATTGATGTGACAACATCAGCTCCAACTCCACCAAACACCGGGAACGATATCTGCACACAAGCATAGGCAACTAGAGATCTTCTTTGGATAGATGAGGTTTCCAAGATGGTGTTGTCTGTCGCGAATTCGGTAGATGCGTGTCTCTGCCGTGCCATCCCATCCTGCCGGATTTCAGGCGAGGCGAGGCCTTGCGTCTCTGAATCCTTTCAACCACGCGACTGGAAGTCATAAGGCTGAGATGCTTCATGCAATCAATTTTCCGCGGCAGCATTGAAGGTTGACCAGATTGGGACGTCAAACTCCAAAACAGCGACCTTTCACCCTTCACTTCACGGTTCAAGCCAGTCAATTCACTCTCTCCACGGCCCAAGGATGATCCGATGTAAGAAGATGGAGTAGGCATTGACAATTCGTGCTTGTGCGGGGTGTTTTGGACCCTGAGTTTGGAGCATTGAGTCTCTCCCTTATATAAAGTGACAAAGTTAATATGATATCACCGCATCAGCTTATTGTTCTTGGTACGGAACATGCCAGCGTATCTAAATACTTCGTCCCAGGCCTATTAATTGTAGGTTTGCTAGGGTGGCTTTAGTGGAGAACAGGGTAAAAACCCCCGTAAAAGTTACAATTATTATGCCTGGGACGAAGTACAGTTGCGGAGGTACGGTCCCGCCCTTGAACGTGCTTTCTATGAAATGACAGGTCGTCTACATCATAATAGAATACTCGAATACTCGCACAGGGCATATAAAAGATAAAAGCAAGTCCCCTAAATTGTGCATGATCTCGCTGAATTGCCAAAAAGAGGAGTAACGACAAAACGCTTATCCCAGTTTCAAGATCCAGTTCTGCTAACTGTTGGACCGTGATGGTAAACAGCTATAGGTTTTCTCATTCTAGATCACTAAGACCTAGTCGGCACTCTACCTGAGTCCTTACTGTGGATATACATCTCGGTGGAATATCCTGTAGTGTCGAGATACAATTTTTTCGGATATGTGTAATCTTACCTGAGGTCCTTCTATCGTCAGCTCGATCTTTAATAGATAGTCCCGAGATAAGACAGCGGGGGAGAAACAGTGGAGGGGCATGGGATTCTAAAACACACCCCACGAGGACTTACTGTACAAACAGCATTATTCTCAACATAAAAATACTTAACCATAACTTGAGCCTCTATTTTCTTCTTATAATTCGTCCGCTAACCCAGAATAAAAGATTCTTTTCACGCCGTCCAATGCCATGGCCCCGAAGGCACGGTACATTCCATCCCCATAAATAACAACAATTAATTCCGTAGCGTCGTATCAATCTAACCGGGATTTTTGGCATGAGCGTTTCGTATGATAAAATTGCTGGATTAGGGACGTGACTCCGATAATTGGATACACAGCAGGCTTGAAAGGCATTGTTCCATCACATCCATGGATCTGTTGAAAGGGTCAGCGACCGGAGATGCGGTGTTTTCTTTTGTTTTCTCTCTGTTGTGTATCCATCTGTTCGGGTACATAAGGCCGTGCGTGCTTGATCGTCTGTTGTATTTCGGATCCACGGATGGGATGAAGGGTTTAAGCTTCATTTGGGTTCACGAGAGCTACGCGAGGTTTCTTTCCATCGCTATTTCTTTCCTATAAAATTCAATCAACCTTTTCTTGAAACTCTCAAACTTAATTGCAAGTTTTGGATCGTCAGGCACAGGAGCCATTTTCTGAGAATTTTACGTAGTTCAGCACTCATGCAGTCAGCATGTCGTTTTCCAGCCCCCTCTAGCTTCAAGCTGACCACCATCGGCACTTCCCTCAAACATCTAAACGAAGAAGTCCTTCCAACCGCCATTATTGAAATCACAAATCGGACTTTTCGGAGTCTACAGATTCCATTCCAATGGATACCCTCATCGATCACTCTATGTAACACGAAAATCGCATAAGAATACCCTTGGAGATAACTCAATTTCCGCATTGGAGGACTATCAACGTCACCCTCCGTGTGGGAGGCGTAAAAAGAATGTTCCATGGCTCTAGCCGATGTTGGGGAGGGGCAGAGACGGCATTATGACCAACGGGAAGGATTGCCGTCTACCGTTTCCGTCTGACATCCAGGGATCTAGCTTCTTACAGATCTACAATCTTCATACCACAAGTTGGAAACCCAACGGCCCATTATTCTTGAGATCACTCTCTGCTGTGCGGTTTGTTATCTGCTCTACTCTTCTCATTTGGAAGGGGGCCTGTTGAACACTTTTTGACATCAATACAATTATTAGTGTTGATAAAGCTTTTCACAGCCCTAAACTTCAAGTTCCGACTCAACAGGGGCGGAAAGAAGATCTTGCATTTCCGTGGTTGGAGCACGGAGGAGATCTCTTCTTTTTGATAGAATCACCGACCCGACCCGTTTATGTGTGGGTCTTGTACCGCTCTTTTGTTGATAGGGTATCAAGTCACAGTTGGTGATGGAAGGGCTTCAAAGATCACTTCCAGAGTTTGGTAAAGTCTTGCGATAGGTGAGCTACGATGACATTTTGTTGTTGTTTTACTTTCTATCCTTCGTGTTTCATTGGGTTGTGATGCATTTGTTGAGTATTAATGGACGAATTAATCGAGGTTCTGAAATTATTCTCTCTGTGAGATGGTGGTGTGATGTTTTATCTTGGAGATTGTAATTGGTGGTAGAACTATATGGCTGCTGTGTCTGATGAAGTTGTATCGAGCGGATTGAGCCTCTTCCGTTTCCTTCGATTTCTGCCGTCATTATTATTGCATGTCTTTTCTCGAAGGCTTCGGTCTACTCGGTTGAGGAAGCTGCTTAACGCGTCCCGACGCGTAGTTCTTCATACAACATCTCCAATTGACACTCAAACATAGGACGGGAGAAACGAAGTTCACAAAATCTCCACCATTTCAATCATTCCCCCACCCGTCAATGCATGCTTTTTCTCCCCCAGATATCCACTCCCACGACCATCAAACTCAAAATCAATAACGGATCTTTTGCCCCAAAACATACTATGCCTTTCTCCATCCAGCTCGGTACAGTAGTCCAATAAGTATCGCCGCAATATCCAATACTGAAAAAGTAAACCACAATCGCGATCAATTCCCCAATTCATATAACCACACATTTACCCCAACCTTTCTAGAACCCCGAAGCCTCTAGGAAGACTAGAACCAATGAGAAAGGTGTGGTGGCACAAGATACATGGCGTGACCGGAACACCTTCCTCACACGAACAGCATGTGGAGAAGCCCTGTCTATAAGATGAACCAATATTCGCTTGATGGTAACCTTCACTAGGAAGATTCGGATTTGGGAAGGAAATGGTCGCTCCCTTCTTTTCTAAATCTGGCTAAGCGACATCACCCCAGGAACTTCCTCATGGGTATTGAGAGGACGGTCCGAATAAGGCCATAAAACCCAATTATCGGCCACTCTTGTGAACAAGGAGTAGAAATGGTGGAATCCCAAGTGTTGGGATAGTCTTGGCACATGAGTGGACGGCTTTTAGTTATGTCAGGACGGGATGTTGGCTGGTTGGTTTTAAGGGGCGTGATGAGATGGTTCATGCGTGACTGTCCTCTTCTTTCCGCTTGTTGGTGTTGTGGTGTGGTTTCTGCAGCACTGGTTCCACTCAATATGCGAATAGGGACGCGGTTGGGTTACACATTATTGTGACTCGATGACTTGAAGTACATACGTACTGTACGTAAAGGTTTGGTATGCTCGATGCGATTATGAATTTATTGTTGCTGCGGTGGAACTGGAGTTGTTTGAAGAGTTCAGTCACGAGTTTTAATAACAATTTTTCACCATGCGAAACCAAGCTTGAATTTGCAAGAAAAGGTATCCCGCACTATATCTGATATAGTTTAGCTTTCAGAATGAATCTCATGTGGTCGACCGCTGTATTGTTAGCCAGGTAAGATTTGACTTTCATACTGAGCAAGAGAAACTCGGCAGAACCTTAAAAGCCAGCCTTCTTTAAGAGTAAGATACATGGTCGTTACTCTGCATATACTATATAAAACTCTACTATACAAAACTTGTAGTTCAAGTAAAATAATTGTCTTAGGATGCCTAGGTTAGTAAAAAGTAAGAGTTAACAATTATCCAAGCTCTGTATATAACTATTTTAGTTGTACGACGCTTTTAGAATAATTTTGTTCTAAGAGAGAGGTGTACAGAGTAACAACCATGTCTCTTACTCGAGTACAGTTACCAAATATGGGGGTTGACGAGTAAACTGAATCAGCGTATCTTATTACCGCTCTTATGCCATCAAGCGCAAGCTTGCAATATCTGTCAAGCCTGCGAGCGCTTTTTGCAGTTTCCAGATTTAAAACCTCCATCAAGAAAGAATTTGCAATCTTCCAGGAACTAGGTACGGCTCCTGGTGTCTCGTGGACCATTCGGGTCCCAAAAAGAATCTTGGTGCCGAACACACAAGGGGCTTCGCTTGGACGACCACGAGATTTTGTCATATAGTCCCTTTCAGTTTGACTTGAGAGCATCGTATTTTGAGGTCGCTCTCATGCATACACTTATATACACTAGTGCTGTACCTGTCGACTTTTGCCTCATCTGCCGATTATTACTCGACACTAGGTTTGGATAGGAGAAGACAAAAGTTTTGAGCTGCCTCATTTTTGTTGTGTTCTGTAATTTTGATATCAATCATTTTGAAATTGGATCCATTATCCTCTAGATAATTTGAAGACGTGTGGCAGGGCACCCTTTCTGTAGTTGTTTGAGATACTCTTTTCTGCTTCCACCACGCAACTACCCACACTCGCCTAAAAAAAGATAAACAAAATGCAGGAAAAGCGGCCAAGCGGATTGCAGGATTACCGAGTTATTCCTGAGTGAGGTGATTGAAGGCTTTTGATTTCATTTCATGTACATAAACCACTGCTAGTTCGGAGTCATTGGTCCGGATTGACCTAAGCTACTCGCACGATTTGCATCAACTTCCCTCAGAAACGGACAAATTGGGCACATCGGAAAATGACAGGTAGGACTCAAAACCCCCAATAGTTCTCTGGGATCACCAAGCAGTCAATAATCGTAGGGGCTAAAACATTTAGGGTTGTTGAAACAGAATTTACTCGGATTTTGGCACGATAAAATTCAAGAGTCACTGTAGTGGGCTCTGTCAACATTAATGACAATACGCTATTAGGAGAAACTTCAGTATTTAAGCTAACATTCAAGCTGCTCCTTTTCTCTATGAACAGAAACAACATCAAGGTTTCCCAAAATCCACACTAACCTCAAGTATTGTGTTGCGATCTACAACTCAACTATACCAACGTATCAAAGTTCCCTTAGAATCTCTGATGCGCCTTCGAGGTTTTTGAGGCCGAAGGTAGAGGTCATGAAGTAGCGGTCGTAACTGCAGGGCTTTGTTGCACAGCAATGCACACATAGGTGTCGGGAATCAATGCTTTACAATTCCCTACGCCTGGAGTACTGACCGCAGGGTTCCAAGCAAAGAAACCAGACTCGCTAATACCCGCGTAAGAAATGATAAACCAGCAGTTATCAGTCCTGATGAGAATCATTAGAGTATTTTCTCGTTCAAACGAAGGATGACTTACAATCCAACATGCCAGAATTTAACACAGTTTAGTGCTATACCAGATTGTTTTGGGTTGTCTGATGAAATTGTTCCTGTCATGAGGGGAGCGGTGCGAGTCGTTGGTGTCCCAGGAATTGCAATACAATAGTAGGTGTTTGGCTGAGTTTATGTATCAGTCTATTTTCTACAATCGGCGCAGTTTTCAAGGATAACCTGGATAAGGAACGACATACTTTGATTCCTAAACAATCATCCCAGACAACAGGATTCCACTCAATGAAATCATTGACGGAGAAGGTTCCAAATATAGTAGAGATCAAGTCGCACGTATCGCCTTGTTCACTGAGATACCATGCTGTGCAATTACTAACTGTTCCTGGGGCCAGGGAAGTTGAAGCCGCAGTCACAACAGGAACTGCTGGGATATCATTTGGTCCAAAATTTGCAACACAGTACCAGTACCCCACCCATAAATTTTGACATTGTGTTCCGACGGCGGGATTCCAAGCGTAGAATTGCTCTAACGTGATAAACGAGTATAGTGTGACAATTGCGGCATACGTATCGCCCTGTGATTATGCTTTTGTCAGACTGTGTTTAAACAGCTAGTGGAATTGGAAATTTACCGCTACCGCTTGGTGGAATGCCTGACACCCTTTCGCTATACCCGCTTGTGTTGGTGTTGCTGTAAAGCTGGTGTTGACTGCTGGAAACGTAGTAGGAGTCAAAGGAAACATGGGGGGAATTGTCATCGTTGATTTATCATCACTGGGAAAACTGTTGCCCAAATTAGCTCTTGTACCTCCTGAACCATTGAGTAACACGAAGTGTCTGCAGGTGGTAATGACGCCTCAAGAGTTTGTGACACGTACCTTAAGGTAAGGGAAGACTGTGCTTGTATATCAATACAGTACCACCAACTGTCGTATAGTCCAGAACAGTCATCCCCTAAAGCTGGATTCCAAGCATGCCTGCTCCTTAGTCAATTCAAACCAAACGTTGTGTCTCAAATACACAGGATCTCAAACTTACAGATTGGCCATAGTCAAACTTGAAGAGTATAGGGGCTAGTATACTCTCGCAAGTATCTATCGCTGATGCGAGATGCCATCGGATACAGTATGAAGGCTGCCCAGCTTGCGTATCCTTTGGTGGCCAGGAGAAGGTCATAGTTGGTGTGGTAATGTTTGGGGTAGTTATTGGGTGACGAGTTGAGAAGGGCACGCTGGAATTTGTTGAAGAATTGGAAATGGGGGAGCCTGGGAGGCTGGGTTTGATAGTGCTGGATGAGCTTGAGGTGGAAATACTTGTTGGGCCGTAGTATGTACTGGTTGAGCCTGATGAAACTATGCCTTTGGTGCTAACAGAAGGTACAGTCTGGACACTGCTTTTCTGTCCTAGCACAATATGTGCTAGGACAAGTAGATAGTCGATGACCTGGAAGCGCATATTTTTGTCTTGCACAAAGTTCCCAGTTCAAAAGAATGGAACTCAATTTCCTTTGGGTAGTTTGGTCAACCCTTTTTGCCATTCGCAACTCTGGCACGTCGGTATGAAATATCCCTAGCCCTAGCCCTAAACAAATACTCCTGCATGTCGGCATTAAATAGTCCTAGCCTTAGCCCTAAATGAAATACTCTTGCATGTCGGCATTAAATAATCCTCGCCTTAGCCCTAAATGAAATATTCCTGCACGTTGGCATGAAATAGTCCTAGCCCTATATGAAATATTGGAAAACATGGTTACATGGGAGCTCAAGAGAAAAGCGGCACCATACCAGCTTGAAACACAGACACCACTGGCCTGTACTCTAACATGTCAGTTAAAGTCTCAATTGACCAGAATTAAGAAGGTTTTCATTATACGGTGGTTTGTTGAACCAAAAAAGAAGATTTGAAGACTCATCCCAGCGTCTAAAGTTTATCATTGTTAATACGAAGCTGAGCACCAGAAACTGTGGCACACTGTGAATGTGGTTATTTTGAACGTGGCTGCTTTAACTTTACGCTCGCAAATAAGAGGGGTGTTTACTCTGAAGTCTGCAGTAGTCTGCAAATAAGCGAGACAGGGGTCCCCTAAATTGCCGATCATGTCCTTCTGGCTCTGCACTATCATCAGGTTCCCACTTCAAGAAATAAGAAATCCTGCTATAGAGCTGTTGAGAGACTTTTACTCGTACAAGATGAACTTCTTCACGGTTCAGATTTTGTTTCTACTCTCTCTCCTTGGCCTGAATGTTGCACAGGACGAGGATTATTTCTGCTCCAAAACAAAGCCCTGTAAGGTTGGATGTTGTGGACCTCTGTAAGTAAATTCCCTCATTCCCGCAAAAAGTAGAGACTCATCAATTGGTGATACAGAACTCTTGGAGATTTGGGCTACTGTGGATATGGTCCTGCTTATTGCGGCCAAGGATGCACATCCTCTTGTGGTCTTAAGAGCGAGTGCGACGGTGGTAACTGGGGAGCACAATGGTCCAACGCCTCGACTTGTCCTCTAAACGTGTGTTGCAGTAGATTTGGATTTTGCGGCACAGCACAATTGTTCTGCGGTGATAAGAAAGTCCCTACTCCTGAGTGTGGTGGAAAGTCATCAGATGCAAAGACAATTGGCTATTACGAAGGATGGAATTTAGATAAGCCTTGTGGAAGTACGAACCTGCTCCCCTTTCTTTTGTTTTTCTTCTTCTTGAAAATTGGGACTTGAAAGTGCTGATCGAATGCTTTTAATAGCGATTACACCAGCGGATATCCCCTTGGGATACTGCACTCATATCAACTTCGCGTTCGCCTTGATTGATCCCAAAACCTTCCGAATAGCTCCGATGGACCCGAACACGGCTTCTCGTTACGACGCTGTCACAGCGCTCAAGGTTAGACAGTTTGGACTGCAAGTTTGGATTGCTATTGGTACAATTCAAAGCTTTATTTACCCCAGGAGCAGATACTGATTTCTGAAACCTATAGGTGGCTGGGCAATGAACGACCCAGGTCCAATGCGCAAGTCGTTTTCGGATTTAACCAAGTCTGCAGCTGCTCAAAATGAGTTCTTCGAGTCCTTGATCACATTTATGATAAAGCATGATTTTGATGGCGTGGACATTGATTGGGAATATCCAGTGGCCGACGATAGAGGGGGTGTTCCAGAAGATTTCGATAACTTTCCGATTTTTCTTGAGAGATTGAGAAATCGCCTCAATAGCTCTGGAAGAAGATTTGGGCTTTCAATTACTTTGGTAAGTTAGTAAACCATGATTGGAGGGGAAAGCTAATGTGGATGTGCAGCCAGCATCTTACTGGTACCTTCGCGGATTCGACATCATCAAAATTGAACCTTCTGTGGACTGGTTCAACATAATGACTTACGATATTCGTGAGTAATTACCTACACCCACCTCACCGTATTAATGTTTCGTCCTACATTCTAACCTTTGATAGATGGTATCTGGGATTCATCAATTAAGGACCTTGGCCCCTACGCCCGCGCACACACAAACCTTACCGAAATCAACGCTGGCTTAGAACTTCTCTGGAGAAACAATATCAATCCTGGTCGTGTTAATCTTGGTCTTGGTTTCTACGGAAGAAGCTTTACGATGAAAGACCCAAGCTGTATGAGCCCTGGCTGCGGATTCTCTGGTCCAGGCAAGGCAGGGAGATGCACTGGTACATCTGGCGTATTGTCTGGACTAGAGATTCGTGAGATAATCGCAAGCGGTGCTACCGTCAAAACTGACGAAGCTGCCGCCGTGAAGATTGTAACGTGGGATACAGATCAATGGGTTAGTTGGGATGACGAGGAAACACTGAAGAAAAAAGTTGAATATGTGAACAAGCGGTGTCTAGGAGGGTGAGTCAATAATTGCGTTAGACTCGGGAGATATGCATTATACTAACCGCGCATAGAACTATGATCTGGGCCATTGATCTAGACGATGGTAGCTCCATTGACGCTTTGGGCAAAGGTCTGGGTAGGCCAAAGGCAAACGTAACTGCAGATCTTTCCGGGCTGCCGGGTTCAGATTTGGGGACTGGGCCTTTGAACTTGACGGATCAAATGTTGAGAGAACTTTAATTATTGTAAATTCTGTCGATTTGTGGGGTTGAAAGGATGAGAAATCCACGTTTAAGTTGTAGAATCTACCCGTCTATCAATCAATTGATAAGCCATGATACTTCATCCTCCTATTAACCCGTCTTCTTTTTTCGACCCTGCTCGTTAGTAATATGAGGAAAGTTTTACAGGATTTAAATCTGAATGAGAGCCATCGCACAATATTCGTGACTGTAGAGTATCCAGATGAATGGTGGCTTTTATTGATCAAGCTACACTACACTGGTATCTTCTTTCTCTGTTATCTTTTCTAATGCTAGATACATCTTGTGTTTTGTACATCTTTTCTTCTGACAGAATCCAATCGAAATTACCCTAATAGGGTTTCAGAGAGACTTCCGTCGAATTCTAGCAATTCTTCTTCTTTAGAATACCTTTGAACTTACTAAACATAGGGTGTCCCGGTGATTCTATACCCGACGGACCTGGTGTAGTGCTTTCATGAACATTGTAAAGTTGGATGATAGCTTGGGTATCTGCTTGCGAAGGTGTTAAGTTTTCGCCAATATTTGTTAGATGACCTTTGTCGTCTATCATCCGAAGTACTGGAAGCTTTCCACCCTGCCCATCATCTTTTCCACCAGCGAAGCTTGGGTAGAGCATGATTGACTGCCAGTCCACATTTTGATAAAGTGATCCCTGTTGGATGCCAACTGTAGACCGGCCTGTTCCTCCTGGAAGGGGAAGAAACTCAGCGGCGGAAAACCCATTTGCTTTGGCCTTTGACTGCTTAGTTGTCATCTCTTTCCAAATCTCAGGCTGGGAAGCGTATCTCGCTTACATGCTGTCGTAGTCTTTGAGATTTTGGGGGTAGAACCGAAAAGGAGAGTTGCCTTGGGCCATCATGGCTGGAGGGATGTAGGGATGGTCCCAAAATAACATATTTTGGTGCTCCTAATTTTAAATACGTTAGCCTGCCTCTGTAAATGGAACTTTGATTGAGAAGAAGTCTTGTCTGGTGATGGCAGTGGAATTTTGGGTGGAGGCTATTTATGTCATATCCGTGATGATGGAGAAAACTTACGTGATGTAAACCTGCTGGGTAGTCAGTTTATGTCAGTTATAGGGCGAGAGAAGGAATGCTTACCCCATGCTTACCCCATGCATGACCAATTTCATGTGCGACATTTGCGGTAACATCTTTCATTCCAACATCTATTCTGTCGCTAAGATACCTGTACATAGGGAGTAGTCAGTCCATGCGTATTCACAAGCATGAGGAGGCAAAGAGCCTAGAGGTCTTTGGACAGCTCGTACATACATAAAAGGACCATCAATCTGTTTAGATGGATCTGCAGATATCTTGCCAACGGAAGAGGTCAATATTCCATCTGAATTATAAATGATCAGGAGAACGTCTTTTCAATTTTTTCGGCATTGAGAGTCTTTGACTAGTTCCATCTTGAACCCATCTTGCCCCTGAGGTAATCCTGATCCCCACCTAGGCAGGAAATAAGCCAACACACAAATACGCATTTGAAAGGACTTACCAGACTGTCATCGCGGACACAATGAAAGCTCCCATCATATCTGCTGACTGTGTGTTCGCAAAGCAATACTTGATAGTCCTACTCAGCCAGATGCCCACTCCATCTCCAGGGACGATGACAAGTTGTCGTTTATGGATAGAGTGGTGGTGGGTATCGTTATTCGTAGCGATGAAAGGACGTTCCCAGAGGTGATTCCCTCCATTAACAACTGAAGACAGCGATAGAACACTGCCCAGAAGAAGGAGAAATGTTGTCATGATAGCCATTGTAGAATTTCTTTGAAGGTGCCTGCCTGTCTATGAATAAAACAAGTCTTCTTTTGTGGAAATAGAACGGTGCCTGAAAAAATTGAAAAGATAGCGCAACAAACACAATTTTCCATATTGAGAGAATGGCTCCTATAGGAAGCATAGCTTAACTGAAACACCTTTCTTACTTAAAGGCAGCACTCCGACTATGGAGCTCGCCATAGCAGGGGTGTTATGTGATTATGTATTTGGGTGTCGCTTTTCCGTAAACCGATAGGGCTAAAACCTGAAACAACGTTAGTGATAAGCTAGTAGTTTTTATCTTTACAAATTCTGGCTATCTTTGTCTTTCTCCTTTTCTTCTCAGTCATCTGCATCTTCCAAAAGAAAAAATGCTTGTCTACCTACTTGTTCAGTTGGTAGCTCTGTTGGCTTCAGTGGACTGCTACACAATCAATCCAGACTATAGTCAACATAACGACGTCACGAAAAACAAATCATTCTATTTGGAAAAGAGAGCTACCGACCCCGCCGACTTCAGCTGGATAAAGAAATGGGCATGCATAGGCGATAGCTTTAGCGCTGGCATTGGATCAGGAAACGTTTGGAGCAATCGGAAAGCTGACGTTCAGTGCAGTCGGTATGACTACTCCTATCCTGCCATCTTGAACAAAAACCTTGGTCCTGCAGTAAAGACTTTCGAATACTGGGCTTGTAGCGGAGACAAGACAGTGGATATCCATAATCAAGTCGTCCGAATGGATGTATACAATCGACTTAGCAGCAACCTTGGTAACAACCTTGACTTCGTTACATTGACTGCCAGTGGTAACGATCTATGCTTGGTGAGCTTTCCCTTCCGTTCCTGTAAGCCCACTGAGAATACTGACATAATCTTCACAGTCTGATATGATCAAGAGTTGTATCATGTTTCCAGCAATCGACCTCTTTATGAATATCGATGATGCAGAATGCAACGCACTCATTGAGAAAGCACAGTTCAACATGGATTCCTTCCTGGGAGAAAACATCAAAAGTGTCTTGAGAGCACTGAACGATAAGATGAATACAGGAGGCCTTGTGGTCTACAACTTGTATGCTGAATATTTCAGCGAGGAAACTGAGGAATGCGCGGAAACTCAGGTAAGCTTTGGCTGGAACTCCAACACCATAGCCAGATAGATATGCTACTAACAAAGAACAGGAGTTTGCTTTCCCCCAGATTCTCGCGGGCTTATCGCTTAAGCTCACTATTGCACGACGAAAGAGATTCAACGACCTTGTTCGAGGTACCAATGCTGTTATTCAAAAGGCAGTTGATGAGATTAGTGCAGATCCTTCCATTAGGTACAAAATTGAGACTTCAGATTGGGGGGTGTGGCCAAAAGATGCGGTCGCGGGACAGATGGTAAGGAAAAGGAGTACTTGAGAATGGGCGCCCCTGCTCTGAGGGATCATTAAGCTGACAGAATATCGTAACCAGTGTGAACCTGGGTCATCAGGCCACTACCCTGACGAACGATCACCAGCCCTTCAATTCTTCAAGCCTCGAACATCAGTGTACGACCGAACTGCCCACCAAGATCTGAAACGAAGCATGTCACCTGAGGCACAAGACAAGATTCTTAAACAATATCAAAATAAGCACAAGAGATATTGGGAAAACAGCATTCTCTACCGAAGTGCTGATCCTCGGGCAATCGCCAAGTCTCGCTTGGATTCAAGAGCTCCAGTTCCACCGGGTTACCCAGGAGATCATGTCAGTATATTTGCGGTACCGGATCGAGTTGGCCGATTTTTTCCACCCCAATGGGCTAGGTCATGAGACAATCGCAAGCTTTGCCATAGCAACCTTAGTTGGGATGAGAGCCAGTCAGCTTAATGTTCGTAATCCCTATTGCGACGCCAATAAAGATGAGTTCAGATGCTGGAAAAAAGAAGGCGGAAAAGCATACGCCAACCCTGATCAGCTAGAAAAGAGTGTCACAAAGTTTTGTGATAGTGTTAAGCAGCCTGCGAACACAGTTGGATGGAGATGGGAACAAAAATACTTAAAAGACACCCTCGACGAACACATCATGTCTATACAACTCACAAGTAAAGCGTCCGCTTTTGACAAGAATCAATGTGTCTCTTCGATGAAGCAACTTATCGAAGGTTGTGACGGTAATGATCCAAATAATCCTTTGAATGTGAGCAACTCTCCTGTCTCAATCAGAAGAAGAATTCTGCTAATATATTGCAGTGGAAGTCGGGCGGAAGAAAGCGTATTGGTGAATATACGTATGAAGTCAATCCACAGCGTGGTAATCGAACTTTCCCTCCAATCTCAAAGACCGATGGCTACTGCAGTGGAACCTACCATTTTTCTCACTCCAGCTACCAGATTCGAGGGTCAGGATTCTCTACTTGGGACTATGGACAAGAAACGCTTCTACCTGCTATCAAAGGATGTCTAGGTAAGTGGATTTTCGATATGTTTCTTCGTCGCAATTGTCATAGAGATTTGACTCCTACCCAAACATCTTGTAGTATGTTCTCGGAAGGTTAGACTAACCTGTGGCTGGTGGAATGCAGGTCTCGGTGTAACTGCATGGAGCTTCAAATACTTCGACAAACCAGACGGTGAGGCAAACGAATGGGAAGCTACTTTCAATACACCTGTCTTTGCGAATGCAAGATGCTTTCGAAACAACAAAGTGGTCTTTAGTATTGGTGGATTTACCCATGGCTGTCACGGAAACGACCCTTGAGGGCAGGAAATGCTAAGTATCGGATTACAGTACTCAACTCTTGCAGGGAGTACATACAGTAGTCCCGATTCTAATTTCATCATCTTTGGAGCGTCTGCTTGTTTTAGACATATTGCATGGACGGCGTTGAGCAAGGGGATATAGTAGAAAAAATAGACAATAAATGTATGCCAAGCTGACAGACACTTGTAACTTGATGCAGATTCCAGATTGTGAGCGCCGTAAATATGACAGAGGGAGTTGGATACTTGGCATATTATTCGATTGATATGGAGTCTTATTTTTCGGGGTTTCCTTACCTTGTTGCCTCCAAAAATATCGTGGCAGCTACCACGACCAGGACTCCTCCTCAATCCAGCTAGAGCTGACCACGGATGCTTGGCGAGAGGGAATGGCCATGTAAATCGAAAAGCCAACCAAGCGGTCTGTAGTTCAAATCGACGATGCATTTAGCGCGATGAAGAACTTGAGCGTGAAGTCAAAACGTTGCCTACAGCTATGTGTCGGTGGACAACAAGCCCCGACAGGATATGCCCTTCTTTGCACTTCTATATATCATAGTACTTAGATACAATTAATCCTTGCATTCTATAGATCAATTCTGCTAAGGAAACCAAGTCTTAGACGTATAGTTTATCGATTCGTACTTTGAAGTACGTCGCCGTGAGGGAGGATGGCGAGATCTCGGTGCGTCAACTGCCAGAGCTTTACGGCATACTTGCCTCAACAAGTATGCGGGGTAAGCAGAGTGGAGTAGGGCAGAATACGGGTACGGCATCATATGAAGCGGAGGCTTATACTGGCTAGAAGTCCTTCTTCTTATCCATAGAGATTGTAATTAGCTATGGCTTCTGCCTACAAGTACGCTCCCGTAGAAATCTCTTCTCTAAATAGCCCCAAAGGCAGTCTTTCTTACTTCTACTACCCCACCAGACCCTATTCTGTTATCCTAGTATACTTCTTGACATTGATTTACTTCGAATTACTGCGGTATAATTTCCCTCACTCCGTACTTTCTCCTAACCAACACTTCCTAATTCATGTTTAGAGTTAGTGCTCTTGCGGATCAGATGCTAGAAGTATTACTTAAACCTAATTAGTACTACTACTGGTTTACTGAAGGTGCGAAATAACACTTCAAATTTAGTGATTGCATATTTAAGCCGAACGATAATTAACTAGGGCATATACTTACAAAAACCACTTAAGTCAAGTATCAAGGTACGCTACCTAATACCTGGACAATGCGTGCTTCTCTAATCTAAGTAAAACATGTACTTGTAAAAACCAGCGTTGTGCCCCCNCCCCTTAAATAAAGTTTTCCACAGAGACTAATCGCAGATATACAGCTACTGTATAAAGCTTCTGTTGTCAGGAGAGTGGATCATGTGACTCGCCTGCCTGGACCTCAAGAGACTTTCCAACGCATGGAAGCTGGTTCTCTGTTGTTAGCGTGCTCCATGGTATTCCAGAAGAGGAATTGAGCTAAAGTATAAGATCTGAGCTCCTGCCATCTGTAGTTAGATTGTTGTGCTTTTGAATTTAACTCTTTTTACCCTGGCACTTTTGGCATTCCCCATACCCATCAACAGCTTCTTTGATCGAGACCACACCGATCCTCTTACTCCGCAGCACTCATTAGCACTTATTCAAGTATAACCGTCACAATTCCATCAATTACTTGATATTTTATATGCTGTCTACCCTCCGTATGCGGTGCGTCATTTGTCCAATTGTATGTCTGATTTGCTCGGCACTCTCGTGGGTGGGGCGAGGGTACTACTGTAACGATCGCAAGGCCTAGACCTAGGCGAGTTTAAAACCACATGCCCCAAAATCCCCCACAGTACTTACCTTCCTAGTCATACTGCCTTTCTTTATCTTATTATATATCTGCCTATTTGGCTTTTGCATATTATCATTGTCCTTTCAATATCCTAACTCGGAGATTTATAATAAACAAAATTCTTGAACAGGGCAGAGGATCACCCCGAGGGAGACATTTTATCGTTCTCCTAGAATTGCACTCGTCCTAAAATTAGACTAGACCCAATAGCTGTAACCTCACTATGTTATATACTTGGGAACTAGAAAAAGCTCACTCAGCCTCCAATCCCAAAACTTGGCTCGTAACCGATGCACTCACTGCCAAACGAGGTCAGAAAAGGAGCTGCATAGCAAAATACAGAAGCCGGATAGCCAGAGTCTGGCAGGTTCTAGCCTGATCAAAATCAGATCGAGAGGTTTAAACGTCCGCCGAAACTTCGAGAGGCAAGGTTACATTAAGCACGTAATGGCAGTTTTCTGCCCCGCAGGCCCGCAGGGCTCGTCGGGGTTACTGTATATTAGTTCCGTAGAACTGCTAATATAAATTGCAGATACCCCTGGACTCCCCCGGATCACATCGAATGTCTCTTTTTAGGGAGGCTCTTCAAAGACTTTCGATTTCTCGAACGAGCGACTTGCGATCAAGAAGCCGAAAGAAAGCGAAGTACCTTTACCTGTATACTCCCAAGTTTTTCCGGCGTGCTTCGTTTAAGTAAGGGGGGCCACATCGCACCAAGACTATGCGACTCGTTCATGCCCTCAAAATAAACACTTGTCGCAGTCAAAAACAGCCAGAGGCATTCCATTGAGAATGCCCGCCTATCGCTTTGTCAATTGTCGTTTGTGCAAAAATGGCGAGTTGTTGTCAACTCCATTGACCGTCAGTGATTATGGCTATATTATACCTAACAATCCTGTTCCACCGGAGATCCTCGAGGTAGATCTCAACAACGCCATCATTGCTCCTGGCTTCATTGAACTCCAGACCAATGGTGCCCTTGGTTTCCACTTTGCGAACTTCACGGACTCCGCAACTTATAAAGCAGGGTTGGGAACTCTTGCGCAATACCTCCCAGGTACCGGCACTACCTGGGTATTCCCACAACATCACTCCAATTACAGTCTTTGCTAAATCTTGTGGATTTTAGAGCCTTCTTCCCGACTGTACCTACCGTCCTAGACGGTGTCTTACACAACGTCCTTCCGTTGTTAAAACCAGCTGAGCGACCAGATGCAGCCTCCATCCTCGGTGCTCACGTAGAAGGACCATTCATTGCCATCTCTCGATGCGGAGCCCACGACCCCGAGAAAATGCAAGCACCAACTAATTCATCTCTAGAGAGCATCTATGGAAAAGCAAACCTCATGCAATCCATTAGATTGGTAACATTAGCACCCGAATTGCCAGGAGCTCTGGATTACATCCGCAATCTAACCAAGTACAACATAGCCGTCTCAATGGGCCACTCAGCTGCAACCTACGACGAAGGGGTTGAGGGTATGCAGGCTGGCGCAACACTTTTGACCCATTGTTTCAACGGCATGAATCCTCTTCATCACCGTCAACCCAGTCTTCCAGGTGGGTAGTCGGACTTTGCTCTTGAATTAACAAAGCGTTGATGTTGGGTTTTCAGGGTTGATAACAACACGAAATCCGCCATACTTTAGTATCATCGCAGATTCCATACATCTCCATCCGCGAGTTGTAGCTATGGCCTACCGCTCTTCGCCAAGCCACTGTATACTTATTACTGATAGTATCGAGTGAGCAACACCTCCCTTTTCCTTGCTGCGTTTTCCTCGGACTGATCCCATATTCCTAAACTCCCTGTTGGCCATTTCTTCCGGACACCCTCCCAAAACCCGCATTTCAACCCGCAAAAAAGCTAACCTCCTCCTGCGTCTAGACTTTCAGGCCTTCCGGACGGTCTCCATCCAGGACATGCTCAGATCCCAGGCCGGCAACGAAAGATTGGCAATAAAGTTGTCCTTGAAGGAACGGATACTCTGATAGGAACTTGCATAACTCTCGACGAATGCGTTCGCAACCTAATGGACCTGGCTGATATCCCTTTACAAAAAGCCGTTCGCTGCGTCACAGAGAACGTCGCTGAGGCCGTGGGACTAGAGGACAGGTAAAATAGAGGTTGGGAGACGAGCAGATTTTGTGATTTTGGACGAGGCGGGGATGGTAGAACAGACTTGGGTTTTGGGGAAGAGGGTTGTTTGATACGGTAGATTGAATGTGGACGCGAGATAGTGTGGGGGTTGGAAGATTGTTACGTATGGTATAGGAGTATTCGGGCAAGAGGGCGAGAAGGGGCAAAGGGAGGGTAGTGTTGAAGAGCTGCAAATTGTCATTGCTGAATTGTTATCTGGTGAGGTTCTACGAGCTATGCTACGCTCAGCGAGACACACAGCATTTCTTATTATTCTCTCGTATTAGTTTAATGATACGTTTCCAGTATAGGTTATATTTCCTATAGAAAATTAAGGAGAACCTGGAAAACGTATAAATACCTAGGTTTTAATATATTCGACTTGCCCAAAAGAAAATAAGTAAAACAGGGGCTTAGGCCACGGGTCGGGCCCATATATTATGTAGAAAGTTTACACAAGTAAATCATATCTGATTGTTAAGCCGACTTAAAAAAGTAATCGAAAAAGTAACTATTCGGCTAAATTTATACATACCCGCTTTGGCTCAAATTATACTTTTTCAAATCATTAACTTAAAACAAGATGTTAGTACTCCGAATTAGAGTAGTAGCGTTAGTTTGTATATAATTCGTGAATATCAAATAGAGCTTATATGATTTCCTAGAGTCCCGATAGAAAACTCCTCGTATATCGGAAATCTACTAAACGAAAACCGAAGAACAGCTTTCTTATAAGATTAGATAGAGCTAATGTTTATTGATAGTTCTCTAGAAAAGTGTTCTATTGATCTACCTATAATTCTACTATTACTTATAACACTACTTATATAATACTATTTCGATAATAGTACCAACTAAAATTGATTTGTACTTGGAATCGGCATGTGCTTATGAATAGCCACCGATTTGGACAAGGATGTGGACTTGTCAGCATTCTTATTTCGCATCGGATTTGCTTATCAAGAGCCAATCGATCGTATTCTCCTGTCGACTAGCTAAGACGACGAGGGCGTGGTTTTTTTCCTTTTTTACCGGCAATTGTTACGACATGGTCTTGGCCGAGACTCCTGCACTCCTGTCTCTGTTGCCTGGTACTCTAGAGGCTTCTACTCGGTCAGGGCTGTGCTATAAGAAATCCACTTCGCTCGTAGCTAGCTAGTTATCTTTAAGCTTTAACCCACATTTTCATAGTACCTTGTTCGTCTTCTAACAAAAATATCTAAAAATAAGATACTATATTTCTAGTAGTTTTCTTTCTTATAAGCTATTCTTTTATCTCTGTATTATATATGTTTTATTTATAATATATAGTATATTGCTTATAACTATTATTATAATTATAAATAAAAAGTTATAACTTAATAGTATTCTATTTAGAATAGACTAAATTAAGGTTTAGTTTTATCTTTACTTCTTAACTATATAGTATATTGCTTATAACTATTATTATAATTATAAATAAAAAGTTATAACTTAATAGTATTCTATTTAGAATAGACTAAATTAAGGTTTAGTTTTATCTTTACTTCTTAACTTTAATTAAACGCTAATCTAGTATCCTGTAACGAATACTCAAACTGGCTAACTAAACTTGGCTGTGTGTTCGCTTGTTGGTATGCTATGATAAGAAGAAGACTATCGAGTTGTTCACTTGGAAGTGAACTCGTTACTTGTATCAAAGATGTCAAACTAATATGATAAGATTGATAACTAAGTTGAGCACGAAGTTCCTATCTAATGGCAGACGTGCCAGTCTTATATGGAACCTTCGTTCTCAGTTGGGTCGCTCTGATCGCTCGCCTCAGTCGCCCTAGTCGACAGGCGACTCAGGCGACTCAGGCGATCAGATCACGTGATGCTTTATTCCTAGAGAAATCCTTGGATCGGTTAGCTACCCTAACCGATCCCTATTTGCTATAAGTCTATGGAAGTGCTTAACCTGTAAGGGCGCCGCCTGGTCTTCACTCATCACGTATGCACGTGATTCGTGACATATCCTACCTAGAGTCTCGATAAGTTTTTTAACTCCTATAAACCTAGTAAAACTAAAAAGAGATTCTAGAATCCTATATATAGGCTAGAATTATTATAGGGGGTTAGATACTTATTGTAACCGTGTGGAGTGAACCACTGCTTGCTGTGATGAATACGGAGTCAAACGGAAACTGCTGTATTGAGCGAACAACAAAGTGAGGAAGGAAGAGAGTTCCAGAGGAACGAGAGCTTAAATACAGGATGCCAGCAGCGCGCACGTGACACATACTACATGCTGCGCTACACGTGATCAACCCCTAGTTCCTCCAACTCCGTAACACTTATAATAATAGGTAGGTAACATAGGTAAAGTATAAGAATACTAAAACCCGTCTATATCGTATACTAGACTATACCTAATATCGTAAGTAAAGTAGTCTTAAAATATACGTCCTTTGAGGACAGTAGTTAATTACACCTACAAAGCTGTCTCGTTTATATGTCTTTACGATAGGTAGAAGGAGACGCACGCGTGCGCACGGCTCTCGGTACGATTTTCGGTGTGGCTGGCGGCGTGGCTGTCGGCGTGGCTGTGCGGTCTCGGCGGCCGTATCCGAGTTCAAGCCCAAGTTTATGTTTCAATGCCAAGATATTTCAAAGTAAGGCGCGTCATCCTCAAGTCGCGCTCTCACCAACAGGAAGTCACGACCAGAACAGCAACTCAACACAACGTAAAAAATGGCAAGAGCGACCGCTTCGTCCCAATTGAGGGCTCCACTAACATGCATATAGGCTCCTTCTTCCCAAATACTGAAAAGACAGCGTTCTCGGCCTTCAGATTGGTGGGCTGCGAACCCCGCTGTCGTCGAATCCCCAAAACCAACGCCAGCACGAACGACTGCACCAAAAACCACCCCAAATAATAAGACTAAGAGGGCTCCGGCGAGAAGGAAATCTTTGCCTGTTGCTCCGAGCACTTTGCCTAGTTCTCATGTCGAAGAGACGATAGCTATCGCTCCAAAGGAGGTGCCCGCATCATTGAAGAGGAAAAGGTCTAGGCCTAGTGAGTGGTGGGCTGCGAATGCGGGTTCCTCTGCTGGGGAAGAAAAGTTTGTTGGTGCAGTAGGTTCGCAGGAGAGGTCTGTCAAAAAGAAGAGATCATCGCTACCAGTTGATGGTCATACAGTTTTTTCACAAACGAAGACAGACACAATATTAAAGAAGACACCAGTCAAGAAGAAAGCCAGATTGTCATTACCAATCGTCCTGGAACCAGCAGCAGAGCCGGAGCCGAGTTCAAGCGCGCTGAAGAGGCACAGAACAAGGCCGAGTGAGTGGTGGGCTGCGAATCCCGTTGCTTTCGAACCGAGTCCAAAAAACCCAGCACAGATTATGTCAACCGAAGCAGCGAAACCGAAAAAGAAGACGAGGTTCTCGTTACCTGCTATATCTACCGTACCAAATTCTGGGGACGAGGGGACAAATTCAAGCGGGGTGAAAAGGGAAAGAAGGAAACCCTCCGAGCGGGGGGCGGCTAGCTCTGCTGCCATTATGGATACACCTCTTCGAACTGGCAAAAATATTGCGGCTTCTGAAGCTAATACTTCATCGGGGAGTGAAGATATCTTGGGATCTGCAGCAGTCACTAGCAAATATAGTCTGAGAGGAGGGCGTTTACCGCAGAATAACTCGACCGGCGACGAAGAAATTGTGGAGGTTCAGACAGCTTCTTCAGCATTTGGCAGAGGACGTCCGGCAAAAGGGGCAACTCGTGCTGTCAGGCCCGTCGATACAAGCAACGACAAAAATGGACCATCTGCGGCTAAGAGAGGAAGACAGGCATCAAAACCACAAGCATCGCAAGCAGAGTCAAGTGCTTCATCAGTTGCAAAGAAAGGTAATAAGTCACTGAACTCGCAGTCGCGAACAACTTCGGAGAAGCCTTCTAAAGCGGGTAAGCGACCGTCAGAAAAGGCTTCGCAAATAGAACAGTCCAAGCGCAGGCGCAAATCTGAGGGGAGTGAGTTATTCCAAAGTTTCCACCTGTAGCTTATAATCTCTATGTCATTATGGAGATATACTAATTGCATCAGCAGAAGCTGAACAAAACGTCCAGAAAACGAAGCGTCCTCGCGTCAGTGAGGTTGCCCAAGAAGAGGTTCACGATGAAGAAGTGGACGAGGACGAGGACGAGGATGAATTGGTACCATACCAACGTCTGGTACCGGTGATTCGCAAAGTACATCGTCATACAATTGACGCAAAATGGCAACCGCTACCACCAGAATGTGTCGAACTTATTTCCCAATTACTTGTCGATGCACAACGGCCTGTAGTCGCACGTCAAACGGACGAAACCAAGAGAGCACAAGCCAATACTGCTTTACAATGGCTATCACGAAAACTCGTTCGTAAGATTTCCAGGGGACTTCCATTCCCGGTAGGAACACAACCCCAGCCTGAGGATGAATTCAAATTTGACAAAATCATCGATCGTAATCGAATCCTGGAGGGCCAATTGACTGCCGAGATTGATGCCAACAAGCTCTTGGAGGAAAACTTGGCCAAGGAACAAGAATTGTTGGCAGCAGAAAAAGCCGCATTGCTGGAGCTTGAGACCAATGCAAAGACAGAGGCTTCCAGACGGAAGGAAGCTGCACGAAAATCACATCCCTTACTCCACTCAGAAGTCGCGCAGGGCAGTGATGAATTGGGCTTGTCTGTCATCAATAGTCGGGTGCTGCCCAGCTTAGACGTACGTTATATTGTCTCGGTCTTCCTTGGTCCTACTAACCTATTCCAGGTCTCACAGGATGAAAAGTTACAGGCAGTTATTCGGGAGGTTGAAGGTCACGTCGACAGTCTGCAAAGTAATATCAAACAACTTGAGGGTATACCTGACGCCATCTCGAAGGCGAAAGCCGCAGTACAAGTCACGCTATTCGATCACCTAGAAGAGACTAGGTATAAAGATGTACTTCTGGGATCTGGATGAGGTGGGGGTTCTGGTAGCATGTTAGTTTCTTGGCCGCGCAACGAGGTGGAGGCGGCTGCTGCGGGTAATGGGTCGTGTGCATATGGAAAATTCATGACGGGGCTTTTTTTGCTTGTCAAGCAGCTGTCCTGGGTAGCTTGGCTTTCGTAGATTTCGGACAGTACTGTAGCTTTCTTCAAGATACCTCTACCTACCTATACCTCCACCTCCACCTCCACCTGCACCCCCAAACTGTCACATGATAGATTCCCTCATTGAGATGATTGCATATGTACCTGCTCGCTCTACCGAGTCCTGAGTACTGTAAATAATTTTCTCGGCCATTGGCTTGTTCCGTCTCCCCGCACCCGGGAAAAGCGTCCACTCGACGTGAAAGTCAACCAACCAACCCACCGAGTCGATACCAACCGACAGGAACAACGAGCAGCGCAGCGGGCAAAGCACACAGAGAACGAAGCCATCGAATCGGCACACAAGCGGATCTACAGCCTCGGGTTCCACCTCAACGTCGTCGTTCCGAGCGGAACAAATCAATAGCGAGTACTCTCGTGCGGTTGGGTGAATTGCGCAAAATACGTCAGCGCAGGAGGACTCGAGCGGCGGAAGGACCACCACGGCCAAAGGTCGACAGCCAGCGCAACGGTCGCTACCCGATGGACGAAATATAGCAGGCAACTCGGATGACATGGAACAGAATGGCGCAGGTAGCAATGGGCAGCAGGAGACGAAGACGCCGACACAGACGAAGCCAGACGGCTCAGGCTCAGGCTCGCCCGCAACGTCTGCCTCTGTCTCGGCCTCTGCCTCTGCGACGCCCAAAGGTGCGAGTACCAAACGGAGGAGAAAGGTGAACCACGGTACACAACCTTCTATTTCAATTTTCCCCTGGGCTGGTCCCCTGCTGCTCTGTCTGAAACATTCGCTGATCTTGGGTCATGTTCCTGCAGCTTGTGTCTATTGTCGGCGATCTGTAAGTTTTGCATTGGGTTGAAATACCAGAGGGAGCATTGGTTGCTGCACCTTGCGCAGAATTGTTTGGCAGAAGCTAATTTGATCTGGGACCTGGCCAGCATATGACATGCGACTTGGTACGACCTCTTTTCCAATAAATGCAGCCACTCGTGATACCCAGTGTTCTATGACTAACTTCGTTCTGTCGCACAGGAACGCCCATGTGCGCGTTGTATAAAGCGAAATATTGGGCATCTTTGCCATGACGAACCCCGCGAACCGGAATCGGCCACGAAGAAATCCAAAAAGCAACATAATCACTCGACCCTCGAAGACGATGACGCGGCGGCGGATCAACTTAAAACTGACGGTGGTATGAGCAATTCAGTCGAAAGGCCGCAAGAACAACTACCGCCGTTGGAAACCTCCCTCGCAATTGGGACCACTGCACTCTCCCAAGCTACGCCTTTACAGCTCGTTCAACCGACGCCTGTCTCGGGGATCCAAGCAAATGCTCTCAGCAATAGTGGCAATCAGTGTAAGTCACCAAATGCCAGCCTGGACAAAGTGGGCAAAGATTAATGGGAGCACATAGTCATCGGATATCAAAACGACTGGCTTGGAACACAGAACCCATTCCAAGATATGCATAACTACCACCCCTCTTATATGTTCAATGCCCCCGAGGTCACGACCGAGTATAATCTGTTGAGCGACTTTTTGAACAATAGCCTACTGGAGGACGGAGCATTACTTCCTGAAGATACAACAAGTTTCCTCAGCAGCGACCAAACGGGTGCCATGTTGCCAGGAAGACTGAATAACACAGGCAATGCACAGCAGCATCCTTCAGGTCTAGGACCCCCTTCACAGTCAGGTTTGATGGCGCGACCAGCGAGCGTGCCGGACAAATCACGAGAATACTATCTTCAGGCGGCAGACCCAAGCGGCAATGATGCACCAGAAGAAAGGATGCAGCGTGTTCTGCGGGCAAAGTATGATGCTGGTTTGTTGAAACCTTTCAATTATGTGAATGGTTATAGCAGGCTGTTGCGATATATGGATGGACATATGCACGCTGCTTCGAAGCAGAAGATTCAGAGGCAATTGGAGCAGTTCCGACCCAAGTTTCGGGAGAAGGTGCAGACACTGACGGATATTGAACTCATTTATGTGGAAATGTGGTTTGAACGAAGTCTGATGGAATATGATCGAGTTTTTGCAAGCATGGCTATTCCGGCGTGTTGTTGGCGAAGAACAGGCGAGATATTCCGGGGAAATAAGGAGATGGCGGAGCTCATTCATGTGCCCATAGAAAAGCTGAGAGACGTAAGAACCCCCCTTATGCTTAAGCGGAGAATGCATGCTTACCACTGATGACGTAGGGCAAAATTGCATTGCACGAGATTCTTACAGAAGAATCACTTGTACATTACTGGGAGAAATTTGGAGCTATTGCGTTTCAAACACAGCACGATGCTCTTTTGACGTTTTGTTCTCTCAAGAATCCGGATGATAAATCTAAGGATCCAACGATTAAATGTTGTTTTTCATTCACGGTCAAGCGAGATGATCATAAAATGCAAGTTCTCATCTTTCCTACCAATTTGGAATGTGCTAACCGTCTCATTAGACCCTCTCTGATCATTGGCAATTTTCTGCCTCAGGATCCAGTCAAACATTAAGCATGAAACATGAAGCATTGAGCTTGCTAGCAATTTTCCAAGTAGATAATAGGGATAAGAAGTAAATAATAGATTTGTGGCGGCATTCAAGGATGGGAGGTTCGCTGCTGGGGGCAACCTGATATGGATGAGAGCATAGCATGGCAAAGAGGAACGAGGAAAGAGGGAAGTCTTGGCATTGGCAAAGTGGTAACTCCCGCTCCAGCTACTGTCAACCCTCTGGGGGCTCCTGCCTCCGTTTGAGTAGAAAGATCACCTGCAACGCGCGAACCATCACCATCACCCGAAAGGTCATCCCGATATTCTTCCATTTCCTACTTGTCAGCGTCCTTGAAAGGCGAACTCTCATCTCTCATCTCTCATCTCTCATTCATATGCTATACTCTAGTCTCGTCTCTATACTTGTGCCATCAAGGAGCAGCTGCCCTTTCTCTACACCTACCACGCGAAGAGTTCCTCGACGCGGTTTTCTATACAATATCCGTATCTTCTGGGCTCGTGGTGGAGGCCGCTCCAAGGCTGAAGGTCTTCAGCTCTACTCTACCTCTACTTCTACGCCTCTCCGTATCCTGTTGTACAAACTGAAACGTCTTTCCGTACTCCTGACCCATTCCCTTTTTTTCATCTCCACGCGCAACGCTTCTCCCGGTTGTGGTCCAGGCTAGAAGCTTTCTTGTACTGCTGTACTAGAAGTGGAACTGGCACTGGAACTGGAACTGGAACTGGCACTGGCACTGGCACTGGTACCAGGACTGGGACTGGGACAGGTACAGGCTTTGAGGCGCATCCTGTGCATCCACCATCGGGCACTGCTACTCCCAGTCGAGACTCAGGACACACATGATACATGATACACGATGGCGCCGCCAGACCGACCAGGGAAGGAGAAGCGTGTCAAATCAATTATCTGCAAGTACCCGTTCCCACGCATAATTGCGGAGCATCTACTTATTGTTGGACCAAGCCTTTGTTCTCGATGTACAGCACCAACTTCCAGCAGCAGTGTCTTCCAAGTCCCCCGGCACTCTTCTGCACGACATCGAGAAAGAAATATTCACCTTCCCTACTGCTTTGGGCATAACTGCAGCATCCCACTGCGAGGAAATAGACAGCGCGGGTACCGCCCTGTGGAATCTCTGCACAAAACTCCGCCGCGAGAATGGCTCCGAGACGCCACAGGATTACCCTGTCATACTGGACATAACACGCGTCTACGCTTTCTTGCTTGTGGCTAGCGCACATGAGCATGGAAAGGCAACTCCCGCGAATCTCCTAAGACTGATGAAGATTGGAGTAAAGGCAACCAAAAACTGCTTTGGTAGAGCGAATTAAATCCTCATTGCTATAACTGCTGACTCTGCCTAGTACGAAAAGAAATTAACTTTGCAGTCAAGGTTATAGAGAAGCTTGCCAATTACGAAGCTCTTTTAAAAGCAAATCGGCCGGAGCTTACTGCAGAACATGAAGATGACCGCCAGCGACTATGCTCGGAGTATTTCGTTCTTCGGACAACATTGGTGAGTCTCTACTTTGTGTCGTGCCAACACTTCTGACATGCATCAAAGGCGTGGCATGAAAAGAAGTTCGATATCGTGGAACACATGTACACTAATGCCCGAGAATTCAAGCGTGTATTTGATCCCAGCACAGCTGAGAGCCTGGCCGATGTTCTCTTTGAGTTGGGAAAAAGTCTTCTGGCCAGCAAAGAATTTGACCTCGCTACGAAATGGCTGGAACGAGCCCTGGAAGTGCTGGCCGACCAAGAACTGGACAAACTGAGCATGGATGCTAGTGAGCTACGAATATCCATCATCCAGTCATGCGTGAAAGGCCTGCTGAAAATTCAACAAGAACCCGCATTGGAGAAAGCCGGGAATCTTGTCCAGATCCTCTCTCATGAGCTTGGGGATAGACTAATTGTTTTGTTGCTCAGACTCGAGGTCCTTGCAGCAAGCACGACAGCTTTTGATCATGTTGCTTACAGCGAAGTTCTTGGCAGAATCGTTCGAACTGCTGTATTGAATGAACAGAACTTTAAGCTTGTGATGTTTCATATTCGAAAGTTGATTGTGAAAAGTCCGGATCTAGCTTGCGGGTCAGTCGACGAATTGTTCCGCCTGCGTATATTGAATGAGGGCCGTGAGGAATTAGTGGAGAAAGTACTTATCACGCGTTTGTGGATAACGGTGGCACAGTATCCAACTCTGGAATCGTTGTCTGGACTTGAAGGGTTTCTCGATTCCATAATAGAAAATTTCAAGAATCCTGTTACCCCAGCAGCTACTTTGGCAGCACATACTGTATGTTTCCTAACATCGAAGTCCGAATTGCGGATGCTAATTTATTCAGTTACTCTGGAAGCCTATCGAATCTAGTCATGCTCAAGGCAAATATGATTTGGCGGAAAAGTGGTGTCGTCTGGCCTTACATCGCGTGTTCGAGAAGGCGGGGGATCTTAACATGGCTAGAGTGTCAAGGTTGGTATCCTCGACTCCTCAGCGATCTTGATGCTAATCAAGTCAGCAGAAAACTCCTGCTGTGTGCTTTTGAACGACAGGATACAAATAGTGCGATGGAAATATTTACATCTATGCCCGAAATAGCGAAAAATGAACCAATGACGAGATTTCTAATGTACAAAGTTGCTATTCAGTCTAATTTATCTAAAGTCGCGGCGGAAAGTCTCCAAGTCATATACTCGGCATCTTCGACCGACCCGACACTTCTATATGCATGTTGTCTATATTCTATGCAGGGAAATAACAAGGTACAGACATTGGCGGCTTTGCAGCTTGTGCTTGAAAAACACGACTATGATCTTCCTACGGCAGTTCATCTACCCTCACTTATCCGGGTCACAATTGGCATAACATCCAAACTGCTTGAAACTTCACTGCAGAATGGATCTAATAACGCCGAGGTGGAAGAGCTTATAAATAAGCTCTGCAAGCTCTTCGAAGGTGGTATGTTTTCTCGAGAATATGTTTGGGTACAACTAATTATGGAGCAGCTGTCACTGCGGTACAGAAACCAAACAGACCCAAGATGGGGTCTGAACCGATATGGACCATCCACGAGCTCGATTGGTTTTCAAAGAACTCCTATAATATCGCTATCAAGAACATATCTGTTTGGACGCCATTCAACTCTCTGCGAATGTTGAAATGTTGTATAGCGTTCATTGATCAATACCCTCTGGATATCGGCGAGAACTTTGAAGATCTCGCACTACGCAAGATGTTTTGTGAATTTTCCGCTGCAGCTGCACTTGTAACACTGGCCAGAGGCGAAGATAACATCGAATTGCAGCTCCAGAATTACCTTGATCTCAGAAAGCATGTGAAAAGTTTTGACGAGTTATACGGAAATAAGTCCGAGACAATGGAGGATGTTAAGATTGAAGACTTGTTACAAAAACTCTCGATTCTGTTGGCCTTTGACTTCGAAGCAGCTTGTCATCTGAAAGCTTGGGACACGTTGAGTGAGACCATCTTGAATGCAAGTATTTGTAAGAGTGCTCGTACGTATCAGTTGATGGCAGATTGTCTCCTGTGCATTCAAGATGGTTCCCGCATTGAAATCCCAACAGATGGTGAGCTTAACATTCGTGTACTAGAAACGCATCTAACATTGTGCAGTTCTGGTTTTTAATCTCAAGAAAATTGTCAATGAAGCCTGGGGTCTGGAGAATATGGATATCACGTCACTGGCAAAATACATGCGCTGCCTCTTCCAAATCGCACAATCGGACAATGTAGAGATCGCAGAGCAGCTCCTTGGCCAAATTGCTGATCAGGCACAGGAGGCGAGCGAGGTAGCTAGCTATCTCCATCAAAATCTTAGGGCCTCGTTGCTGACATGAGAGTAGACTGAGCAACCCTATCCTACCGAAGAACTTGATTGGATTGCGAGTCGAGCTTTCAATCATGCTGTCGACCTGTATTGCAACGAACAAGACGATGAGTGCAGAGAGTGGGCAGCGAAAGCCTTGAATATTGCGCACTTTTGTAATGATGGGGGTGCTTTGAAACGCTTGCTTGAGGAGAAGCTAGCTGGTTTGAATCTCGACTGAACTTTTCATACTTTGCGACAACCTCTAGTATTTGGTTCTATGGTATGGATGGACATACTTTGAGAGGTGTTACGTTTTTAGAGTTTCAGCGAAGGAAGTTGGTCCATATCCCCGCTGGTGCCCGAGTAATATGGTAAAGCACTCGTATCCACCCTTTTCGCTTCAAGGGTTAGTTCTAATATTTTTGTAGGGTCTTTCCAATGATAGTCGAGTATTCCAAGTCTATTGTGGAGATCAATGTGAGCCTCAAAGCTGTTGTTGTCCAAGTCGAAGGATAATGGCCATGGACGACGATGAACCCGCCGAAAACTCTTTACGCATAGAGCAAGATTTTACATACACATCACCATAGCATATACCGTCAGCTCTCTATGTAGACGCACTTCACGGAATACATCTCAGCCACTACGAAGATATACCAGTGTTGGAACAATTTGGGAGGGGCGGGGGGAACTTTGAGGGTCTAGCGCACACTTATGGCACTTTTACATGGAGCTTTGAGAGTAATGGGTTCACTAAATTTCGCGGATATGTTTCGGATATTGCTAAGAATGGGGGGCGAGTTATTGTAGTACGTGAGAGGTGGAGATATGTTCATAGAAGCATTGTGTTTTTAGCTTACCTTATTGCTTAATCCCCGCTCCCTGGCCGTCATTCGCGTGCTCGTACTCGTCCTGGTTAAACCGCTTTATTTTCCAGCTTCCAATAGGTTCCGGCGGGTAGGTGGGCGGGGCATGGACTTAGAAGAAGGGGGGTAATGGGATAGACGGTTATCCCGCTTGGAATGTTGCCTTCTATGATATGGTGTAGGATAATACGTTGGAGAGATGTCGATGTGGTTGTTGTGGGAGATTCTAGAGGTGATGGTTGGCGTTTGGGTTTGGGATTTTGATAGGGCGGGTGGAAAGGGGGAGCGGGGAGAGGGGTGCTTTTTGTAGGATGTGTTTTGTTGGGTTTGTTGGTGGTGGAGGCTAGGGGAGGTGGGAGAGTTGTTGTGAATTGGATAGATATGAATTTGGAATTTACTGTCTTGGAATTTCTCTCGTATCTAGTACCCTTGGGATACATACGGAGTAGTCTGTACCCAGAAAGGGGGTGGACCGTCTCGCTTAATTAGCAAGCCCAAAAGGGCCAACAACCCCAAAAAAAAGTCCAAAAAAGAATTTAATAAGGGATCTGATAAATCAGAGTTTGGGTTCCAAAGTTTAGTTTAATCTTAGACCTGATAAGTTTATAGACATCCTGTCGTCTTACCAACCAAGGCTTACCACCCCTAGGCCGTTGCTAATAATCCAACTTTGATTGACGGGGATTCACAAACAACCAGATAATGGGGGTTATCTCCTACATATTTTCCCAGACGTCCATAGGGAAAAACTATGTCTTAAGATGTGTTATATAGGTACTAGTAGAAGAAGTTAAGTATCACAATAAATAAAAGGGGATATACAGGTGTAGAAGATAATGATGACTATGAGAATATGAAAGTAATGGATAAATCATTCATCGCCTCTGTGACTCTGTCTAAAAAGTATGAATATAGAGACCAGCTCTGAAAGAAGAAAGAAAGAAAGACGATACAGTAAACCTTACCACCACATTCACCTGACCCAAAGACACTATCCATAAGCTATAAACCAAAAAGATCCTCTCTCCACACAATATCTCATACCCTATCTCACACCCTCACCAAACTCACCCCCTTCAAATCTCAAATACAATTCCCCCACCCCATCTATCCCATCCCATCCCCTCCCATTCCCTCCCTTTCCCTCCCATTCCCTCCCTTTCCCCCCCCCCC